GATTACCCGACGAGTTTAGCTAATTGTTATCTGGGTTTTATATGGGTTTATACCACATGACGTATAAGCAATGTGTGCCATTTTAAATCGCTGTTCGTGAAGGGGGCGTCGATTTGTTGTTTTTATTTTTCTTATTGTCTCCGGGTAGATAGCTGCCCCTGGAATTAAGTGTTGTTTATTTACTTTCATTATCATTGTTGTTGCTGCTGGTGTTGCTGTTGCTGTTGGTGTTGCTGTTGCTATTGCTGTTGCTGCTGTTGCTGTATCTGTTGCTGTTGTTATTTGTTTGTGGCCACCCTTGGAGGCTCGTTGTTGGGCTGCTTCATGTACGCAAACAATGGAAACAACCCAAGTGCGCAGTGCTTTTTTTTCTCTGTATGCCTCACAAAAATGGACTTGAGAACCACCCAAAACACACCTCTAAACTTTTTTTTTCTTTTTTGTGTTGTTATTGAAATTGTTTTGCTGCGTTTTTTATTTTTTCACTCTCTCACTCTCATTCTCTCTCTCTCTTTTTGTGTATTGCTTAAGTAGACGATTTACAGTCGATATTTTAGTGCCTGTGACGAATGTCGTCGCATGACGATCAACATATATATATATATATATATATGTGTGTGTGTGTGTGTGAGTGTGTGCAAGAGTGTGATTGTTGTGTTATCGCTGCCAACAGCTAGAAGTGATTATTCGTATCCACGCATCGATTGAGTGACCAGCCAGCCAGCCGCACGCCCGATGGAACCTCATGTTTGCTGGGCTCGCAAATGAATTGATGATGATTGCTTTGAGACAGCATTCATGAAATAAAGTTCATTTTCAATAGTAGTAAATAGTTCGTAATTGATAAGGGATCAGTCATAGAAGAAAGTAAAAAGAAAAGCTTCTTAAGTTCTCAGAACTCTTCATCAATTGAAATCTCATTAAACTAATCAATGGGAAAGTATTCATATTTAAATTAAATGAATATTTGCTCATATAAAAGAATGTTCTATATTCTATAAACTTAAAACAGATCAAGATAAATAGGTATATGTAAGTGATGGATTACTTTCTAATCTGTACTTTATTTATTATAGACGACTTTTTAGAATATCTAAGAAATTATTAAATTGGGAATCAGGTGTTTTTCAGGGCAATTCCCAGTAAGTATTCTAACAAGGTTTGTAGAATTACCAATGAATTACTATGCATTCTTAAGTGATTTCCCATCAAAATCCGTAACTATAATAAAGAATTCCCAAAATATATTTAAATATGAAGCAACTGGTTATTGTTTGATGTTCTCATTATTTGTGAATCCCCGCAAAGTATGAATAAATACGCATATAGACAAATATAGATAAGTATAGAAAATAAGTGCCTTTTGCTAAGTATAATTTACAAGCTGTCACGATAAATATTCAATAAATTCTTTGTTTGCCTTAAGCTTTAAACTTGTCAGCTCTGCTTCTACATTTTCATTCCCATTCAAATGCAGTAAATATAAAGTAGTTTTTTATACGATTAAATTGTTTTTCATTCACCTGCGCAATAACTAAAGATAGACCCATTCACAAATCAAAATTCCAATCGAATGTCACGCAGAGTTCACAATTCAATACTTACACCCAGCAGCTGCATGCACTCGCCTCGTCTGCCAACCAACCCAACCAGCCCAACCAGCTACCCGCTACCCCCTTATTTCCATTACACACTGATCAAACGCAGTCCGACCGGGGGCAGCCCTATCAGCAGCAATGCAATCTATTGAATAACTCTGGCCGCACTCCTCTCCTCTCTCTCAGTCTCTCCACGCGGCAGTCCACTCCATTTGTTTTGGGGGGCACACGCCGCCCCGATAAGCGTTCGACTTTCACGTTCCGCTAGAGATAAGATGGCCGCAACAGCCACGCCCCAAATTTGTAGAATGATCTGACGGCAGCGGCGGCGGCGGCGTCGTCGGCATGCAGCTGGACATTTGTGCTTATCGCTTCCCCCACTTAGGGATTGGTCTGTTCCCAGAGAGCCAAACAGCGGAGAAGCAAACAGAAACTGTCCGCACGTCATGCAAATTGTAAATAACGCAATTAACTCCCCTCTCCGCTCTCCCACTCACTTCTCATGGTCCTCTCCATCAGCTAATCTATTTCTGGGCATTCTCTCTCCGCTCTCTCTCTCTCTCTCTTTCTCTCTCTCTCTGTGTGTTTTTCTCTTTGGCCAATGCTTTTGTTCACGTTGGGTTCACGTGCTAATCAGGCGCAGAATAAGCGACCTCGTCATCATCATGTGTTTATGAAACGTTTCTATTACTCGTAACACCATCTACCCCCTACCCCCCCCCCCCCCCTATAACTACTCATACCCCTACACATACCCCTATCCCCCACTCTATACTCTTTGCTTGATTTATTTATGTTTGCACCATTTATATTTGGATGCCCTGTAAACTTATTAAATGGGTGCAAAGTGTTTAATCAACTTAATCAAGGCAGAATTATGCTGCTCCGATCTTAAAAAGATTTGCACAAATTTCAGATGAAGTACAGAAAAATCGGAGTCAATCTATCTTTTCCAGTCTGTCTTTCCGCCCTTCGATCCTAGGCAGTTTAGAAAATAAAGAGAAATATGTAATATAGAAAAAATATGTAAATCATAGGACAATATTTCTAATATATATAGTAGACTACTAAACAGAATTAAAAATACGCCTATCCATAAATATCTCCCTTGAGTGGAGTTCCTTAGATTGGAGCAGATAACAGGGTAACTGGCAGTCAGGCATATCTGGCCAGAAGCACTCTTACTTATTCCATTTTATTGATGATGTTGTTTTTATATTTACCATTGTGGACTACTCACGATTCGGAATACGTTGATGATAATGAGCCTCATGATGATGACGATGTATGTAGTACATGCATACATACATTTATACATATATTGTTGATTACTACGCCGTCGGCATAGGCAAAAAAAAAAAGAAGAAGAAAACAAACTCAGCAAAGTCAGCAAACTCAGCCATTGCCCCATTAAAGGCGTTCTCGGCTCGCTGAACCGGTTCAGGGACAGTCAACAGATTCGTTGTTGCTTCACTCATCACCTTTCCCATCCTGTCCACGGACAACAACTTTCAAGTTCAGATGGAACATTCTTTTTTTTTGTCTTTTTTTTTTTGGCAAGGACAGGAACTGGGCCAAGGTCGACGAAGCCAGAATACTAATAATAATGATGCTAAAAAGAAATCCACAGAGAACAGAAGCAGGTAAAATTGGGAATGCCAAGCGAATCAAGGCAAACAGAATGCTAATAATGATCATCATCGTCATCGCCATCGCCATAATCCCCACCATGTGGGGAAAACCTTGAGGCAAACTATCGTAAATAGCCACTTGGAAACTCTGACGAAGGTCGTTTGGGCACAGTGCATTAAGATCATTAAGATGCCTACATTAAGTTAAGTTCTCGGCACTCTCTGAACTCCACGGCCCGAGATAGAGCAATGAATGAATAAATGCACGCTTGGGTAAACGCAACGCGTCAACTGGCACGTAGGCCGCCCCCTCCAGCCAGACGAGGAATCGGCTTTTGGACGCACACAACTAATTATTCGATGTCAGGGGTAAGTGTTCTAGAATTGGTGTAAGCAACAAATGTGACTTGCTCTGTAAATATGCGATTCAAGAAACGAGCACATTTTTGATGTGGCTACAGAAATTTACTGGCAATATATAAATAAATAATGTATATAAAACTGCCGTCTATCAAAAGAATTTCCCCTTTTTCTGTTCCCAGCTGATCGGTTGGTTTTTTTTTTTTCAATTTGTAATTAAATTCAGATGGGAGCAAAAGTTAATCCGATCTGAAGGGCTTATTTATTTTTATCTATTTTGTGTTTTTTACTATATATTTATGTATATAATTTTTTATTAATTATTTTTCAGATCTTATCTTTATTTATGCCATATATCTATTACGTCCATATTTTGTATAAAGAAGTTAATAAAAATAGTATTCTATGGAAATTTTCATCTGAAATTTGCATAAATAATCAAAAACAATTCTATGATCTGAACTTATATACATATTTTTTTAATCGGAAATGTATAAAGCGTTCTTAAGTAGCTGTAAATATGTTAAGGCAACACTGTTTACATCTAGTATACGTAGATCTCAACAAAATGGGGCAGCATCAGGGCTAATCAACTATTTGTTTACCTTAGACGGCACACACAAATTGATTGGTAGCGCTTATTTAATTTATAATTTCGCTAAATGAAATTTCATTTAATATATACCATTCGATGGTAGTTTTGCGGAGCAGGGAGTTTGATGCATTTGTCACGAGTTAGTTGCTGCCGGTGTTGCTACTGCTGCTGCTGGACACGGCCATGACGTCATGGAGGCAAATTTGGAGCTTATTGTGTGGCGCGTGTGAAAGAAACGCGGCAAAAGACAAGTTCGGGGGTTTTACCCGTTCCCCATTCCCCATTCACATGCCAAGAAAAATCAACAAAAAGTCACAGTTTTGCGCAACAAACAGAAATAAAAATAAATGAAAAGAAATTGCAAAAGAAAAGTAAAATGTGAATGACTTGGTCAAATTTTAAAATGAAAATGAAAATTTGAAAATTGTATGCTGTGTTGCCGAGTCAAATTATAGCCAACAATTATAGACAAAAAAAAATGTCTTCACATAGGCTTGCCAGAAAGTCCACCAATCAACTTGCAAAACACACGCTGTGTACATGTGCCATTTGGCAGACTGACGTCACGTTCACCTGTGACTGACGTCCGAGCAACGCCTTAGAGTGGAAAAGAAAGGAAGAAGAAAAACAGACAACTCAGCTTGGGGCATAACTCATATGACTATAAGGAAAATCACACAGAAATATTCGCTCGCTTACTCGCTTGCTCGCTCGGCTCGTTCAAGCTTATTAATGCGGCATGTGTTGGAGGCCTTGAACCGTGACCCGTTGGCCCTGCGACGTCATTGCCATTGCTGTTGCTGCTTCTTCTGTGTTGACCTTTTTGAAGCAACAGGAGGAATAGCGTGTGACGTCACAGCCAGACAATATACGTAACCAATAAATGTCAGGTTGCGTCAATGCGCGCTCTCTCTCTCTCTCTCACAGACTCTCTCTTTGTACTCACACCTCTAGATCTGGCAACCCTAAGTGCGTAGATGGCGGCCTACGTGCACTCCAGAAGGTGCGTGGGTGACACACGTGGGTGGCTCAGCAGTATTCTAGCTCTCTCTCTCTCTTTGTCTTTCCTTTTCTCTCTCTCTTTCTCTGCGGACGAACGTAGGCGGCCTCCAAATGCATGTCAAGGCAAAAAGGGTACAAAATTCCCGCACTGAACTTGAACTGCTGCCTGCCTGCCTGCCTGGAACCGGAATTCTTGCTAATTTTAGATGCCCTTCGAATTGCTGATTAAATTGAAACGTACAAATAAATAACACATACTGACAGCCATATCTATGATTTCATGTACTCATACATATATAAATACATTTGTATATATTTTATTTGTATAGGTGTGTCGCACCTCTCGTCTTCAATTGCGTTTTGCTCACACTTTGCATTCAAAATATACACACAGAAAAATAACTCACTAATTGCAGCAGGCAAAAAGAAGACGAAGAAGAAGAGTAGGCAGCCCCGATTTACACGCCCCCGAAACAATATTATTGCACTGCTTGGGTTCCGTATAAAAATTCATACATACGTTCACGAATTTCAATTCCGTTTCCACTAGCAAACAAAAAACACGCAACAACAACACCCACACCCGCAAACATTCAACACACACACACAGAAACACACACGAGTAGTCATCAGTAATAGAGAAACAAGCACGCCGCCTTCTATTTCCCCTCTCCTCGTTCGACCGAAGCGACCAACCGAACGAGTATCAACAAATGTTCACGTGAACATCATGAGGTCAACGCGTGATACTCACAGTATGATAATTCACAGAAACACGCACACACACTCGCTTGCGCATGTATGATGGCGTGCTAGTTTGTTGTTGCTGTGGTTGTTGTTGCGCAAGAGCGCCTCAATCAAATAGTCACAGCTGTTTAACGCTGGTCTCTCTGTCTTACGCTCATTTGGCGCTCTGCTACTGCTGCTTGCGAGTAGTGAGTAGCACGAGCCCCTTTTTGCTTATGTGAAACTGTTATGGGCCTGCGGGTCAGCGTTGCCAGACTCAAATATCAACATTTCGCATTTGACCAACACTTGACTAACTTTGGTTATCAGATACTAAGCCTGGACAAAAATTCACTAATTCATCATTGCGAGCAAATTTCACACGAAAAAAGTTGTGCTCAATTTGTTTTGCAGCTGGCAACGCTGTGCACGACGAGTTTCGCCCATTAATGAAATCTGTCTGCGTCTAGACTTTTGTATGAGTTTTAAGTGTTAGCTGCTCCCTCCCCTTGGCTGACAATAAACTAAATGGCTAATGTAAATGCAAATGTATGCAGTAAGGCCAATTTATTAATGCTCTGTCTGGCCAAAAACAGTGGCCACTGACCAGTTAAAGCCACAACACTCTGTTTTCATTTTCTTGTTTAGCCCAAAACGCTTAATCACGAACTTCCGCAGCAACAAATGCGTCAGACTCGAGACTCAGATTGAACATTTCAGCTCCAGCATTTGCCGCCTCGCCAATTGGGCTGCAATGGCTCCGCGGGGTGTGTCAGTGTGTGCCTCTCTCACTCTCTCTATTGGTGTCAGCATGTGTGTGTGTTTTGTTCGTTGTTGCCTTTTGGCTGTGCACGCTCCATGTGCATGAACAGCAGCTATGAATAGATAGATAGCCCCAATGGAATTTTGCCCTCTCTCTCTCGCTCTCTCTCTCTCTGTCTCTATCTCTCTCTCCACGCCCTATTCGCGTCAATAGCGAGGAGGTAAACAGCTGATGACGTCCATGCGTTCGTAACGTGTTCGTGTTCGTTTGTCTGTGTATTAGTGACGCTAACTTCTTTATTTTCCTTGCTGGGTGGCTATGCGTGGGCACACAGACCTGACCTTTTGTCAATCACAAGACCCCCCCCCCCTCCCCCTTCCACACACACACACACACACCACTCGAGAGCACTAGCAGTGCTGCCCACGTTGCCACTGCCTGACGGTAAAACCCAAGAACACATAAAAAAAACTGAGTTACAGGCGCTCAGTTCCATTGCACTGAGTTCTTGTTGATGACGATTTTTTTACTCCCCCCGCACACAGGCAGCTTCCACTTACAAGTGATTACGTCGACAGCACTCTGCTCCACTCTCACGCGCTATCTGTATATGTATGTATGTGTGTGTGTGTGAGCGCTGCGACTGCGATGGTCTGGTATAAGCTCACAGTCTGAATGCTGTTCATTCGTCTGTTGAATTCTGAACGCAACGGTTCGTTCACTCGCTCGCTCGCATCCGCTTCAAGTGGAACAAAAATAAGAAACTTTTTTAGAAAAAGCCAAAAAATAAATCTTGTGTAAATCAAAAGTGCTAACAAAATCCAAGATAAGACTACCACTGAAAAGAGAACAAATAAAAAGACAGCTATAAACTCCTGCAATCTCTCTACGTACAGGTGCCTAAAAAGACATCTCAAGTAGTGAAGCAAGTGCAAAGTGCAATAAAAATATTTTAAACAAATTTTGCAAAGAGCAAAAAAAGGAAAAAATAAATTAAGTAATAAAGTACATACAAAAATGGAAATGGATACGTTGCTGCTGCCGTCGCCGCCTGCAACACCCCCGCTGCGGGATAACAAAATCGAAAATGTAAGTTCCAAAAGTGACTCACAGAGCAATAAGAGATTGACCTACAAAGTGAACGAATAAATGAGTGTTGAGTATTGCACTTAATGCAGTGCAAACTAATTAAAATTAAATGCAAAAAAATGCAGCCCTGCAACCTACACGTACTCACACACATACATATATATATGTATATACGGCCTAGCACAGTGAATTCCCGCATTTTTCGTCGTTTGCCCCCAGACAGTGGAGACGACGCCTTCGCTTTTGACAAATCACGCAACAAAAAAAATACATGGCATGGGCAAGGCAAAACATTATATGTATTGCCCGCTCGCTTACACTCACCGCGTTTCTAAAAACAAAAGTCTTGTATCTCGCTTGCACCCATTGAACGCTATGCGATCACGCAGCGGGCACGCTTTCACGTGAACACCGCATGCACAGCGAGTGATACAGACACACACACAGAGCCATACACACATATAGAGCAGAGGCGAACATTGGACTCCACAGCAATGTGAAGCTGTCGTAGTTATTTGCCCGTCGTCTTGTTTTTGTTGCTGAGAGCGCTCGCCTCAAAGAGCGCGATAGAGAGCACTTGAGAGAGCAGCCATGCTGACGTAGTCACAGCATATTTGTTTGAGCGTGTCTGTGTGTGAAGGTAAGTTGCCAATTAGAAGCGGCTGGCGGCAAAAGAAAAAACAAACAAAGCCAAGCCCCAGACGGGCAGCGACGCTACGCTACGCGACGTCGACTATTGCAGCTCATTTTTGTCTTGTTTTTATTCTTTCTCTTTCTTTGGCCCGCTTATCTCTCTGGCAAACAAACAAACAGAATAAACGCATACACGTGCCGAGCCCATAAAATTACTTGAAGCGTTGTCAAATTGTTGTTGCCTGCTTTTGGGCTCCGCTTTTATATTGTCTTGTAAAACTTTTTATTTATTTTTTTAAATTTATGTTAAAAAAATGTGTTTGCAAAAGTTCAAGAAACTGGCATAATAAAACAAATCGCCGCCCAAAGAATGAAAAAGCGTATTTACGACGCGTCGCAACGTGCATTAACCCTGCATTGCGTGTGGGGGCCGCCACGGGTTAAGGTTAAATGTGAATGGCCATGTAAAAAAAGTATAAACGTCAACGTCGACGCCCGCACGTAATTAGCGAATATTTTTTGGGTTTTTTATGCTGTATACTTGCCCAAAAGTTATTGTAGGTCAACACACAATACACACACAAAAAGTGAACGCGTTTATTGAACTCTTTTTGTTAATCACTGCTCTCTCTGTCTTTGTCTATCTGCAGGCCGCCAAGGACAAACAACAGGTGAACGAGAATCTGCTCAAGGCCAAGCTCAAATTGGTGGCAAATCAAAAGAGTCAAAAGAGTGGCATCATCACACCCAATCCCTCCGATACGGAGGACGATGCCACCGATGTGAGGCCACCCTGCAAAAAGGCGCGCCTGGAACAGCCGGCGGTCACATTGACGCCCCCGCCCGAGCAAAAGGAGCAGCTGCACAAACATGTTGCCGAACAGGATTCCGAATCGGATGCACAGGCGCAACAGCGTGTCAGCGTCATTATGCGTGTCAATAGTCTCGGCACCGTGGAGAATGGCTGCAGCCCCAATTCCAATTCGGCTTGCAGCGATATTAATGGCGCTCTGGGCACACCCATTACGGATGATTATCCCGAGGAGAATGTGTTTCGCAATCTAAAATTCAAAATGAATCGCAAGCAGGCAGCCGAAGTTATTTTGCCCACGACAACCACAACAACAGAGCAACAGATCCCAACAGCTGCCTGCTCCAAGGCGCCAACGGAACCAGCACCGGCGGCAGTCTGCCCCAATAGCTACTATATCGCCTCGAGCGCAGCTAATGCACAATTGCTGCTGCTCAGCACAGTGGCTGCCCAGGCTCAAGCTCAATCACAGGCACAATCTCCACCAGCTACAGTTACACATCCATCTGCATCAGCACCTTCATCTGCCAGGCCTAGCAAGACCATTACGGCCGCCCAGGCGGCTGCCACACGCAATCGCATCTACGAGTGCAGTTTCCCCGAGTGCGGCAAGAACTACTTCAAGAGCAGCCATCTCAAGGCGCATCAGCGTGTCCATACCGGCGAGCGTCCCTTTGTCTGCAAGTGGGAGAACTGCGATAAGCGTTTCTCGCGCTCCGATGAGCTGTCGCGCCACAAGCGCACCCACACCGGCGAGAAGAAGTTCCAGTGTGGCGTCTGCTCTAAGAAATTCATGCGCAGCGATCATCTCTCCAAGCACGTGAAGCGTCACAACAAGGACAAGGCGAACGGCGTCAATCGCAATGTTGCCTTCATCGAAGGATCTTCATCGTCATCATCATCGTCGTCGTCGTCCTCCTCCTCCTCATCGTGTGAGTCGACGCTGCAGTTGCGTGCCATTGCTCCCGCTGCGAGTCCCGTACAAATTCCAGTCCGGACAACGAGTCCCGTCGCCGGCAGCAGTTTACACATTTACAGTGCACAGGATCTGATCCGATTGCAGAGCAGCTTTGTCGGCAACTTTGTGGCAACAACAGCAGCGCGATAGGATGCAACAATCGCAATCCTCCCCCAATCTCAATCTAGACAGTATATAATCAGCTACTAATCTGGCTGTAGACTTTAAGCCTAGTTAAGAGCTACTTCTTGTCATCGTTATGTTTGATTTTGTGCATATATCAAATTCATATTCAATATCCTATATTATATATATATATAGTTACCAAATCCATTGCTTATGAGATGGATTCACCTTCGTTTCAGCACACACACATATTTCTTTTTAGCTTTTAGTGCTTCTATTTGTATATTAGCTGCAAACAAAAATCTGTGATATTTAAGTTTTCTTTTTCTTAACTCTTTTTCTACTGTACAATAATTGTCGCTTGCTTTATTTTCTATTTCTGAACAATTGTATTTATTGCTACATGTGAAAAAAAAACCAGAAAAAAAAACATAAAACAAAAAGAAAAGAAGACCTGGAAAACATGGTACAACAACAATGCCCAGGTTCAAATCTCAAGAAAAGAAAAACAACAACAAAAAAAACCAATGCGAAAATATATTTTCCATATAAATAATTTACAACACCAAAGTCTATTAAATTATGTTTGTGGGTTGCAAGTTGAGATTTTGTATTTGAATGAAAAGAAAAGCAATAGAAAAAAGCAATTTGTTATTGATGAGATATGACTGATTATATATCTGCTTTATTTCCTATAAGAGTCCAGTTTCAATTAAACACCTAGGAGCGTGCTCAGCTCACAAATGGGGCGTGGCTTGGATTGGGGCGAGCAGGCCTGCCTCACTGCCATTTCCCAGGTGTCCAACAGATGCGACAACGAATAGTTCTTGGGCAGCTTGGACATGCGAGCGATGAGCGCCTGCTGCACAGTCTGTAGGAATGGCGTCGCCGAGTACTCCTGCTCGGTGAGCGAACAGTCTGGCGATTGCCATGGATACTCATCCGGCACACTGACACTCACCGGCGGCACACTCGGCAAACGCTTGTCGTCCAGGCAGCAGATCAGCTTGATTGTCTTGTTGTTGTTCTGCGCCGTTGTGTCTAGTTTGACTTTGAATTTGGTGTCGAGGCGCGCAATCTCGCCCTGCAGCACATGCGGCACATCCTGTTCGAAGGGCGACGTCTTGTCGCCGAGACGCGGCTTCTTGGCGGGCACCGGTGCACAGATATCAGTGCCAAAGAGCAGCTCCAAACTCGGACGGAATGTGCGATGCAACGTGTGATTCGCCAATGGACTCTGCAGCGTTGTATTGATGACCTCCAGCAGCGGATTTGATGATTTCTATAAGGGAATCAATCGATTTTAATAGTCGTATATAAATGGATAACTATTTGACATACACCAAACTGCTGACCCGAGTAGGAGACGAGATCCATCTTCTCCAGCGCCTTCTCACACTTGAGCAGCGTGTCCAGTTGTACACGCTGAGTGGGATTGCAAAGGATCTCGAGCAGTTTGCTCATCTTGGTCATTTTCTCAACATCTGCAAATAACACATTAGATTAAAGACAGTTTAGGCTATGCTTGTGGAAGACTTACTGGTGCCGTCGTTGCTTATCTTGCCCAGCATGCGCTTAAGCGGCTCAATGTACTTGGTCAACTGCTTGTACTTCTCCCTGTACAAGGCCTCATCCTGGGGATTAAATGGACTATTGCCGGTCACCTGACCGGGCGTATTGATCGAGGCGCTCGGCGATTGCTGGCGTATGCTGCGTTGGCTATTCTGCATCATCATCTGGGGACTGGACTGAGGCACCAGTGCCGGACTGGGTATCATCTGTGGCGTCGGCATCTGTGGCGTTGGTGGCTGTTGTGTAGGCGTTTGATTGCCCACCAATTGTTGTTGCTGCTGTTGCTGCTGCTGCTGTTGTTGTTGCTGCTGCTGTTGTTGCTGCTGCTGCTGTTGTTGTTGCTGCTGTTGCTGTTGCAATTGCTGCAGTTGTTGCTGCTGTTGCAATTGTTGCGCATCTGCCGGTGAGGGACTGGAACGCATAAACGGTTGCTGTGGCTGCTGTTGTCCGCCAACAACACCGCCCCGATTGCCGGCGAACATTTGACCCGCTTGTCCCATGGCCATATTGGCCTTTTGCTGCATATTCGGTGGCATGTTGACATTCATGCCACCCATCGGATTCATGGCGCCACCCTGTTGCACAGCATTTGGCGGCAAGACACCCGGACCGCCCACCTGCTGCTGTCCGCTGGGACCGCCAACAACATTGTGCTGCTGCTGCATATTCGTTGGCATTCCCTGCATGCCCTGATTAAGACGCATCATCGGATTGCCAATGCCCATCTGGAATACACATAAATATAATTATTTCGATATTCCGATTTTGAAGTCTATTACTCAATCAGTCACTAAATCGAACAGAATAGTCCACTCACCACCATTGGCGACATTTGGTTGGGCATGCCGCCTGCTGCACCGCCCGCTGGACCACTGTTGGGTCCGGGCCCCACCATTTGATTGGATATACCGCCGGCATTGCCGACAATCTGACCCTGGGCCTGCGCGACCGCCGGACCCATGGCATTCAGTTGCATGCCGCCTGCAACGCCTGGTCCGTTGCCACCGGCCATTTGCTGTTGCACCTGCACCATTTGCTGCTGCCCGCCAGCACCGCCGCCACCCATGGGCAGCTGGCCACGTATACTCGGCATGGGTTGCATTTGCTGCTGGCCGGGTCGTTGCTGATTGAGCGACTGCAGTAGATTAGAGGCGGTGCCTGGTCCGCCGGGACCGGCCATTTGATTCGGTCCGGGCGCCCCGCTGCCGCCGCCCATGGGCATCAGTTGGGGATTTCGATTACCCTGACTGGCGAGATTTTGCAGTGCATTCAACGGGTCCTGCATCAAATTCTGTTGTCCCATTTCCGCATTGGGTGGCGGCGGCTGTTGCTGTTGTTGTTGTTGCAGTTGCTGTTGTTGCTGCTGCTGCGCTTGAGATTTGCGCTGTGTGTCCTTGTAGTGCATGAACAGCTTGGCCACCAAGCCCAGATATTCGTCCCTGGTGCGCGACTTGCGGAAAATATGATTTTCCATCATGCTGGCATTTTTACTCGGCTCCGCATTTTGGGGCAACATGTCGTGGCTGCCGCAACAACAAAGAAAATCCATTAAGAAAAATGGAAAACATGAAATTTAACTTCAATTCACTACTCACATTTTGGATATGACATTCTGGCGAAAGCCCTGGCTCTGCCAGTCCTCAGCCATCTTTAATATTGCCTCTGTTTGCAACCTTTATTTAAATTTATAGCCAAAATTCGCGTCCGTCCAGTCCTCTTAGTTTTTCTCAATATACGCTTATCGATTAACATATGCATTCATTAAGTGGCAGCCCGTCAAACTTTTTGGCGGTCTGGCAAGGCCAACTTTCTTAGTGTTGCAGGTGTCAGTTATTTGTGGCGCGAAAATTCGAATTTTGGCAAATGGGTAGTTCGATTATGGTAGCGTTATTACTCGGCTCTTCATCTTGAGGTAAAATAGTTGCAGCATTAACAAAGAAAACCTGTTGGAATAACATGCAATTGAATTTACTCCGCAGTCATGATTAATATTGTCTATTGTTATACTACAAATTTTTAATTATATTTATAGACAAAATGCACTTTTGCTTGCTTGAAATTATTTACCATTCACAATATTTAAGTGGCAACGCTCCAACTGTTTTTGACAGTCTGGCAAGGCAAAGAAATTTAATGTTGCATGCGTCAGTTATTTGTGGCGCGCAAATTGAGAACTGAAAAATAAACAAATTCCAGCTAATTGCTGACCGGCGCTGAAGTGTTTGCGTTAACTGTAAATGAATAACCGACATTTTCAATTAGCACCACAGCTGCTGCTGGTCATTGCCAATGAAGTAACAGAGACTGCCTCTGACTAAACCACCTGTATGAAGCGGACTCTCTTACACACACATACAGTAAGAGAAAGAGAGAGAGAGCGCTAATTAGAATAGTGTTCGCTCTGAACTTTTACTAGCTTTCGTTTTGGCGCGTGCTTCTACTCACAGCTCACCGTACTCATCTATATGTGTTTTACCGTTGCTCATTCGTAACTCGACTTTCAGATAGAGCGCACGTCCGTTTTTCGTTGCTGCTCGGGTGTTCGTTCCGTACGGCGGTCCGTGTGCGTGTATTTGTCTATATTTATTTCTTTGCGTTGTTATTAACTTTTATATATTTACTACTACCACGCTTATTACTACCACTCATTACACTCCCCCGAGTTGTGTACGTTATATTTAGTTCTCTACAAAAATTTACGCGCCGCTATTTCGAATTCGACACGCTTCTGCCACCTGTACAGAGTGTCTTCTGCCCACCTCTCAGCAGCAGCAGCAGCAATCAACAAAAACAACAATTAAAATTGGAAACGCTGTCAATGCCGGCTGCATTCAAAGTCGCGTTTTGTGTTTTTTGTGTTTCTGTGTATCTCTAACTTCAATTCGTGCAAAAAGCGTCGAAAAAATTGTTTCGTAAACGTATCTTTTTACACAGTAAAATACAACAGCAACAACAAATACAACAACAACAACAACAAAAACAAAATAAAAATAGAGTGCGCGTATTATCAGTGACATTACCTTGGGGAATGAAAATTTGTGCCAAGCAGCAGCAGCAGAGTGTCGACTGCGACGGTGTGTGTATGTGTGTGTGCGTACAAAAAGATAATTGAATGCAATAAATGAAAAACGGCAACAAGAAGAGCATAATATTAAATTATATCACAAGTAACAGTGCACAACGGCGCACAACAAAACAATCAACGAAAAAACAGATACAAAACAAACACACACAACAATAACTAGCAGAGGCAGAGGCAGAATACGTTTAAGTGAACAACAGCAGCGGCAGCAGCAGCGACAGCGGCAGCGACAGCGAAAATAGCAACAAAATGTCGAAAAACTGTTGAGGTTTGTATATGTAAATGTTTGTAATATTAACTGCGAGTATGCCGAGAGCTTTTCTCTGTATGTATGTGTGTGTGTGAATACGTGGTTTATTTGCTGCTTCAGTGCATATGCTGCCCTCCCCACACCCCCCTCCCTCACTTTATATCTTGCACATTCACTCTCTCTTGCTTACCCTCCATCTCTCTCTATCTGGCCGTATGAGTGTGGCTTATGCTGCCCGCGTCGCAGTCGACGCAGTCTTGGGCTGCTCTACTTATTCTGTTCTTTTGCCATTTTTTTTGCGCCCCAATAGCGACAGCAACAATGTTGTTTCCAGCCTACAGCCCAAAAATGCCCCACACACATATACTCGCACACTCAGCAAGACAACAACAAGAACAATGACGACAACAACAAAAATAATGACAACGGCAAAAGTGTGTTGACATTTTTGTTGTTGTTATTGGCTTTTTGTGTTTTTCCGTCTGTTTTGCTCTATACGTATGTGCGCAGCTATACCAGTGTGTGTGTGTCTGTTGTGTCGGTGTTCTTCTGCCTGGCTGGGGTTGTGTACGTGTTTAAATTATCAAGCCGAGCTTGTCAGCGCTAGCAGCACGCACGTAAATATGTATGGGTGAATGTATGTGTGCACGTATATACAAATGTACATATTCATATGTATATGTAAAAATACAGCTGTATACAAGTGAATACTTGGGCAAACATACGTTCAGAAAAGCATACCTACAATGTGCATAAATAAAAGTAACAAAACAAAAAACGACAAACAGAATAAAAAAAATTTTTACAATTTTGTTTAAAAGATTCTTCACAATTTGTTTCTTTAATTACAGATTACTTTAATTAATCCTACTCAAATGTTGAAATTAAATTATTAAAAGAGAAGATATGCAAAACTTTATTTTAATTTGTGGAATTTTACAAAATATGTAGTTTTTGCAAAGACTTAGTTTTTTTTTGCGAGTGTAGGCATGGAAATGCGCATAGGGCTTCAATTCACGCTACACATGACAAATAGACAAAGCGACACATGGACGGACGGACTATAGAGAGGACAACCTATTGATTTTCAATCAATATTTATCGTGGCTTCTCCATACCACCCATCTACCATCCATCTCCCTCCACTTTGCCATACTGGGGCAACCGTGTCTGTGTCTTGGGGTTTCGTGCTTTGGTCTTTTCTGGCTTTATTGTTGTTGCTTGTTTTTCGTACGTTTTGCTGTTCGATTTTTGAAATTTGTTTTACATTTGAATTGCTATTGCTTCTTCTGTGGCTTCGGCGCCAACGTCGCTGCCGACGCTGCTGTCAAGCTGTTGTTGCTGCTGCTTCTTCATTCTTCATTCTCTATTCTCGTTTCACCTTTGGACGACGACGCGGGACTCACTCACGCATGTATAATCAACAACTGTATATTGAGCATGTGTGTCTGTGTGTGTGTGTGACTGCCTGTGTGAGAGTGCGACGGCGCTGCCAACTTTGCTAATGCTGTTGTTGCTGTTGCTATTATTGTTGTTGCTGTCAGTGTAATCGCGGTTTTTTTTTTATTATCATTTGATTGCGCTGCTTTTATGGTTGTCGTTGTTGCTATTATTTTGAATATATATTTTTTTTTGCTGTTTGTCGCCCCTTTTTGTTTTTGTCAATTCCCTTATTGCCGCGCAACCGCAAAACCGTTTTTGGCATTGTTTTTTTTATTATGTGTTGTGTTTTGTCGCCGTTTGCCGTTTGCTGCTTTGACAGCGTTGTTGTTCAATTTCATTTTAATTCGCTTTGTGGCTACGATGGTTAGTCCTATTTTCACCTGGCTGGCTCCAGCGGCGCAAATCATTTCTGGCTGCAGCACATTTCTCTCAATTTGTGTGTGTTGTTGCTGCTTTTGTTTGTCAGTTAGTCTTTGTTTGGCTTGTTTGTTGTTGCAGTTAACAACGTACACTGCTCGCCTGCCTGTCGCTTGTTTGTCACGCTTCGCCATCGAACCGTTAGGCAACGTCAGCGTCCGTTAATGGGAGCGTGCACTGCATTGCTGCCGACGAACAGTGTGACAGGATATCAATTTGAGCTTGACAAATATGCATATTCATATTTCGTCAATTTCCACATTCAAGAAACGAGTTAAAAAAAAGTTCAATAAAACGGCCTTTTAATAATACTGATTTATTTATATTCATATTAATAATGATTCCATTTTTATATTCAATAAGCAGATCAACAAAACACATTTTATCAATTCTTATTTATTTGCTCTATTTATTTTATAGACGCCTCTTAATGTTTTAAACAAATATGTAAATCAGTCTCAATTTGCTATTTTTAACTACTAGTTGAACCACTGTGCAAATGTGCAACTGTCATACTTGCTTTTTAGCGTACGTAAATTGCATGTGTGCATGTGTTTATGTGTTCATGCCTTCATTTCCGCCGACGCTGCAGCTGTCAAATGTGCAAGGACGACGTCAGGTATCAGCTCATAAACCCAACCATCTCGCTCTTTCTCTCTCTCTCTGTCTCTCTCTATCTCTCTCTAAATCACCACCCACCAGTAACACTTTTTTTGTAGCCTAGCCGGCGCTTAAATTGTGTGCGCCTCGTTTTCTCACCACGGCAACCACTTGTTTTCCCAAGCACAACAACAACATACACACACGCACACAAACACAAATAAACAAAAAGCACTCACTCAAACATTCATTCACTCTCTCACACGCACACACACACACATGCATGCATACGTACAGGCATTCGCTGTGAATGGTTTGTGTCATGTGTCCCGTTTTACTTGCAAACAGCCCTGCTTTAAAAACACAGGACTTTCCGTTCTGTCTGCGTCGGCGTCAGCGTCAGCGCCAAAGCCGACGTCAGCAGCGGCAGCGCGCCAAGCAGCAACAATATTCACATTCCGATGCGTCTCGGCTTGCGCGGCGGCAACAGATGAAAAAGTTTCACGCATTGAATAAGTTGAAATAGAATTAAGTTTGTTTTTACTTTTCTTCTGGGTTTTTTTATAATAAAAATTAAAAATAAAAGAAGCAATAAAATATTACGCATACGCAAGAGAGCTGCCAGATTGTCAGCCCATAACTATACTACACTATCCAACGCGGTCTGGTATGTGTGCCACACGCGTCTCAACGCGTCTCAACTCAACTCGTCTCGTCTCGTCTCGCTTCCTCTTGCTGTTGCTCTCGCTATGTGTTTGTGTTTTTTGTTGCGCGCGTTTTTTTGTTTTTTTTTGCTTAGCTGTTGTTGCCTTGGACATCAACATATGGCAACATAATTGAGTCGGTTCTGTTGTCGAACTCGATTTGTGCATACATTTTCTTGCTTCGCCTGTGCAGTTTTCTTGTTTTATTCAACGCGCCGTAGACGCAATAACGCAATCTAACGTAACATCTGGTCTGGTTAGCGCTACTTGCATTTATAAGTATACATGTGTGTGTGTGTGTATTAGTAGAAATGCCAACCAAAGCGATGCGTCTTTAAAACGATTTCGCTTTCAAATTTGCATACTTATGCATCCATACATGTATATATAACCTAAAAAGGGGTGTGACAAACTTGTTGATATTCAAGCCTAAATTCCTCGATATGATCTTCCGAAACTCGGGCTTGGTCTATCCTATGGTATAACTTATCTGCCATAAGCAGGAATTTTAATATGACTTCACACTGTTATAGCTGTGCCAAAACTGAACTAATTATCTGTTTACTATAGTTGAATTCTATGTGTATCCAATAAGTATGTTTTAAATTTATTTTAAATACCATTTTTAATTGACACAACAGTGGCAGAACTTGAACTTAGTGGGTACAATGTCCAATTGTTTAATTGTAAAACAGAACCTGAAGTTGTCAAAACAGATCCGATTATTATTATAACTTCAGCAAGGGCATTCAAACCTCGACAGTTGCGCTGATAACCGTTCACTGGCTGGCTTTTATTTTCATTTCGATCTCGATCTCATTTGTTGATATTCATAATAATTATGATGATGAGGTAGTCAATTCGATACGCTCAATTAGACTAAGAGCTCATCAATATGGTACGGCGTAGTGCTTTCCGCATTAGATGATTGGAGATTAGTGCAAAAGGTGACCCAATGTGTGAGCCATCAGTAGCGCGTGAATGATGAGAATGTTGACCAACCAACAATAACCTCCACGCATAACAAAAAATATGGTGTATTCGTGCAACAGAAACGAAAGTGAATTGACATTATGAATTCCGAGTTCTTCAGTGGTGCGCCGACGTGCATTTATCATACAAATTGCCAGCAGAGGCGGAGAACGTTGCGTATGCGTGCCACAACTACGACCACAACAACAACGAATACAAAAACAGCAGCAGCAACAACAACAGCAGCAACAACAGCAGCAGCGGCAGCAGCAGCAACAACAGCAGCTGCAGCTGCAACTTACGCTTTCGCTGACCGCTGCTTGCTACGTCTGCTGGTCACAGGTGGTCAGCGTCGTCGTCGAAGTCATCGTCGTATTGTGTGTCAGTGGAAATTATTTAAAATGCACTTCATTACACTGAGCAAATAAAATGTTGCAAATGTGAATAGACATTTGATAGCCGTCCAACATGTTTGAGTAAAGTCTAGGACTGAGTTGATTTAATTGACTAACGAAACTTTTGAAAAAGCCAACATGAATATTAAACAGTTTGTGTTGCATCGTTTGTTTTCTCAGTGTACACATGTCGTGGTTTAAGGGGTCGCCACAATTAATGTAGCTCTCCTTTGAAGTGCAAGTGTCTGTGTGTGCGTGTGTGTGACTGTGAGTGTGTGTGAGTGTGTGTGGCACACTTTGTTGTGGGCCTGTTGACATTGAGCGTCGTCCGGCGTCACGCCCTACCGTGTAAACCAGACGTATTGTCGTCGACCCCACTGTCCACAGTGCCAACTGCACTGTGGTCAAAATGACATAAATAAATAGATGATAGATTTTTGTATTTAATAATATTAATGAGTGTGTTGCAAATTAAAGCGCAATAATTGGAATTTCCAAGCTAATTTATTGATACTGCTATTGTTTGTATATTTTGCAACATTCACTTGAATTACTTGAATTCTGCAAAACTTTAAATAATAATAATTATTGTATCCGGCGAAATTGGACAAATTCCGGATGGTTTAGTCAAGTGGATAACTTGACTGTTTTTTGATAAACCATACTTTGTCTGAGGCCTAATTATTTTATCTTTATGATACAGATAAGGATTAAAAAAAATAGTTCATATTTGTTGGTTTCTGCGCTGCCTTATTTGATAGCATTCGCAACTCAACAAACAGTCACACAATCAATAGCTATTGCAAAGTTCAGATTGTAGAATATACATATTAAAGTATTTTGCTTAAATGATTTTCCATATTTCGAGCAGAAAAATTGATCCGTTTGCCCCGTGTGGTTCATTGTTCCACTGTTCAACGGCAAACGTTAATATTTAATGTACAATCGTATTTCACTAAGTTGACGCGAGTTCTCCATCTCTTTAATATTGGTTGCCCGAAGGGGTTTGTGAAGGGGGCTGGGGTCATTTGCCGGACAGCGTCGAGAAGCATTTAGACATCAACCCCATTGACATACACTTGAATGAGGACCTGCGCGCGTGGAATACGACATTTATGACCATTAAACTCGCCGCCAGCAGTCACCGGCGACCAACTGTTTTTTCTTCTGTTTTTTTGTTGTTGTTTTTGTTGATTTTTTTGGTGGGGTGAGGTGGTTGTGGGACTTTTCCATTTTTCACTGAAATGCCATGGAATAATTGCCTTTTCCTGTAGTGCAGCACACACATGTGTTTGTGTTGAGTATCTGTGTGTGTGTCAAAGGGGTTGAGGCAACAGTGGCAACTGTAAACAAAGCTGAAATTAAATACACGTATGTGTGTGTGTGTGTGTACTTGTGTGTATACACACATTGTGTGTATCCGAGTAATTCATCAACTTTTGTTTTCATGCCCTTGCAGAATGGCATAATTAAGCATGTTCCACTCTCTAAAGGGGCGAGAACAACAATTTTATAATCCAAAACAGCAAAAAGGCAACTTGCGAGCACAATCATAATCAGATGTTAAGCCACATCTTGTCTATTTTGCTGTTTATAACCTGAAGTCACTAAAAATGTATATATAAGAGGCAGATCATGATATCTATGTATATATTCTTGATCGATATCAAAGGGCAAGTCGATCAAATCTAGCTAGTTATCTGTTCTGTTTGTTTGTAGACTCCGATCTCAGAGACTATAAAAGTTAAAGCTAATTTGGAATATTAGATCTCATTTAATATCGATAACTTCCGTTTACTCGAGTTAGATAAATATCGATTACCGATAGCAATTTGAAATAACTAACTCGTCTCAAGGAACAACAAGTTTCGTTCCTCTTTTAAGCCCTTACTTGTTTTTATAAAGTTACCTTAAAGCATTGCCATTATTTCGAAAGAGAGAATAATAAATGGGTCAATTGTTAAATAAACTTTTCAAGCGTAGATAAGTTCTTCTTTTAATTGTAAACTATTTCAACTTAGTTCAAAAAGGAAGCCATTCTCAATATTCTTGTTGTTCTGCTTTACTTTGACCTGGCTTTGCATTTGTTGTTTACTTTGCGCTTTCCCCTGCAGTGCAATCCATGTTTATGGGCGCTGTGTGAATTTAATTACGCGGCACAATCAAGTTAACTGCTTTGCCTTTTTTGTCATTGCAGCTGGCAAAATGGACACGGCCGCCATGGCCATTGCTGTCGGCAGCAATTCCGGGCCCGGGAGCAGCAGCAGCACGAGCAGCGGCTACGGCAGTGCCACAACGACACCGACAACGCCGCTCGGCTCCGGCGGCCACTATGAAGCGACGTCAACGCCAATGGCAACCATAGCGACAGTGGCGCCCTTCTACAGTGAAGCCTTGACCAGTTTGGATGCACAGCACCGACATCAGCAGCAACAGCAACATCAACAACAACAGCAGCAGCAGCAACAAGCGCATTTTTATCATCAGAATTATGGTTATGGGGGAGGTATGGGGAGTGGCATGTCCTTGGATGCTTACAATTACAGTGCCTATAATTATAATGCGCCAGCTGCTGCTGCACGATACGAGAAGTTAACGCCCAAATATAACAGCAGCAACAGCAGCAACAATATGATATCTGGCAGCAAGCCACAAGCGGCAGCAACACCATTTTATGCACAGCCTCAGAGCATGTCCATGTCAATGTCCATGCCAATGTCCATGAGCCAAACAAATCCCTATGAGGCATACAAGTACAAAATGCCAATGCAACAGCAGCAGCAGCAACAAACACAACAGCAACAGCAACAACAGCAACAGCAATATATTGGCATGAGTTTGGGCATGACACAAAAGTCAACGCAAGCGTTGCAACAATTGCAACCATTGCAGCAGCAGCAACAACAGCAGCAGCAGTTGTCGCCACTGGAGCCCAACTATGCAGCCATCAAGCCAAGCAGCCGCTATCCAAATATGCCACCAGCTGCATACAACACTCAATCAGCAGCGGGTAATTCACCGGGGCAGGTGTCAGGTGCCTACTATGACAAGTACGGCATGTCGCTCTACCCACCCAATGGTGGTCTGAGTTTTGGGGCACCTGCTCCGCTTTATAGTCCGCCGGAACTAAATGCGGAGACGGCGTATCGCAAATCGAGCAGTAGCAGTTGTCACTGGAGCGTTGACTACAATGCCGCCAACTGTCGTGTCACCCCATCAGCAATGGGTGTCAGCAATACCGTCGCCTCCACCAGTGCCTATCATCAGACGTCTGGAGCATCGCCCAGCAGCGATTTGTACTACAAGTATGACAAGTATGCAACGCCAACGGCGCCAGTTAATTATCCAAGCAATCCGTATCAGACCAATATGTCGCAACCGTATGGCGGTAGGGCCATGTGGCCCATACCCAATCCCGTTGAGAATGTGCCACAAAATGCGCGCCAGAGCTGCTGTACGCAGGCCTATCCGCAGCAGAGTTGCTACTATCCGCGCAGTAATGGTTACGCCGTACAGCAAGCAGCAGCAGTGGCAGCAGCAGCAGCACCTCCACCACAATATTCCGGCGTTAATCCCAGCAGTGCCTTGGTCACCCACAAGCTCAAGCATCCGACTGATCTCTACAGCGCCTACGACTCGCCTGCCCAGCTGAGCTACGGCTATGGTCAGCCACCGGCTGGTGTTGCTGCAGCCAACGCTACCCCCGCCACCGTCACACCCGTCACCAACAATAGTCAGCGCTTTGTGCCGCAGCTGGGCCTCAACATGAGTCTGAATATGGGCCTGGAGGCGAATGTGAGCACCGCCTACTACAATGATCTCAGCAGCCTGGACACCTATGGACAGCAGTCGCATCGATCGCAGCCCTACCAGACCGGCAATCCACTAGACCCTCCGTACGCCTATCGCAAGCGTCCGTTGCCAGCGGTGCCGGCCAACAGCAATTGCTATTTGACGCAATCGGTTGCAGCGCCACTCAGCAATCTCGAGGCACATGTGGACAACTATGTCGGCTACGATCTGCACGCAAGCGCCGGACCGCATTATGCGACGCAGCCACACAAGCAGCAACAGGCGCAGCAGGTGCAGCAGGTGCCCAGCTCGAATAGCTCGAATATCCGTGACTTTTTGGCCAGCTGGAATGATGACGAGGAGGAGCTGCCAGCACAACAGCAGCAGCAGCTACAAAACAGACTCGAGCTGGAGCAATCACAGCAAACATCGGCAGTAGCTGTGGTGGCACCGGTGGTAGCACCACAGCATGTGGTAACTGCCCCACCCAGTTTCATGTATGAGACACTAGCACCCACAGGTCCTGTGGCCACTGCCGTTGTCGATCATCAGTTGAGCGAGCTACAGTCAATGAATCTGCCCGACATTATCATCGATCATCATCACGATAAATCGAATCTAGCAGGCAATGTGACGCATGTCGAGGATACCTTTGCCAGCTTCGATGTCGAAAAGGAACTGGATGAGCTGCGTCTAAAGAAATCGGGCGTTGAGCCTTGCGATGAAACGCCACCAGTTGAGAGTATAGCCTTGGCTGAGATACTACGAGAACCGGCCTCGGAGGTGCTGCCAGTCGAACCGTTGCCTCTACCCGTGGAACTGACCAGTCCACAGTTGCCGATCACTAGCAGTATTAGCTGCTTGCCAGGACCGCCCAGCATTGAGCTTGATCATAGCAATAGCAATTCGGACGAATCGACTTTCGAGAAGGAATACGAGACTTTCATACACAAGATCGATGGCAGCGAAAGCGAAACGGAAATGACGGCCACGGGCGACGATGAGTATCGGGAGCAGGCGAAACGCTTCAAGTTCTATAAACGCAAGCGAAAGACAACGGAGCCAACGTCGACTAAGGAAATAGAAAAAACAGACGAAGCTAACCCGGTAGAGAAGGTCCCTAAACCTCTGTCGCCCGCGGCCGGGCCAACTCTAGACGAAGCTTCAGTTCAAGTTAACATTCCTGTGCCGCTCTTAGCCAAAGCCTCTGCGAGAGCTAGTCGCAAGCTTTCGGCGCGCAATCGCATTAAAATGTTAAAGATACTCGAGTTTGAGAGTCCCAAGACCAAGCATCGATTCTACTTTCGTGCGCTGAAGCTGCTACGCAGGAGATACGCCTTGGTCAAGTTGCGGGAGAAGCGTTCGCAACGCATGCGACGTCAGCTCTCGTTGAGGAGGGAGCGTTGCCTGCCGCTGATCAAGCGTCAATCTGCCAAACAAATTGCCACACAAAATCCACTCAGTCTGAAGGGTTTGAGCTTTTGCGCCCTGAACTCCAGTCGGAGTTCGGCGACAACCTCGGGCCGTGAGACGGTCATCAAAAGTGGTTATGCCATGAGAGAAAGCGTCGACTGTGTGACTAGCAAGGAGCTGCAGCTGCAGCTGGAGCAGGTGCCAAGTGCAGAGTGTCGGGAGGAGCAGCATAATGGTGACTCCAATCACACGGTGCAATCCGTGGAGCTGCTGGGCAGCTTCAAGGGATTCGATGATGTGGAGAACATCAATTTATCGCCCAAAGCAAAGCTGCATTCCGAAAGCGAAGAGAAAGTGAAGCGTGAACAGCAACGGCAAGTGAACTCCTTAAAGCAACAGGAATCCACAAACAAAGGGAGTTATTTAGTAGAGCAGGACCAAAATTCATTGGAGCAAGGAGAAATTAAATCCGCCAAAGAGACGAAAAGCCAACTGGAAGTGGACAAGGAACCTCCGCAGGAAGTTAAATCCTTGCAGCAAACAGAAACTGTGGAGAATGTAAATGCCCTAAAGCAGGAGGAAACCCAAGACGAAGTGCATCTCTCAGTGCAGGAGTCAAAGCAACTAGAAATTCAGCGCTGGTTGGATCACAGCATGGAGGATCAGTCGACGGCTCTGCTGTTACAACCCAAACCAAACACAGTCATCTGCTTAGGCTCCTCATCATCGTCATCCTCTAGCTCCTCCTCCAGCTCAACAACATCCTCCTCAAGCACCAGCTCGAGCAGCAGCTCAAGTTCCGATCGCGATGCCAATATGCCTAAGCAGAATGCCAGCAGTACGAGCAGCAGCTGCTCCGGCGAGGAGAGCGACTTCAATGAGATGGCTGCACTGGAAAAGGAGCTATCCCAGCAGCTGCCAGCGCTGCCAATGCAGGAGACTACGCAGGCGTTGACCGCTGATCCAACCAGCGACGAAATTTCCAACAATGACATTGCCAAGCTCAAGCAAATTCTCGAAAGCGATGGTGAACAGGAGGAGGAGAAGGAGCGGGAGCAGGAGCAGGAGCAGCTGGTGGCCACCAGCAACATACCAAAGCTAAGTGACCTTAGTAAAATTGCCTTAAATAGTTCCTTAAAAGTTAGCGACTTAGTCATAAGTGCCCCAGGGGCTCAACAGATCCTGCAGGATAACCACAAACAGAAGCCGGCGACGACGCCAACGACGACGCGGGAGCTAAGCGTCGAGGAGGCGCTGGCGGAGATGTATCAGCAAATCGGTGTCGCCTCCGATGCGGAGGATAATGAAGCCGAATCGGAAGTCAGCAAGCAGCTGATTGAAGGTGCTGCAGCCGCCGCTGCTGGACAGGATGTGCTGCTCATCAATCTTGCCGAGATCTTTGACAACAACAGCAGTGATCTGTATGTAGTACAGTGCGACATGAATGAGAACATACTGGGCGTGGTAGCGGATCAAAATCAGGACGAGGCTCAGCAGGGCGAGCAGGAGGATGAGGAGGAGGACGAGGAGGCTGGGCAACTGCAGCAAGCGCAGGAAGCAACTGCAGAGCAAACGAATACACTGCAGCTAATCGAGCTGCTGACTGATGCGGGGCCACAGGAGTCACAATTCGATGCCACGCCGCTCATCCATCACGAGGAGGTGGTGCCCGATGATTACAGGATCTTTGAGCGCAAGGAGTTTCTCAAGTATCTGCATAGAAAGCATGTGCAAAATAACATTAGTCGATTCTACCATGCCCAGCGTGTGCTCAAGAAGTACAAGCGCCGTCGGCTGCCCCAATCCGCGAAAGCTCAGACCTTGACCAAACGGCGTTAACCAAAGATTAGATATCACCACAACCATACATATACAAATGGGAAGTGCTGAAGGGGGTGGGATTTGGGGCCTGGAGCATTTGTCGCTCTAGCATGAAGCATTAACTTGGCGTGCCTAATGGATTATAAATTTGAATTCAAATTATCCACACACACATTAACATCCACACACACACACACATTCACAAACACACACCCACACACACTCACACACTGCACACATTTCGAGAATCTCAAAAGACTTGTTTATGTAAAAATCAAACTTTTTTGGCAGCTTTTTTATTATACATATTTAGACAAATGTATATGTAATTATGTAAAATTAAATATTTTGTCCTTTAGCAATGTATATGTATATTTATACATCAGTTTACATATATTTATCAACCAAAAATGACAACTCTTTGGTTAATAATAATAATAATGAGCTACGCTTTAAATGTAATGTTTTTTTTTATATATTACCATTAAATTAACTGTTTCAAAAAACACTTCAGTATAGAAAGAAAATCATGCATGTGATTTTGAGCAAATAGAATTCCTTTAAGAATCAAACAATTTTGCGAAAACCAAAGCGTTCTAATTTTTTTTTTTTATAGTTATTTTGTTCAACTTTTTGATGTTATTTGTGGAATGGCAAAAGACAGAAAATATTTAAGTCTAATTAAAAAAGAGCAAAAAAAAAACGTTTTTTTTTAAATAACTCTATATAAATACTATGGATATATTCTTTAGCTGATCGTGTAATATATTTTTACATGCAAATAACGTGTTTGAAACTAATTTTTAAACTATCAACATTTCAAATTCGAATCTCGTGCAAAAGTGGAGGCGATCGGGGGGCGTGCACACCTGTCGTATACGCGATGTGCAGAACCATTAGCATTATGCTTGTATGTGTGTTATTGTTGTTCAACTCGCGTGCAATTAGCTTTTAAAAATCGAGCGCATATGTATGTCACTTCAGCCATATATATAAATACTTATCTAAATATACTTATAAATTCGTATTCGTAGTGCGAGACAGAGTGAGCGAGATGGAGCGAACTATTTCATTCTTTTGTCTTTGTTGTTGTTTTTTTTTTTTTGTTATTTGTTATCAGTTAAGTGTATCAGTACTTTAGTCGCTGGGGGCAATTTAAAGCCGGCTGTCGCTCGTCAGAGGTCAAACAGTAGACACAGTTATGCAGATATAGATTCAGATATAGAACACACTACATACCCCACAGCTGGTTGAGCTTTGGTTTGATTCTTGTTTGTGCTGATTTCACAATTCTCTGCAATTATGACCAAGTACAGCCCTATTTATTTCAAGTTGATGGCCAACAAAACAGTCCACAAGCCTCGCAGCTTATCCTAATGCTTTCATACATTGGAAATAATTGTATATTATAGGTTGTCTCTGTATTTCCCCTTTCCACCTTTGTTGCCACGCCCACTTGCACATTGCCTCATCAAGAAGTCGCTCCAGCAGTATCTAGCTCTATCGGCTGCAATATTCTAACTTCTTTATAATTGTTTTTAAATAGTTTTTTTGTTTAAGTTAAGAACTTGCAAACTGCCTTCAAAATGCAGCCTAGACCAAAAAAAAAAAAAGAAAAGGAATATGAAAAAAAGAAAAAGACGAAGATGGAGAAATACATTTATATATAGAAAGAAACTGTTAGTTTTAGATTTGTTAGAGAGTTGTCAGTTCAGTTACTTCTGTGCTTAGTTCAAGACTTGTTTTTTTTATAGTGCAATTTATGTTAAGATGGGAATTGTTAAATATAGCATAATTATTTAGCATACTTTTCGTGTCTGGAAGACCGCTTAAATGGCCTTTATTTATTAAGAGAATCGTTTATATATTTTACTATACTATACTTACTATATGGAGGGCAAATGCATTAGTCAACTGAGGATTTTTTAATTACAGTAGACCGTAGATAAATACTGATTTGGTATGCGGATGCGTAATGCAAGTTTACAGTTAGAATCGGTAATACTATGGATTACGTAAGACCAGGAACCAAAAATAGTTAGTTGGACACAGCTTTTACTATCCGACTTAATCATGTGAAACCGACCACCTACAAATATAGCTAAATTGCAATTACAGCGAATATCGTTTGACTTGCAAAACACATTCCAAAGGACCAAAACATTTAATAAAAACACAAGAAACCAAAACTCTAAGCAAATGTTATTTATAAATGTATTATATGATATATGTATGTATACATAAAAAGAAATCAAAAAAAAAGAAAAAAAAAAGGAAATAATAATAACAAAAAAAACAAATGGGAAAACTTTCGGGTACACGTTGTTGTTGTTTGTTTGTTTGTTTGTTTTTTTTGTCAAATTCTACTAATTTGTGTGCAATATTTAATATGTATCAAGCAAATCAAATCCATAGATTAATGTAATACGCTTAATTTTAGTACAAAAGCAAAATTCAAATGCAATGCAAATTGAAAATGCAAAAATGCCCACTAAATGTAATAATATTTATTATACTACTATATGATCTATGCAAACTGTAATATGTATGCCTCATAAATATGCCTACATAATATATATATATACATATATATGTCCTTTACACATACACACAAAATACACACGTACATATGTACTAAATATGTATACATTTTAAACTACATCTATTTATATGTCGTGTACATCTTGAGAGTTTTTTTCTTTCCAATTATACTTTTTCTTAGACCCTAAGTATAATATGATCTGTCCAGATTGTGACTATATATACAAACAATATATATATATATGTAAATGTGAGTGTCTTTTTGAAAGTATAACATAAAATACAAAAAAATAACAAAACAATACAATAGATGGATAGACCAACACCAACAGCAACAACTATACTAATTGAATGGAATAAATGTTTTATGTACATGTTATTGCAAAATGAAAATACTCCGATTGTTTTCTTCTATTTCCCCTGAAAACGCTTCTCGGCCAAAATCATCGCATAAGGATATATAGGTAAACTGATTGTAAACTGATTTCTTTATACAATACAGCAATATATATTGCATTTTATTCGTTTTGTTGTTGTTTGTTTTCTTTTCGTTTTGTAGAATTCAAAAATACAGCACAGTTCACAAATCTAGAATTTGCAGGCTAAAGTAAAAAACCAACTGGGTATAGGTTCTTTCGCCAGTCGCTTGCTCCTCCAACAAGGACCTCATTTAGTGTTTGCTTACACTGCGCACTCGCGCACTTCTCTCTCATTCGTCTCTGTGCCTCTGTTCTTTGGTCTAACTGCAACTTGTTGCTACTCGTACTTGTCGAAATAGCGCTTCTTCAGATCCGGCGGATACGTGACATATATGTAGTGCTCATTCTGGCCATGAGTCGCATCGCTCTGCACAATCTCGTGCGTGGAGCTGGAGGCTCGCAATGATTGCTGCGATGCGCCCACATGACGATGTCGCGTCTCCAGCGGCCGGGGATGTGTGTTATAGTGTCGCTGATCAGCACCACCACCACCAGCCACAACACCACCAGTGCTAACATTGCTGCTCACCACGCTTGTGGCAATGGGGCGTCCCGCATTACTTGTATAGTCGCGTCGGTCTAAAATGTCCTGTGGGTAGGCCAGGCTCGTCGAGTGACGATGGTGCAGTGGCGTGTTGGCGTTGGATGAGGACGCTCCCGCTTGCCGGACGCCGCTGGATGAGATTGTGGGCGTGCCCAGCACCGCTGCTGCTGTTGTTATTCCCGACAACGACGCCCCCGCTGGATGCTGATCGGCGATGTAGTGTCGCGGACTGTGGCGATGATATTGAACCTGTTCTGGATACAAATCTCGAGCTGATGCCGCTGCTGCTGCCTGCTGCAGCTGTTGCTGTTGCTGCTGCTGCTGTTGGTAGTAGAACTGTTGCTGTTGTTGGGCAGGTATCGCGCCGGCGTCCAGCTGCTGCTGTGTGGCATAGTCGAGCTGGTAGTGGTGCGGTGGTGCTGGCATGTAGATGCTGCCTCCGGTTCCGGCGCCGGCATAATGATTGGCATTGATTGTCGTTTCTTCGGAGCTGAAACAAATGACTTGGGTTTGCTCAATCTCAATCTGGGGGCTAGTTGCCGCCACAAGTGGCCACACTTACTCAAACAGTATCCAAATGATGTAGTAGCAGAAACAGATCCCAGTCGATAGCACAAAGATCAGTATGACAATGAGACCCCAGGGAAAGGCACGTGGTTCCAGTGGGCCATCCTCCCAGTACCGATCACAGGTTAGGTACCAGCAGACCGCCTTGTTCATCTCCTCCTCCATCTCCTTGAATGCCGGATCCGGCATCACCAGCAGCAGACCACCAATGCAACTTCTAAGTAGGAACTCACAGCGTGCTTTCAGCTTGCTCAGCTCCTCTGGCTTGCAATTGGCTCGCACCTTCGTCTGGCCAACAGCATCTGCCGATTTTTCGGCATCCGGCTGCTCGCCGCTGCCCTCCACATCGCCACTATGGTCCACCTCCTCCGTTTCGTTGTTGCGCTTGGTTTCCGACTCCGGTTCGGATTGTACATCGGGTCGCTTTAGATGCGCCTGTCCCAGCTCCTTAAGCTTCATTAGCAGCTTCTCGCCCGCGGATTTGGGCTTAGATGCTGAACCTTCCTCGCCAGCTGCCGCGTTGCCGGCTTCTGTGGAGGACTGTTCCTTGCTTTGGCTTGGCTTCTCTTGGAGTAATTGACGATTTTGTACTTTGGCTGCACGCGTGGCACTCAATGTGGAAGTTCTGCAAAAAAAAGAAGATATTCTTTTAACATTTGGATTAGATGGAGCCGTAAATGCTTGCCTTGGTATTAGACTCAAGTATGCGGCATTCGCTTTGGCCAGTGCGGAGTTCTGACCCAATGAATCACCCCAAACTTCGATATCGGTGACGATGTGCTGATCGCCAAACTTTAAGCTCGAAGCATCCTCCGTTTGGAATACCTCACAGCGCATTATATCGCAAAAGTCGGCCAGGCAAACGGAGTCCTCCGCCTGTAAATAAGATAAAGATCAATTAAAGAATTCATATCTCAAATAATCTCGATATTATCTAATCTCTGTCTCATAAAGTTTATGGGTAGCTAGTAGTTATCTAACGATTGTTCATATTGGAGCTGTATATGTTTATAAATTTATAAGCATAATAAAACTGATATATGTTGGCTTAATAAACAATGCTGTTTTTATAAAATAATGCAGTTCAACGTTGGGTTTCCATGGATATGGAATTGATGATGATATTCGGTTCAGAGCAATGATTTTAATTAGTGAGTTCGGTTAAGGTAACATTATGAATTTTTAAAGATTTTAAAGATTCAGTGAGAGCTTAGTTAACAAGAGTGGAGATGACTCCTTTAAGACATGAGCTAATTATGAGACCTTCTGAAATGATATATTAAAGAATCTTTATATCGTACCTCATTGATGATGTGCTTGTGGCGCGTATCAAAGTGCAAATCGAGAAACTTTTCCTGATAGAAGCTCTTGCCACAACGTCGGCATGTCCACTGAGTGGGTCGATCCCGCTGCTTCTCATCCTGGCGCGGCGCAAACACATCTCGCAGCGGATGCAGCGGACAGTCCAAGGGCAGCTTTACCTAACATGGAAATAATGTATAAATCTGAATTATTTTGTTTGCGATGTCGCTTACCTGATGCTTATCCAATATGGGCGTCCACTTGGAGCGTACTATCTTGCGGACCAGACGGCTGTTATCTCGCGAGCAGAGTAACTTGATAACATTTGAGGGTGGCCATGGTATCAGCAATAAAATGAAGATTACAAATTGCTTGGATGTCATCAAGCGAAGCGTGGAAAAGTGCAATCTGTAATGCAGTCAAGAAGACAATATCAAAATACAATCATGACACAAATGCCGATTAGCCGAAGGATGTGTTAGTTTGGAGTCCACCAACTGCTGCCCCAAATATATTAATTACAGGGTGCCGTCCATTTACAATCGAGAGACACGCTACCAGCTGACCGCATCAGGCAATGCCGCACCCCACCCCACACCCTCCAAGGCAGTCAGTCCCTACCCCATGGCGTCTTTTCAATTTTGGGTCACTTCAAGTAAAAAAAAAAAACGGCTGCGCAGAAAATCAATAAGGGAATGTGACCAAAGGGGGTGGCTGAATGGATGGAGAAGGCAGCAGGGTAGCTGGCAGGCGGTTAACCGTTATTTTACTTACAATACAGCAAGCAGAGAACTTAAGATTCGTTTTGACACTCACCTCGAATTGATGGATAATCAGGCGACATTCATTTTATTTATGCAATTTATTGTTGCACAAAAATGTTTGTTGCTCTTCAATTTTTAATGTGATTCGCTTGGAGCTGGCGATTTTTTCGAGGTTAGTTTCCACCTTGTAACGGTTTAAGGGTTCTTCGTGAATTAGACAAACGCCAACAGAAAACAAACAGAAAATCATTAGTTTTTTCCTAGTGATTTGTTGTTTTTTGTTCTACAATTGTTTTTGCGTTTTTCGTTTTGTTATAAATAAAAGCTGCAGCCCCGTTGCTTGACGTCCACACTGCTGAAAATTTCCACACTCTTTAACCCGCAAACGGAGCTCGCCTTGCCACTCGGCACACGCTCCATCTCTCTCTCTCTCACTCGCTCTCATGCTCATTTTCTCTTCGGCTGTTTTTCGCTTCGTTGTCCTGCGCCGCGATTTACAGCTGTTTGGCAGGGTTGCCAGAAAATGAGCTTAAGTCGTGTATATTCCCTGTAAAAGCGTGCATAAGTGGAGTATTTCAAGTTTAAATATATGATGAGTGGCATAATTAATACCTAAGATTAATACTTTGTAAGATAATCATTATGATAATGTTATATTTGATTTGTAATTGTAACCTATATAAAGTAAAGTTGAATCTACTGATTACTTATCTGATCTTAAGCCTAAATCAAAATTGATTACCAATCCAAGATTAATACTACGAATACGATTAATTTATACAAAGTAAGATAATAAACTTAAGCTTTTAATCATATGCTATTAAGGATACGCCCTAATGGGGCATTTAAAAATTATTTTCACATATTTTTAGGATATGGCCGAGTTAGAGCATTTCCGCGTACCCCTGAAAGTATGCAGCAATTGGGGTTTCTAGGGAAATTTAGCCAATTCAACAACCTAATTTGTGTCTCGGGCCAGTTCACATCCTAATCATATTTCTCAACATACTAAAGAAAAAAACATTTTTCCGGTACTCAAAATGTTTATTTTTAACCTGATTTGCGGATCCTTGAACAATTTGTATAATGGTGGCTTGAGTACAAGATTTGTTTAAGATTATATATCAAATACACTCCTATGGGGAGTAAACTAAATCGAATAGTTGCTAATAAATGTAGGTATTTATTTTAGTTTTTCCCGTTCATGTTTTACTGGTGGGATCGCTTTGTGGCTTTTGTGGAACGATCCCGAATTGATTTATTTTTACAATTACTAGACTATACACAAGTTGTTGCGCACAACTTTTTACCGGCAACAAAGTCTTAAATAAATACTACTTAAAGTACAGCCCTGATGCAAATGACGTCCAAAAGATTCACAGACCATTGTAGACGCGATTTATGGACGATTGTTCTAGTATGCTCTTGAGGGCTACGAGGAAGAGAGAGTGAGAGAGAATTAAATTAGTACTTCGATATGCAGATGAAGCTTTATGCTGTTTACCTTCTTTGTGCTCCTCCGTCAGGTCCTGTTTGGGGAACTCCACATCGAATGTGATGTAAAGATTACCCGTCAGATTGTTGTTCTCAAAGTTCGGCATGCCCTCGCCCTTCTTCCGGATGCGTGCACCCGGCCAGGTGATCTTCTCGCGCGTCACGCTCACTCTGTGTCCATCCAGATGCTTAATCTCCATTGTAAAACCAATGAGTGCATCCTGCAGACTGATCGTCACATTCGTATACAGATCATCGCCCTTGCGCAGGAAACGTGAATGTGGCATCTGTTGGACGCGCACCAGTAAATCACCGGGCTCGCCATCAATATGGGGCTCACCCTCCGCGACAAAGCGCGTCTCCTGGCCATCGACCATGCCCTGCTCGACTTCAATCTCCAGTGTGCGCTCCTCGTTAACGAGCTTCACATTCGGACACTCATCGCAAACGGTTTGCTGGATCATTTGGAAACGTCCGGGGCCAAGATTACGGGTGACCATCTCCTGGCGACAATTGCATTTGCGTGTGCCGGAGGCGGGCTTCACCACTGGCTTGTTGCGCACAATCTCCACAAAATTGCCCGAATAGAGCTCTTCGAGTGAGACATACATATTCATCACAATATCAGCACCGCGGGGCGTATCATGCTGATGGGGATCACCGTTGCCAAAGTGAAAGCCAAAATCGCCAAAGAAACTGGAGAACGGATCACCGCCGTGATCCATCATGCCCTCCTTCTTCAGGCACTCCTCGCCGCAGCGATCGTAGGTCTTGCGCTTGTCCGCATTCGAGAGCACCTCGTAGGCGGCGCCCAGATCCTGAAATTTCGTGGCCGCCTCCGGATCATCTTTGTTCTTATCGGGATGCAGCTCCTTGGCCAGTCGCCGATACGCCTTCTTTATCTCATTCGTGTTCGCGTTGCGTTTCACATTGAGTATACTGTAAAAGTCTCGCGCTGCCAGCACCTCGTCCAGCAGGAAAATGGCCAGCTGCACAATTAGCAACCCCTTGATTAGCTGCATTGTGTGTCTGTGTGGATTGTAGGCTACGTGGTTAGTTGTCTCTTCTAGTTGTTGCTAGTGTTTAATTCAACAACATTATCTGGTTATCTTGTGTATGAATTTGCAGCTCGCTCACAAAAATAATACGACTGGCAAAAATTCTCGTGTAAAACTATCTATGCTTGTGTGTGTGCATCGTGGTTGGCGTTGATTGGTCGAGGCCGGCGTGACGGTGTTACCACCTAATTCTATATGCTCCAGCTGTTTCGTATTTTTGGTATTCTTTCGCTATGGCGGTCACACTTAAATGAGCAAGCGAACAATCGATATTTCTGATATGATGAAGTTAATTCGTTTGTGAATATAATATTTGAATATAGTTGAAATTTAATATTACTAACATTGTATCCAACTCCAAGTTCAATATGTGCTCAAGCTGTAATTAGTGAGGATATATTAAATATATATTACGTTGCTTTCGCTTAACAATTATTATTCTAAACATTTTAATTGCAACTGCCATAACTAATTTTGTATTTGTACTGAAGTTCGTATTGAGCAGTCATAATGATTATTACTCCCATCTCTAATCTCGACCAGTGCTGGTAAATGCGCAACATCCACAACAATTGTTTACGGCTGTGGTCGCGAGAACTTTTATAATTTGCAGAATCGGCCAAACAGCAATTAACAAGCGTTACTGCCACTCGCTGCTGACTTCCACATCCTACTAAATTCACAAAGTGCCTTATTTCTTTTCATAACTGTGAATCGGTCATGGTTATTTGGCAAGAGAAATTTCAAGGTTAAGCAGTTGTGTGAACTTGTTAATAAGCAAAGCAACAGAAACAATAAAATTGCAACAATTAAAAGCAGTCGACACAGAAGAGGGAGCGACGTGCAGTGTGTACCACAATCACAAAGAGGTGAGTAATACTGCTGTTAATGAGCTTTTTCGCACTATATGACCTGCAATTAGTTGTGAAATGTAAAGTCCACAAGTCGCAGCTCAAATTCCTAATGAGTCAACGGATGCATAGCCTAATTGTAGATCCACAAGTTGAGCTCAGAGTTCTGTATTATCAGGCATTGTTTTCTTTAGTTTGACAGCTGATAGCATTATCGCTTTACTATTTGCAAGTAAATTTGCATTTGGTTATAAAATACTGAACAAAGGAGTTGACAAATACATACTTATATACATGTATGTATAACACTTTGCGTGTATTTCTACTTAATTCGAAACACTTTGCGTGTATTTCTACTTAATTCGAATCAAAATTGTATGATTTATGTTTTATATGTGTACACATTTATTTATATTTCGACGATATATCGACATATTGTTATTTGTGTTTGTTTAAATGCCATACGTTTCAAGTGGCAGGTCAATAAACACCTAAGGTATACAAAAACAGAGAGACTATTGTTGTTGCTCTAAGCTGCAAATGGAATAGTTCGAAAGCACTTGATTACAACCCTCTTTTTATATTAATTGTGTTCCCATTGGCCGAATAAGACGCAATTACACACACTATTATTACACGATATGAACTTTAGTTATTGCAGTAAATAGCTTTGACTTAGGATTAGCTCATGGCTTATCTGTAAATATTTATATAGTAAGTACATTTGACGGTCCGACGTTCGACACAGGCGCTAATCAGCAAATTGTTTTAGCTATGCATATCTTATCACGCCTATTAATATACAATAAAATATTGCAAACTAGCCTAAAACTCATCACAGGTCGAAAGTCATGTAAACACTGAAAAAAAGGAAGGCCCTTATTCTAGCTAGTATATAGTATATAGTTGAAAGTGATAAGATGAAAGAACGTTTGTTTTTGTGGTGTCCAAGATTATATACTCACAGAAATATGCTGGTTTTGATATATATATATATATATATATAATATAAAAGAAACACATGAACTAAGTTCCATCAAGATAGCTTCACTGAGAGTTCAAAAAAGGCGTCATATTTTTGATGACTGTGTCCCTTACACATATGACGGGAATATTGAGAATTAAGTTGGTCTCAGAGCAAGTGGGACTCTACTATAAACTTTATCAATTTGTATGCGTAAGTAGTATCCGCACTTAAGATTAGCATTCGCCACTCATCAAATGATTGAAATACGTCCATGTTGTTTAAGAAACCACAGTATTGGTTTGCCTCTGGAAGAGTGCGGTTGTGGATTATTCGTCTCTCAGGTTCCACGTAAGTGCCTAAACTACACTTAAAACAGAAGCCCCGCAAATGCTATGTGGTACCTGAGCACTTACTGCAAGAGCTGCGTAGGTTTGAGAACAATTGGTAGATTTGTTTACTATTTGAGAACTAACGAACTTGTACCTGTACCATTTAATCTTTTGCGTTCGACGGATATTTCAATTTGACATCGCTATCGAAAACTTAAGTACGATCGATAAGCCTGTTCCATGCTGGGGTTCCATGGGATAATAAAAACCAAATCTATATTAAAATAGCTCGATTATCATCGAAGCGATTAGCTTTATTATACAGCTGATTATGCAATCATTCGTAACGGTTCAACACAAATGGTTTACTACCTTCATACTTTCAGATGCACATTATCCCTTAGGCAACAGCAGCTTGTCTTCCAATCCTATATCCATACACATCATGTGCTGCAGGTGCTGCGGTGAGACGCAGCGTAAGAGCTGGGTCTTTGGCATTGGATCCGTCTTTGCCATCCTTGGCATACTCCTCGTCGTCCTGTGGCCCAACTTGGCTGATAAACTGGTTGAGAATGTGAGTATAAAATACAATATGTCCTATTTATAATCTTATTATTGGAACTGATTTCATATAATTACTTATTTTTACATTGTCTTGATTCACGCTTCAGGGTCTGAAATTGGAACCGGGCACCGACACCTACGACAGCTGGCTGGAAGCGCCAATACCTATTTACCTAAAATTCTACATGTTCAACTGGACGAATCCGGAGGACATACGCAATCCGAACATCAAGCCGCACTTTAACGAAATGGGTCCATACGTATTCCTCGAGAAGCATAAAAAGGAGAATTATACGTTCTACCCGAATGCGACGGTGGCATATTATGAACGTCGCACCTGGTTCTTCGACGAGGAGAGATCGAACGGTTCTCTTACGGATATGATCACGGCGGCACATGTTATCACTGCAACGGTGGCCGATGAGATGCGTCACCAGAGAAAGTTTGTTAAGAAAATAATCAATTTCATGTTAAATACCGAGGGTGGCAAGTTGTATACCACAAAATCCGCCATTGAATGGATATTCCATGGCTATCAGGATGATTTGACCGACTTTCTCAATCTCTTCAATACGTCAAAGATTGATATACCGTATACTCGATTTGGTTGGCTAGCGGATCGCAACGGATCGTTGGAATATGATGGTCTTTTTACCATTCACACTGGCACCGATGACATCTCCAATTTGGGTAGATTAACACATTGGAATGGCAAACCCGAAACGGGCTTTTATGAAATGCCCTGCGGTATTGTTAATGGCACCACCGGTGATCTCTTTCCACCCAAAATGAATTCACAGGATGAGGTTACCATCTTTGCCACGGATGCATGTCGTTTTATGAATCTGCGACCCGAGGGCAAATTAGAAATGCATGGCCTAACGGCCACCCGTTGGGTCGGCACCGAGGAGACTCTCGACGCTGGCGAAAACTATCCAAATCAAAAGTGCTTCTGCGATCCACGCTTGGACGAGTGCCCCAAAACGGGTGTTGTCGAGTGCAAAACCTGTCGCGATAAGGCGCCCATTTACTCATCCTTCCCCCATTTCTACTTGGCCGACAAGTCGTATCTGAATGCGGTTGATGGCCTCGAGCCCGACAAGGCACAGCATGAGTTCGTCATGGCTGTGGAGCCAGTGACTGGTGTGCCCGTTCAAGTGCATGGACGCATTCAGATCAACATGATGATTGAGCCCGATGATGATTATGAGTAAGTAACATGTAGTCACATTTCCAAAGCGTATTCTAATTCTTTTTTGTCATTTGCAGCATTTACCGTGGTGTGCCAAAGGTTTTGATGCCCATGTTTTGGTTCGATCAGTACGCCGAGCTAAGTCCCGAGCTGGCCTCCAAGGCGAGGGTAAGTCAACTCACCAAAGTCAGCCCCAATAATAAATAAACATTTTATTTATTTTTCACTTTCTAGTTGGCCATTAATTTGGGCGACTATGGCTTGTATTTTGGTATCGCCTGCATCGTTTTTGGCAGCGCCTTCCTAGTCACTGGCATCGTGTTAACGGTAACAAAACGCTGGGTGCGTCGCCAGGATGATGAGGATATGTTGACCGGCAAGGAACCGGAGCCGACGACTATGGCGACATAGTAGCATAACTTAACCATAACCAAATGTGCCAGGACACAAGTTAACGTTGCTAGTTCATTATACATTATCGTTTATTGTTGTTTATTGAAACAGTTGCCATTTTAATTGTTGACTTGGCCAATGAACCTGTGCTGCATATATGTGTAATATGTATTATATGTACAGCATTTGTGATATAAACACTCTACTGTTAAGTGCAATATACATGAGAGTTGTGTTTGTTTACCACCCCCCCCACCCCCTCCCCTCCCCACCCACTTTTATGATCCTCCAAATGTTATGTATTTGCTTCAACATTTTAACATTCCAGATTAAGAAGAAACTAACAAAATAATTGTAATGCAATTTATAAAGGGTGTCTTCGTCTAATTTAGTTACAATAATAACAAAAATACGAAATTATTAAGCAGAATTTTTATTACTCTTTTTATATATATGTATATATATATATATAGTATATAGTACATACACGTATAGATAGTTTATTCTATTTTGGCAGCTGGTTGCAACCAGTTGCCAGGATATAGACAATAGGCCCCATAAGAAAAACTTTATTGGGGCTATGCGATTTTTTTTCAATTTTTTTTTTTTTTTTTTTGCTATAGCTCTATACTATATGGCCGATTTTGATAACATATAGCTGCAATAGTTGTGTGAGTGTCTGCTATGTGCGAGCGTGTGTGTATGTGTGTGTGTGTCTGTTGTTTCAGAACTGTGTCACTTTTTATCATTTAGCCATAGGCTTTTAGACGAGAAAAACCTACGCAAATATTTGTGACAGCAGTCGGCTAAATAAAAAACACACACAAAAACAAAAGCACACAAACTCGCACAGTGCACACACAGGGGTTAATAGTGTAAACATAATATGAATAATGAATAATGCATCAGAATCATCAACTTAAAAACTCGAAATCATAATCAAAATAAAAAATAGAAAACATAAAATAATAAACAGAAGCGTCAACGCTCACTCGCTAAATTCAAAAATTGAAAATTATAAAAACAAAAATTAAACAAACGGTGGGGCAAGGCCTAGGCAAATTATTATAAATGGCATTCCGAGGGCGCGCACTCGATACAATATAAAATTCTTTAGTTCAACGACAGGCGACACAACAAAATACAAAAACAATCGCAAATGAAGCAGCTGAGCAAAGAGAGAATAGCCGCAAATGCATCGGCGCTCTCTTCAGAGAGCTTTACGCTCCAAAGAGAGAGCAAATTGCTTGCTTGCTTGCCTGCTCGCTCTCTTTCATCGACTGCTGCACGTTGATTGGTTTGCCTGCGTTTCTGATCCGTTTTCTTTTGTGAGTATATGCTTCTGGGGTCAGATGTTTAAGTGAGTGTGTGTGCGTGTGTGTGTGTGTGGGTGTGGGGGCGCTCTCTTAATGCGAGTTTGTTTTACGTACTAAAAATTTGCATAGTTTAGTTTTTTTTGTGCGTTTTTCTTTCGTTTTTTTTTATTGTTGACTATGTTGTAATTAGTGTTTGTAAAGTAAGTTAAGTTTTAAATAAAAAAAATCAATCACAGTTGTTTTGGGCGGAAGTAGTTAGTTCTCTCAGCGTTTTTAGTTCTCATTTTTATTTGTAGTTTAAGTAATTCGCATCTGGGCCTACCTTAGTGTTAAGCAGCTCTCAGATAACGAGAGTCAGCCACTAGCTAATCTAGTCTAAGTTTTTTGTATGTTTTTTGTTTTTGTTTTTAGTTTAGTTTAGTTTAGTAAATTAAGTAGTTCGTATTTTATACTTGAGTATTGTTGCTTCCATTTCATTTTTGTTTTTGATTGTTTGTTTGTTTTGTCTCTCTAGATTCCTGTTACCTGTTTTTTTTCTTTCTTTCTATATTTGTATGTTTCTCTTTTGTCATTTGTAGTTTGAGTTTTCTCTTAGCAATCCCCATACCTAAATTGACTAGACTGGGTTCTCTGTTTGTGTGCTATTTGAATGCGTATTTGCGTATTTGAGGTTCGTTTTGTTTTTCTATATTTTCATTTGTTGTTTCTTCTCTTGTCCGTAAATGTTTTGACTGTCTTTTTTGTTGCTTTTTTTGCATGCAAGTTTTGTTGTCTTTTCGTTGTAGAAGCTCGTCGCCTGTTTGAACTGTTTGATGTTCTGCATCTACAAACCGGCCGCAAAAACACACTGTGATCGACACACGATTCCGCGCACTATGCAAATTCTAATTTTGACCCACCAACCACCAACCACCAACACCAGCACCAGCACCATCAACCACATTTCGCATTTTACTCATTCACATAAACATCATCAATTTGTAACTAGAGAATTGAGTGGCTGCCTTAAATGTTTTTTGCTGTTATTTTTTTTTTGCGCTTAGGTCTGCGATTGCGTTTGGTTTTGTGACTGCGAGTTGTTGTAGCTTTTGTGGTGCTTGATGACCACCGCTGGATCCATGACATAGTTGTTGGCCTCCGCCAGCTGCATGGGCAGCGGCGGCAGTTTGTCCTGCGGATGACGGTGGCTAATTGCTGAGCTCTTTCGGCTCTTGCTCAGTGTGCCCGTGGGCGTGGCCGTATTCCCATTTGTGGGCGGCGTTTGTGACAGGGATTTGCTGGCACTGTGGTGACCACCGCCACTACTCGACGAAGTTGTAGCGACAGCTGCAATAGGCATTGTTGTTGTTGCTACAGTTGCTGCTGCTACTGCTGCACTTGCATTCTTGGGATTGACTATGACCTTTGTCTGCTTGAGCAGCGATCGATCGTTGCAGAGCGCAGAGATGAGCGGCAAATCCAAATGTTTGCTCTTCTCACGCAACAGCGCAATGTCCAGTGGATTCTGTGGTGCATTCGTTGCCTGCGCTTGACTGTTCGCGGCAATGGAAGCTTGCAGTTGTGCCAGGATGCTGTTGCTGTTACCACGATTCAGTCCGAGTCCAAGATCGGGTCGAGGTCGCTCCCCTGCCCACTGGGCCCCGCTGGACGTCTTTATCAGCGGACTGTTCGACTGGTGTGGATTCAGGGTGAGCGGTTTCCGTGGCGGCAGTATGCTCAAACTGGGATTGGGATTTGGCTTCGAGGGTACTGCAAATTACGAGGCGAGAGAAAGACAGAGAGTTAGAATACAAAAACGGTTTAGGAACACTCGTGTCAAAACAAAAAGAGTAAATCAAGTTAATCAATTGGTCGTTTATTAGTAGGTAAACTAATCAATCAGTTGTGATTTGTTCAGTTAACCAGTCAATCAACATATTAATTCACCAATCAGTTGATTGACCTATTTATCAATCAGTCAGTCAATAATTAAATGCAATCGAAAAACCAGTCAATCAATTTTTGAAAATTTCAGTCTGTCAATCAGTCATTCATTGATGTTCATCAAATGATTAATCAATTATCCAGTCGCTCATTAGTCAGTAAGCTAGTCAATCAATATGTTAATCCATCTGTCAGTCAATTGACCCCTTTATCAAACAGTAATCGATAATCATTAATCAATCAATCGTTCATCTGGTCAGTCAATCAGGCTGGGGATACTTACTCGGCGGCGGCTGTTCGCTGGGCACTGGCATTGGTGGCTTCTTGAGCCGATTGACGTAGGGCGGCGGCGGCGGTGGCGGCAGACGCTTCACTTTTGGCATCGGCATCGAGTCGAGCGAATTCAGAATATTATCGTCTGATCGCGATCGTGCAAAGAGGCTGGAAGCGTTTGCCGCAGCAGCCGCTGCTAGAGCCGCCGGATGCAGTGGTGGCGGCGGTGGTGGCTCATACGAGCTGCACAAACTAACCATCGAGGGGGAGTACAGCGGCGAGTATCCAGCTCCGGGCAACTGTACATACGTATCCGATAGATTCTGCGTGGATGCATAGCGCGAATGGGTCGACAAGGCCAGCGGCAGATACGGTGTGCTCCGATAGATGGCGTGTCCCTTGCACGTATCCCAGCCGGCGGGATACGCCAGATAGGGTGGTGCTGACGCCTGCGATTGAACCTGTGCCTGGGCCTGGGCCATGGCTGCGAGAAGTGAACTCTGCTTGGCATCCAGATACTCCTGCTGGCTGACAGCCGGATCCTGTATGGGATAGATGACATAGTCGACATCGCTGTACATCTGCTGCTGATACAGCTCCAGTTGATTCCGAGCCGCCAGCTGACTGCTGTAGAGACCGGCGAGATGTGGATGCGTTGTCGGTGGTGGAGGTGGCGGTTGTCGTGGCAAACTGGGCGGTGGTGGTGGCAGAAACTGTCGTGGCTTAATCACCGGCAGCAAGACACATGCCTGCTGCTGATGTGTCGCCTGTTGGTGGTGCAGCGAGGCGGTGCTCTTGTGATGCAGGCCATAAGGAACTATGGGTATGCCGATGGCAGCAGAGCCCGAATGTCGATGTTGATGATGTTGGTGTGCAGCATGATGATGATGATGGTGGTGCGGCTGCTGCTGCTGCTGCTGGTGGTGCGACTGCTGCTGCTGTTGGTGGTGGTGCGGCTGGTGCTGCTGCTGCTGCTGCTGGTGATGGTGATGGTGCAGCGAAGCCTGTGAGCCAGCATAATTGGAATTGTGTAGGGATTGCTGCGAAAGCTGGTGACTGCACACCGAACCACTCGAGGATGCGGCCGAGGAATAGTGGGTGGGCGCGGCATAACTGGGCTTGGCACCATCCGGCAGCAGACTGGTGTGCGCCTTCAATATGCTAATCTGCGGTCGGGTGGTAATAAAACGCGCCGTGACCTCCTCGGACTTCAGGGAGCTCATGGAGCCGGCTGCACTGGGCGCTGGTGGTGCAGACGAGGCGACCGAAATGAGCGATGTGGGTCGTGGCTTCATCGAGGTAGGATACGGCGGCGGATCACGACGACGCAGTGCCGCTGAAGGCGGTGGTGGTGGTGGTGGTGCGACGACAATTGGTACTGCAACTGCTGCAATGGGTGGTGGCAGTGGTGCCGGTTTTGCTGGTGGCGGTGGCTCGGCCTTGGGCAGTATTACTACCTTGGGCATGGGTGGCACTGGCGGTGGTGGCACCACAGGCGGACCACACAGCCCCGTCTTCTCGTGTCGTGCACTATACGGCGGTGGTGCCGGCGGCAAAACTGGCGGCTGCATTTGCTCCACATTCGCACCGCCCGGCAGCGTCACATAGTCGCAATCGGAGTGCAGCGTGCTGGAAACTATTTGGCGACTGGGATAAGTGCCGCGACCCACAATCAGATTGGTCAGCTCCTCGGCAGAGAGAAGCGTGTGCTTGTTGTCTGTGGGATCGCTGCCATCGCCGCGAAAGGAGCTGCTTGTGCTGATGTTGGAATCGGAACGTAGACGAAACACGTCCGAACACTTTTTGCCAGCTCCAGCTCCAATGCCAACACCAGCACCACTAGCACCACCACCATCCACAGAGTCACTGGGTTCGCTTTTGGTGGGCTGAAAAATGCCGTAGTGAGAGCTCTTCTCGGACTCAGCGAGCTCCGAGGATTGACCCGTGAGCTCGCTGCTGTGCATCGTGTAAACACCACTCGTTTCGGTGGGTGGTGCCATGCCGTCCGCCAGTGTGTACACACCGGAAGCGCCCGAGACGCTCTCCGTTTCGGGTGCTAGGAAATCATCGGTATTTGATTCGCTTAGAGTGGAATTCTGAGCGGTATGACTAAAGCCCAGTTCCAGGCTGGACGAGGTGGAGTGCACAGCAGCGGGTAGTGCCGGTGAAGTTACCACCACCGTGCTGCACGTCGACGAGCATTGCGAGCCAATGTTATGCTGTGAACTAGGTGAATCCGTTGTCGTTGTGGACGAATCATTGGCACTGCTTGCTGGATTACTCGATGGATTGCGTTGATTTGGGGTCGGCGCTTCGTTCACACGCACACTGACGCTCAAGGCGGCCAGCTGCTCCTCCAGATCCTTGTGCGACATCTGACCTACCGATGAGGTCTGCCTGCTCACGCTGGGCCTGTCCAGCAGATGAGCCAGCGCCAGGCTCTCGGTTGAGGGTGCTGCCAGCGGTGCTGGTGGTGTGTTTATCATAATCTCCAGCTCATCCTCGGAGTGCACACGATCGCTGACAATGCCCGATGTGGTGTTCGAACTGGTGCTCGAGATGACCGAGATGCGTTGCTCATTCTTACTCTTGTACGGCAGCAGCAGACTCCGCGAACAGGCGTAGCTGGCATGCAGACACTGGGATTCCGCTTCCTCCTCCTCACGTTTGCTGACCTCCTTGAGGCGTGCCGCTAACTTCATGCTCCACTGATGCGTATCCTTGCAGAGTGTTAGCAGCAGCTTGTTCTTCTCGTCAGAGCCCGCGTAAAGGGTAATCCGACTCTCACCCGAACGTATCTCGAATTTCTTGCGCTCAAACGAGAGCTTGGTGATGTTGGGCCACAGGAAGGTGGTGGGTTCGCTGCCGGCAGCACCACCCAATATTTTAATGCCCTTGGCATAGATGACAAACCAGGCGCTGCCGACGCCCACTTCACTCTTGGCCAGCCGCATGCGAAAGGTGTGTGCATTGATGGCTTCATGCAGATTGCAGGCCTGCTCTATGTAAAGGAGTTCCGCCTCAGCCGCTGACAATCCCAAATGTTCCCGATGGCAGGCATGCAATGCGCTCTTTGCCCTCGCTGTGTTTAGATTCGCTGGCAGATACTCCTCCAAGCGAAAATAATCTGTGGGGATGCTGCTGGTGACTGGGGGAGCGGAAGCGTGTGTGGATGTTGGAACTGGAGCTGTATCTACTTCCCGCTTGGTGGAGTTCACATAGGTGGAGAGACGAAGCATACGCTCATTGTAGCTGCTCAATCGTTTGCGTATCTTGGGCAACGTTGTCGTCGCTCGACCCGCTCCCAATCTCTGCTGATGCTGCTGTTCCTCCTCCTTTTGATTGGTCAAGCTGGGAATTGTGGTTGCTGCTACACCTGCTGCTGCTGCTGCTCCTCCTCCTGCTGTTGTGGGCGCATCACCCACTTCCGCTTGGAGCGCCAGGCCGGCGAGCAGGACAAGCGCCTGATCGGCATGAACGGTGGGCAGCTCGCGTTGCAGCACATTGTGGCGCAGCTGCAGGTAATAGTTGTGCCTCGACGTCTCATCTTTCAGCATGAACGGACTCTCGATGTAGAACTGCACGCGAAAGTGTAGCTCCAGGAGAGGACGTCCATTGGCATCCAGGCCCTGTCATTAAAAAAAAAAACATATCCATGAAATGATTGCTTCTACTTGGGCTAAGCGAGGGAGGTAGCTCGCTGGCTGACTTACGTGTGTGTGGGAGGATCGCCAGCTCTTCGGGCCGTATTTGGAGAGCTTGCTCTCGGGATCTGCAAACATGTACTCGCCATCTGCAACAGAACGAACAGAACACAAAATTACACATTAGCTTTTAATGAAGTAAGGAAAATAATTCTTAGAAACATATATTATAAAACCATAAGCCTTTAACCACATTTGATTCATCCATAATCCTACACAATCCCAAGTGGTCATGGTTCGCATATTTCCTGTGGCATAATTTCATCAAAACTGAACCCAGTTTCAAAAGCGATACTTTTTGATCCTTTTCAGATCTCGACACTTGAAATTACAAGCTCTCTTGATTGAAAAGTCTATTAATGTTATAGCAACACATCGCAAGTCTAAGCGAGTTCTGTAAGTTTAAGTGAAATAGATTTCTCAAACATTGATCCCGATCCATTGATCGATTAGTCTGAATTCCTTGGAACTGCTATAAAACATTTAAGCGCATAATATTTAATCCCAGCGAGTTCAGATATTTAATCGTTTTGTCGGAAGTTCTGACGCCAAGGTCGCCTCGCTGTTCATTCAGTGCACAACTAATCAAAATTTTAAATGAACTTTCGGCTATTTTCCTTTACTACTAACTGACTCTGCTCTCTCATTCCTCCTCCTCCACTCTCCCCTCCCTGCGATCCATCCACTTGTCAGTTTTTTGTCAGGCAGCAAACAAGCGAGCCATTGACGTCAACAGGGCCGATGACGACACGTCCACGTCCAAGTCCATGTCCACGTCAGGTTGTCAGCCTTAGTTGTTGTCGTCCACCGAGCTGCAGTCCCCAAGTTGGGGACTCGACTCGACTCGAGTCGACTTAAGTCTTAGCCCAAGGGCATGCCGCGTGCTCTCGAGAATCGAGATGTTGCTCGCTGCTGTTGTTGTTGTTATTGTTGTTGTTCGCTGTTGTTGAATGTCGGTTGCATGCTTGAAAAACAAAATCAACACACACTTCATCATCGAACGAAAAATTGGAATTCCTGCATACGAAATGAAGCAGCAGCCGCAGCCGCAGACCCAGAAGATGAAAAATAATAATTATGAGCAGCAAAAACAAAACAAAAAAAAACACAAGAGTAGAAGAAGAAAAAGATGGAATGGAAATATGTGGGCACACAAGCAGCAGCAGCAGCAGCAGCAACAATATCATAATAATCATCAGCGTCCGAATAAGTGCCTATCAATGACGACGACGTCGACGACGAGGCCCCAACGGAGTCCGAACTCCAAGTCTGAAGCTGAAGTCGCATACCAAAAGAGACCCAAGCCCAAAACGCAGCACGTTAAGAAAAAAAAAGAAGAAAAAACAGGTAGAAACACAGAACACGCGCGAGAGCGAGAGGGAGACACGTAACAGGCAACGTTTGCGCTGTGGCAGCTGAAACCCAAGTCAAAAAAACATATATATATATATATATATATATACTGTAGTCAAAGTCAGTCTCTTCAGCGATTTCTTTTCTTTTCAAACCAAACCAAAAAAAAAAAAAACGAAAAAAGAAAAAAAAAACAGAAAAATACACAGAAACCAAAAAGCAAAAACGCAACGCATTCAAATTTCACCTCACAACAGTTGCAGATCAGGAGCTGATGGATGGATGGCTGCTGCTGCTTCTAGCAGGTGTGAAGCCTTTTTAGCCTGGCCCATGAGCCCATAAGAGAGCACGCAACGTGCAACGTGCAACGTGCAACTTGCAGCGTGCAACGTAAAACGTTGATCACTTTTGGGCCAGCGGCAAACAGCCTAATAATTAACATATTTTCCAACGCATTCCACAGCGCTTACAATTAACACGCACGCATACACACACACACACACACACACACAGAGAGAGGGGCAAGCGAGTTGGGTGGGGGTTTGTAGGGACCTAAATAAATCTTCAATTTGAAACACATGCAACACAAATTACAGACTCGAATGCGTTTGGATTCCGGCAGCAGGCAGCAAGGCAGACCGAACAGGCAACGAGGCAAAGGGGCAAACCAGGCAGCAAGGCAGCCTCATCAACTGGCCAAGAGTGAGTGAGGAATTTAACAACAACAACAATGAACAGTTAAACACAATATGCCGAATATTAAATACCCTTCCAGAGCGAATAGCATTTTTTATGCATAAGAATGTTAAGGGAATCTACAGTCATGGCCATATAAATAAATAGCAGCACAAAGAAAATAAATTATGCAAGTATATTTTATAATTATATTGTATACTGATCTCAATAAAAATGTGTTTGCAAAATGTTAGACGCATAAAAAATCAAATTTATGCAGATATTAACGAAAAGGCAAAAATACTTTCAATCAGCGGCACGTAATTCCTATAGCTATACTATATAGTGATTTGATCCGTCTTGACTTAAGGTTCCCATCTAACAGCTAGATCCTTGCCCTCTCACAGAGAGCCGAGTTTGTGGCTTCAGTGATAAGAACCCGTGGTCTGGTAAGTGTATAACAACAACACGAGCAGAACTCAAGCGCTGGTCAGAGTCAGAAACAGAGTCGGAGTCGGAGACCGTTGTAGTCCAGAAGAGACAGCTGCAGCAGCCGTCGCCAAGGCATTCTTCAGATTTATATTCCAAAGGTTTTGAGTAGGCACGCCATAGCCAAAGCCATAATAACCAAACCAGCAACAAAATAACCCAAAAAAACAACAAAAACAAATGAGTGTTTGTGTGTGTGTGTATGGAAACAGGCTGGTAAGAGGAAGAGCGAGAGAGATGCAGAGAGGGGAAAAAAAGGAGAACGAAACAACATAAAACCAAAAGAATTTTAATTTCCGATGTTATCAGATGCACGCAGCTTGGGTTGAGGCAGTGGCAGAGGCAGCTGGGGCAGCTGAGGCAACTGAGGCAGCATGTGGCTGCAAGGCCGGTCGTCACAGCAGCAGCAGCAACAACAGCAACAGAGGGGGCGTGGCAGTGGCACAACCAGAGAAGAAGACACAGACGAAGATGAACAAGCCAACGCCATATAATAATGATTATGAGCCATTAACATTAAATGGAAAAGAAAATGCTGGTCTACAGATTACAACAGCAACAGCAGCCAGCAGCTAGCAGTAAACAACAACAACAATAAACACAACAAGCAGCAACAACAGGCAGCAGGCAAAGGAATGCGGCAGTGGAATCCAACCAATGCGACAGCTAAAAATAACACCAGCAGCAGTCGCAGCAGTAGAAGGACATGTAGGAGGGCTGGAGACGGTTGCATCAGCAGGAGAATCTGTCCAGTTTGTAGAAGCAATCCTTGGATGCTGACCAGCTTAATAGGACTGATGAAGTGGCATCACCAAAAGGCAGGCAGGTAGATCTGGACAAGTGGTAGAGCCAGTGAAGCGGCGAAAGATGCAGGCAGATCTAAAGAAGCTCAAGGACGAACAGCATTGGAGCAGAACAGGATCAACAGGAGCAGCAGAAAAAGGCAGAGAAGCAGCTAGATAGGCAGAGTAGGAGCCGAAGAATGGAAAGCTTAAGGAGAAAGAGAGCTATAGTAAAGAAAATAGAGATGTACAACTGCAACAGAAGTGCTTGGAACAACCTGTCATGTCCATTGATCAGCAACAGGAACGAATCAAATCAAACTATGGCAGCCACTGAAAGGTCAAGTGAAAAAGCAACTGAAGAAACATGCGGTGTAAGATTGGGAATCAGTCAGAAGATTAGAAGATTTAGTAGGACCAGAAGCAACCTGCGAAATTGATCTGCAGGCGAAGTAACTGCCGCAGTAGGTGAAAAACTAGAAGAAGTAGTATTCAAGCAGGAACAGAATCAGGCAATACTATCATCAACCATATTAAAACTGCAGAAGGAGGAGCAGCAGAGAAAAGCAGAAGCTCATCATGCGCAGCAGCAGCGCGTAGTAAGTGGTATTCAAAAGTGACACCCATTGTTTGGCCACTTGGGCAGCAAATAGTAACTGGAGGTGCGTGCTGAGGTAGAAGAGGCGGGCCGACTTTTCACGTTGCAGAAAAATTTGCATAAATATGAAATTTATTGACGGTGGCGTGGCCATAAAATTGAAATTCATTGGCGACAAAAGGCGACAGGCTGCTGACCAAAAAAGGGACAAGCAGCATCCGCTGTTTGGTCCTCTAATACGAAAGACTTAAGCGACAAACTGGCCACGAGCGCGCGCCACATTTTTAACGTTGCGGTGTGTGAACTTTTTAGTGCAAACGCAGTTTTGGCCAAAAGCTAAACTGGCCAAATGCTATCTATAAAACAGCAAGCCACCAACAACAACAACAAGTGCCAGTAAAGGCAATTTTGGTGCAGTGAAAGAGCACGGCGTGAAATGCTCGAAAGTATGCGAAGACGAAGACGACGACGTCGACCACGATGCCAATGGACTCAACAACAACAACAACAACCACAATGAAAAAAACACGTAAACACCGACTGTGCAATGCTCTATTCTGCAAGTGTGACTGTAGATCAATGATTTTCAGAATGTTAGCTAAAAATGTCACTTATTTTATGCATTGTAAACTGGTTTCAAAAATGAACTAGCATCAGTTAGCATTTAAATTTGATGACGGCAGCTCTCAAATTTCGGGTGAAGTACAGTTTTCTAGAAGAACACTAAGTCTTATTTATTCCAAAATTACGTCAAAAATACGTTTAGACGCATATTAACAGAGATATTAGCGTTTGAAAAAAGTATTTTATTTATAAAAAAAAATAATTTAGCTTACTACGCAACCTTCACCTTAGCGTATATCAATAAATCTATGTAGTATCGAGTATTAAACTATCTACACACATAAAATAGCCACATCTCACATCGGATTCAGAGTATAGCAAAAACAGCTACAGCCGCATGCCAGTCACGCACACACTCACACACACACACACAGTCACAAAATTCTGACTGACATTGGCAAAAATCCTGGCGAGGTAAACGCAAAATGCATACTGCCAATTTCATAGCTGAAGCTAAAGGCAGACTGAGGATTCTTTAGCTGCCTCCACTTCTCCACCTCAACTCAATCTCCAGCACCTCCTTTTCCTCCTCGTCTTCGGCTGCTTCTTCCTCTTCTTCTTCTTAGCCTTCTTCTCGCTCTTCGTGTTCAGCTTTAGCAGCAGCAGCAGCAGCACTATTGCCATGTGGCAGCTCTGAAGACGCGAAACGTTGGCATGCCCCCAAACTGCATACCAAATTCTTTTTCACTGAAGATGTTCGAGGCAACTTCTGCGCACCCCGCCTTCCGCTTCCCACCTCTTCTCCACTGACTCGAAATTGATGCCAAACTGCTGGCGACCAGATTCGAAATTTACGTCTTTTTCTTTTCTGTTTTTTTTTTGTTTTTGTTTTTTTTGTATACCCTAACTGAAATTGGGCAAGACTTGTGATTTGAGCTGCTGGACAGATTTTTTTGCTTACATCATTTTCAATGTTGCAACATTGCAATATGCAACATTTGTTTACTCAGGCATTTTACATATAAATGTTTCTCTTTTCCCAGATTAGGCTTTCTTCAATTACTTTGTTATAGATATAGATTGAGATCCTTTATGGAGATTTAGTCATTTCCAACTTTCTTTACTCTATATATATTTTGATATTTCCATTAATTATCAGTTTAGTTCTTCATTCAACATATTTCATTGATTTCGACCAGCAATTGCTTTATTTGCCACATATTTGTTTTGAGGATTGCTGGTAAGTGTATCTGTAGTTGTGTTATCCCTTTCTCAACTGCTGACCAGATAGTGTGTGTGTATGTGTTTGTGTGTGTGTGTGTGTGTATTGTGTGTGTTTATGGAGGACGCATTTATAGCGGAGGCCAATGCCAAAGACGTCTCTTTGCTGGAGCCAGAGCAACCAGACCTATGCAACTTGCCTCTTGGCTGCCTCTTCCTCTTTTTTGAATGCTGCTGTTGTTGTTGTTGTTGCTGTGTGTGTTGGCTCCGCTGGGGCCGCATCATCGTCGTCGTCGTCGTCGATTCGTTTGTGTTAATGCAACGCGCGACGGCTACCTGAATTACTGAACACGCGTCTTGTGTCTTGTGTGTTGTGTGTGTCTTCTGTGTGTTGTTGCTGTTGCCCCGTTTGCCTGAAATTGTTTGTTCGCCATCGACGGCGACGCGTTCCTGGCTGCTGTCCGTCCGTCCGTCCGTCCTGCTCCTCCTTGCTGCTGTTGCAGTTTTTTTTATACGTTTTATGTGCCATTTTGTTGTGGTTGTTGTTGTTGTGTTAGTATTTCTATGTGTTTTGGCATTGCTGCAGCAAAAAACAAGAGTGATCCAGTCCACAAAGAACCCAAATAGCAGATACTCTATACATTTATATGCATACAGAACCACAAATCTATATTTTAAATTGTAGCTTTCTACCTCTAATAGTTTCCAAAATCGTTCAGATATATATAGCAAGTGCCAACTTCTGTCCATTCGTTTTTTAGTGAGTACAGGGTATGTCAAAAAGAAGATGAGAAAAACACCGAAAGCAAAGTTTTGTGGCCAGGCTGAGGAGGTGCAGGCTACTGCTGCTGTTGCTGCCACAGTCCGCTGCTGTTGCTGTTGCTGCTGATGATGATGAGCAGCTTTTAAAAAGACTGGTTTATGTTTATTAGTTGTGTTTTTCATGCCTTATCGCAAGGCACGACGACGACTGGCAGCTGCAGCTCTCTGTTGCCAACTGAGCCTAGCTGCCTGTTTTTATTTTTCGTTCTTTTTTTTTTGTTTTTGTTGTCTTAGGGCGTTCCACAAACCCCATTCGTTATGCATACGCAGTTTGCTCTGCCTGCCCCCACCCCGCCCCCCTCTAGGTGTGGATTCAACTCACCTATGAGCACGGCCAGACCAAAGAGTTCGGTATCCTGCATACCCTGTGTGGCAAAGTGCAGACATGTCTGCGTATAAACCTCTCGCACGCGACTCTTTGCATCGACTAGGAAGTAAAGGGTTTTCGGCTGCTGTTGGCCCAGAAGTCTGCAAAAGAGAAACAGAACCGAGAATTTGAGAATGGAATTCCAGCAATCAATCATTGTTAAAAACACTATGATATTATGTTACACTACCCACCTCAGTGCCAGAAATCGGGAGCCGGGTGACAGCTGCTCGGCTGAGGACGCGCATACTTCCAGGGGCGCGCTGACGGTGCAAAATGCTCGCATGCTGCATCATTTTCCGTATACAGCGCGCGCTCTCGAAATACGTTGCTGCTGCTGCTGTTGAGATGTGAAAGAGAATTGGGAAACGTTGTAGTAAAAGTGTTAAATAGAATACCGAAAGCTTAGCATAATTAAAAAATTTTAAATGTAATTTATTACCAATAATTAAAAATCAGATCTTTAGTTAGCTCTTCGCAAGATCAAGAGGTTTCAAAGAAGAGACCAAAAAAGAAGATAGAGATTAAATACGAAGATTAATCGAAGAGAAGCAAAGGCAAACCCATAGAAACTTGACAATTAATAATAATAATAAAAGCTCAATTGCTAAAATATCAAAGTGCACAGAGAAATAACAAATAAGTTGAGCAAACACAAACATATATTTCTAATTCTTGTCAATCCCACAAAAACAGCTAAAGTAAATATTAAATCTGTGAAATTCTCCAAAAATTCTTAACATAAATTAAGTTATTATTTTTTTATTGTTTTTTTTTTTTGGTTTTTATTAGGCAGCCAGATGGCGCCACTTTTTTTTTTGGTTGTTTTGTTGTTGTTACTTTTATTTTTTTGGCTGGCAACAATTTCACCAATCAATAATGAAAGACTTAGACGACAAACTTGATTAGGCGGCCAGTGCGTGCGTGCGTCGAGCATAAAATTATTAAAATTCAGTTAAAGAAAGTTCCATAAAGACCAACACAGAGAGTGAGAGGGGAAAAGAGATGGGGGATAGATAGAGACAGAAACTCGAATCGTGATGAAAGAAAAGCATTTTATGCATAAATTAAAATCAAATCGAATCAAATCAACTTATGGACTAGCCTCCAAATGTCTATATATACACACATATATAATATATATACATGTAAATTTGTATGGATAGGTGGATAGATGAAAAAGTCTCGCCGTGGTTTCGAATCGAGCAGCCGCCAAGCGGCCGCATAAATTTCAATATTGGCGCATTTTTCTGTGTGCGCGCCGCGCAGTCGTCTAATAAATTTCAACGTTCCATAAATTTATTCAGAGTCAAGTTGAGAGAGTCGCCGATTGCCGATTGCGAGAGACGCCATCCACTATACATATATATAAAAGACACCCAACAGTCGACTCCCCAAAACTGACTCTCGGCTCAATGTCCAGGCTTGCTTGCTGCTGTGGCTGTGGCTGCTGCTGCTGCTGATGGTCACCATTCACACGGAACCGCCCTGGCTTATTAATATGACCACTCCCCGTGAATCCCCCCACCATTGATTCATTTGCCCCAATGTTTTGTACTATTCCAATCTGAAGCAAGCTGCTGTTGTTGCTGCTGTTGATCATCAATCAAAGCGCGCATTTGACATAAATTAGAAACCAAGAATTAAGTTTATGAGTCGCACACTCTCGACTCCCCAAAAATGAATAAAAATGCTTTTGAAAACCAATTATATCTAAGCCGATTTTCTTGCGACAGACATAGATACAGCAACTGAGACACATTTAAAAAACATAAAAGTAAAAATAAAAAATAAAAAAACCGGACTTGACCAGACAAACAAGCGCAACTGAAACAGAAAGCTGAAATGTTTTACGAAACCCGAACAATGGCAACTCCAGACAAGACATTTAAATGTGTATAATTCCTAGAAGAAATGTGTGTTCTTCGATTGGTTTGCTTTGAGTGAAAGAGTTGCTCAAGAATTATATGGAATACTTGCCCCTCTATATTAAATATATATATATAATAAAAATATATATATATATATTAAATATATAGATAAATGTGTGTCTTTCAACTAAAAAACTGAAACAATTTAAGTCCAAACTGAACTGATTTTCAATCGCGAGAATATTTTGATTTAAATGTTATTATAATTTTTTAAATTTAAATTTATATATAACATTTTATTTCTGATTCCTCATGACAACTTATGTAACTAGAAGAGCACATTTAGGATATTCTATATATATATATATGCAGATGTAAGCATAATACTCAGTTAGGTCAGTACTCCCCAGCCCATATCTATATGAATAAACATTATATAATGATACCAGCGGAAATTATCATTGTCAGCATTAAGTAAGGCAGTAGGCGAGCAGGTTGAAACTGTGCAAATGACTCACGAGAATACGAATAGCGACAGCACATGAAACGGCAGATAAACAGAGAGAGAGGTGAGGGGGAATAGGAGACGGGGAGAACTAATGATAATGTCGAGGCCAGCCAAGTGGTAGAATATTTTCTTAATTTAAAATGCAAACAAATGGAAAGCATTTCAGAATTTCAATCATTGCAAATTATCCGCATTCCAATGAGTTAATGAGATCGGCCAACGACAACAACAACAACAACAACAATAAACCGAACGCTAATTATTAAAGTCAACACTGAGAAGATTGCAGTCAAGACTGGATTCCAGTGGGCGGCTGCAGGAGGCGTGACGTGGCAATTAAATGTGCAGAGAAGCACACACTAATCAGCAATTAACAAACGGCAAAATATATTTTATGCAAATTAGTAGTGGGGCAATACAAGTAAGAATGCTGTAGTCGAGAGAGTTCGACTAACAGATACCCTGATATCCAAGGATTTATCTTCAAACCAACACATAATATGTATTATATATATGTGCGTGTGTATATATGTAAGTGTATGTGTATATATGTGAGTATGTGTATACAGAAAACGCTTGTGGTTGCTACTGTGTAATTTTAACGATTTTTTGCCGATTTTCTCAACACAATCTTAATGAAATTTGTACTGATCATCAATAATATCGTTAAGAGAATTTGATCGATTTTGCAAGCTCGGCTGTTTATGCTGATCGGGAATATATCTATACTTTGTTGTGACGCTTCCTTATGCCTGTTAGATACTTATGCATAACTTTATTATGCACTTTGTATTTGAATATCTTCAAGTATAATTTTTCTATTTAAAAAAACTACAAGAACTGTAATAAGTTCAAATATAAGGCTATTATATGGTTTTGTGTTTAAAAGATAAAAAAAAACTTTAAAAAACTAGAACTTTGGTTGCAAGGCGTTTAATACCATAGATATGTACAAATTTTAGTGTTAACATTCTACAATTCTTATTATTAAACTTTAAAATTCAGTCATTTTAAAAAGAACAATTTGGAATTTGAATGAAAACTGTTGAGCTATTATGCAGGCATGCAGACGCATTGGCTTAACGGGGTCTGTCTATAAAGTCGCACGGGCCAATTAAATGGCGCAAGCGCCAGCGGCCAATTTTAGCTGGTCTAAGCGGAAAAAGACCAATACATAAGCACAATAAGCTCACAAGCAGAAATAGCAGAAACAGATATAAAATAAAACGTTGCGCATACGCCACGTTGTGCAGCGACAGCAGTTAGCTCACTCCCCTCTCGCCTTCAAGCAACACCTCCCTGTTGCCACAGCTGCCCCAGCTGCTGTTTCTGTTGTTGCTGTTACTGTTGCTAGCACCCAGTTCCAATCCGGGGCTCTGCGGCTGTGTCAACTGGATGCCATTGCAGTGAGCTCATTCGGGGCGTTTATTTATCTATGTGTATGAATGTGTGTGTGTTTATGTGTGTGTGTTTGTCAATCGAGTTCGCGACTTTGTCGCTAGGGAGTCGAGGCGGGGTCGCGGTCGGTGTGATAAATGCTTTAGCCGCATGTGCAAAACGTTTTATTGGCAACGCTCAAGCGAATCAGCAAAATACCGCATTTAGACACACACACACACACATGGTGTGTGTTGCACACATTCATACATACATCTGTATGGATGTATGGATTTCAAATTGGAATCGATATTGGAATGCGCAAGTGCTTAAAGTACGCGAAGTCCGCTAAGTCAGCGGCGCTGTTCAATAAACATTTTAAATATCATAAAAACAAAAAAAAAACATGATTTTGGTCACAACGAAGCTGGATAGACCCTAACATATTGAACATGCTCAGAGTGAGCATAAGATATAGTTAACATATAGATGTATATACTGACTTATTGATATCAGAGCTGATAACTGAATAGATAAGAATCTGTGATTTTTAGCTAAATTTTAGCGTTATATTAAAAAATGTCATCAATTTTCTTATATAATAAAGCTATAGCTTTTAATATATATTTATATACCATAATAATTTCTGGAAGTCAAAGTTATAGCTCTTAATAGCGATATATTTATATATATAATCCATGATCATTTTTATCAGTTGTATTTTTTTAAACAAGAAATAAAGTTGCCATCGAGATTACGATAATATTTCAGTATCTGTATCAAGTTTTAATAAGACTTAAACGATGCACAAACAATATGGTTTGCACAATAATAACAACAGCTTTGAGCAGGTTAAATCATGTCTTATGTATAAGCAGCCATAAATAAGAATATTATTATTGTTGTGATTGCGTCCCATAAAAAGTATCGTAAAATGTTAAGCATTGGAATTTAAATTTTAAATACAATCGCTGCTTTGTACAGATTTGTTAATTAAAATGCCATGCAATGCATATCTGAGATTGTTCTTCAATGTCCTTGAATTACGAATTACGAAAATCTTGAAGTTAACTGCGATTTGTAAGTTAATTAGTGAATCAACTTTGGCTATAAGTAGCGTATAAAAGTCCAACACACACACAGAGCGACAGAGAGAGGGAGAGGGAGAGGGATAGAGAGACTATAACCGAGTTAGAGTTATTCTAAGAGTGGTGCTTTTGCGTTTGATGCCGTCTGTTGTCTGTTTAAACTGGATTCGTTTGATTCTATTGAAAGTGTTGAGCGCTCTTAAAGTAAAGTTGAAGCTGAAGCTGCTAGCTGAGACTGTTATCTGTTAGCTGTGTTAGTTGTAGCTAATGAATGACGACGTTTGACGTGGAATTTTTAGCTCATGAGCTGGCGTCAAATCACTTTAAAAAAAAACGTGTGTGTTTGTCTGGCTGGCCGTGTTTTAATTACGACAAACGGCAAATTGGCATTCGCTGATCGTCGTCGTCGTCAATGGAGGAAATACTTTAGAGCGATGGCATTTTCACACGCTCAATCGATATATCTCATATACATATGTATATACAACGGATGCGCGTCACAGCAAGTGTGCTAAAAAAAAATACAACAAAAAAATGGGGCGTGGCATTTGGAAATACGTAAGCCGAACTCGTAGCATTTAATGCTAATAATGGTGGCGAGCTCTGATTGACCGATCGAACGATCGAAACAGGCGAGGCACATTTTTCAAATTATTATGCCGTTTATGAACTCAGTCGCTATTGTTGTTGGTTGTCTGCCGTCAAATAAATAACTTGGCGTTTTGTTGGCAAATACAAAAATCGAAATGTGCGCAGAGAAAACCAAACAAAACAAAAAAAAAACAAAGCGGCAAATTGCTGAATTGTTGTTTCTATGGCTCTGTTTCGTCTTGTTGTTGTTTTTATTGTTTTCTGTCTGTGCCAGTTATGCCAAACAATTTTTTTATTGCTTTAAGCGGGGTAATGTGCAAAAGTGTCCCAAAATTAAACGAAATTTAAGAGGGAAATATTGAACAGCAAGCGCAAGAAATACAAACAACACAACAAGAAAATTTTGCGCTCTTCAGATCCTTAGGAAATTCCAATCAAACGCTCTCTATGGAGAGCAAGAGCAAATGACCCAGGAGTAGGCAGTTACGCCTAGGCGAGGCCAAGCTTTAAATGAGAGCAGGCGGCGCGCTGCCAACGTCAACGTCAACGTCTCAGCAGCAGAAGCAGCGTGTGCGACAACGTGCGACGCATGCTAAAAATAATAAAAGGCGTGCGAAACAATTTGTTTTCTCAGCGCAAGTGTGCGTGTGTCAGTGTGTGTGTGTGTGTGTAGGCATAAATTATGCTGCTCGCAGCCGCATTCAGCGGCGCTGCCTGGCCTGCCAAATAGTTAAGCGTTCATGGTTTCTGCTTCCTTTTTTTGCTCTTCGTTCGTTATTTTTTTGGATTTGTCATTCAACAAATTTTAATTCGCTGAACATTTTAATTAATATTTTTTTGAGTGCGCAGGCGTGCAGGAATTTTTCGGCATTTTGAAATTAGTCAATTGTTGTTATAGTTGCCTAAGGTCAAGTGTGTGTCCCCCACCTCACCCCTAAACACGCGCACAGTGGGCAGCTGTCAATTGTCGCAACCGCAAAAAAAAATATATGAAAAAAAAAAACGACAAACAACGGCAACAGCACGTAGCAACAAAACAAAACAAAAAAAATGTAAACAAACACAGATAAACCGATACAGCTACAACTGCAACTACAACTCTATCTGTGTGTTTGTGTGCATCGATATCGCTTCTTTGCGGTGCAAATCGTTTAACGCTTACCGTTATTGTTTTTTTTTTTGCAGCTTTTAGCGTGTGCTTCTGCTCATTTGTTTATCATTCGTTTTCAATTCCAACTGGAATACAACACCATAAAACATATGATACTCTCCCCACCCCACCTCTCGGAGGCGCACGCTCAATTAAACCGCCTTATATCCAACGCCATCTAGCTCCCATTTCCAATTTAATTGCTGCCTGGCAAATCAGCTGCTCATTTCAAATGGTCGCCATTTTCGATATTCCCATGTTATTATTATTGCTGTTGTTATTATTATTTCAGGTGCTCCACTCACATATTGTTCCTAAATATTTATTACACCTGCTTTATACTTCGCTTCTATGGCACAATGTGGACTTTAAAAATATATAAAAAACGTTTTTGCCAGCCATTGGTGAGTTTTATTGCTCGATTCAGATATGGCCTTTTCCATTATTAATGTATTTGTTGTTGTTGTTGCCTGCCAGCAATTAAAATTCCAAAGAAATGCCTCAATCAACAAAAAAACAAAACACAAAAAAACCCAATCGAAAATTCCCTGATTTTGGGACTTTGCCTCTTTGCTATGCTTACCTTACTGTCGACTGCCGACGAAGGCCGCTGCAGTTGTCGGCATTTTTGTTGTTGCGTTGAGGTTGAGGATGGGCCAAGGGGGGTAGGGAGGGGGGCGCCTCAAGCGCGTAATCCAAAAATTGAGTCGCTTGCGATTTTTTCTATGCACAAATGTCGAAATTAAGCGAGGCAGAGAGAGCGACACAGAGAGAGAGGAACTTTCTTTGTTTTGCTTTTTGCGCGACGTTCAAATAACAGTAAACTGTATTGTTGTTTGTGAATTGTCGTTGCCCGAAAACTTTTGCTGACCTCTTCGTCAAAAAAAACACACTAACACGCTGCGACTGCGCAGTCAACGGCGACGACGACGTCAACGACGGGCCGCATTCCAGCGGCTCACGGCTCTCTCTCTCTCACACACAGTGGCGATTGTGTGGGCGAGAGAGCGAGAGAGAGAGGCAGGGAGTTTGAAGTTGGCGAGCGCGGCACAAATACGATTTAATCAAAATTGTTGTTACACACACACACAAACACACACGACACGAGAGCTGCAAAAGCGCGTATGTGTGTGAGCGAAAGAAATAGAGAGCGAGAGAGCTGCCGTTTTATGCTTGTGTGTTTTGTATTCGTATTAGTGCTGTCCTCTCTTTGGCAACTGCTTTTTTTTGTTGTTGCGCGAAAGAATGCCGTTTGCTTGGTTGTCGTTGTTGTTGTTGCTGTTGTTGCTGGGTCGCAACTTTCTGTGGTGCGCTGGCTATTTGTTTTGACCAGCAGCAGCAACTTGTTGGAATGGTGCAGAATTTGATTTTTTTCTTTCAAATAAAATGCATAGCACTCACATACACACACACTCACACACACACTGGAAATGGGCACTTGTGATTTTCTTTTTATTTTGTATGTAATTCAACGCCACACTTTAAAGCCGAATTCGAATTCGAATCTCAATCCGAATTCAAAATCCAAATTCGAAACGAAACACAACGAAACGAGACGAAACGAATGACGAGTAGCAACAGAGAACGCTTAACGACGAAACGCGCACACTGCGAATGCGACTTCGACTGCGACTGCGACGGCGACAATCGCCAGAGTTCCAATGGGGCCGCGCAGTCGATCGCGACGCCGTTTTTTTTTTGCCTTGCCTCTGAGCTGGCAATGCGAGCGAGCGACCGAACGAGTGAGCGAGAGAGCGAATGAGTGTCTTTTGTCTGCGTATGTGTGAGTGTGACGTGTATATGTGTATGTGTGTGTAGACGACGCGCAACCTGCTGCCGCCAGTTCAACTGCTTCGTCCAGCTACAAAAATCAAACTAAAGTCCGAGTCGAGAGAGTTTCTTGCTGAGAGCAACTCTGTGTGTGCATGTGCAGTGTTTGAGTGTGAGTGTGTATGTGAGTATCTCCCACTGAGATTTAAGATTGGAATGCGCCGCATACATGATAGCACATGTATGTGTGTGTGTGTGACTGAGAGAGAGCGAGAGAGCAGTCGATCGTTTTGTTTCTTGTGTGTATTGTTGTTGTTGTTCAAGCGGCGGCGGCTCAGCGGCCAGGTTGAAATTGCTGGCAAAGAATTTGGCTGTCGCTTGCTGGGCTTATAAGCAGAACAGAATAGAACAGCACACACACACACAGAAAGACAGACATGCACTGGAAGCACCTTTTGCTGTACCTTCCCCTCCAATGTTTCGTGTTTCCTTTGAAAGCAGTTTGCAAAAATCTTCAACCAAGATGCAAACTTAAAACCGAAAACCAAAAAAAACAACAACAATAACACAGCACGAGTAAGGTAAACACTGAGCAAAATAAATAAAAACTTCAAAGGAGAATCCCAGTAGCTAACTGAAATGTCAGTGTGTAAGTGAAATTCCAATGTTTTATCTTGGCAGCCGCCGACGCCGCTGTCGACGAAGTCGCAGCAGCAGCAACAAAAACAACAACTATTTGGAGCCCAACACGAACATAACGAATAAGAACATGTTGAAAGCGTTTAACGAACAACGATTGAAAGATGCTCTTAAATAGCTTTAGCTGGAACTGAATGCAATTGAAAGCAGCTGCAAATCGTAACATTCGTTAAGTTTTCAAGTGGCGTTTGTCCTTTTCATTAGTGATGGGTGCGTGACAGACAAAATTAAAGACGATTGGAAAATGATCTTAAATAGCAGAGACAGTTAGAAGAGCTTTAGCTGCAACTGTATGCTGCAGAAAGCAGCTTAAGATTCGATAAGTTTTCCAAATAATAAACATAGTTCTCTTACAATACAAGTATAAAATACATTTTATTAAGATAAGCTTTTTAATCATAAAAAGTAAGTTAACTTAGTAAGCACGACACGCAATCAACTCTAATTGGAATATCAGCATTCGTTAGGTTATTCTTCGTTCATTTCCACTGACCTTCGCACATAGCAGAGGCTTTAGCTGATGGGCTCGTCTTCCAAGCGCAGGGTGCGCAAAGCAAAGCCAAGGAGAAAAGCGCGACGCAAGGCCGCGGAAGAGGCTGAGACGGCGACGGAGAACGCGCAAAAGAAATACCAACACACACACACCAGCTCACACACACATTCACGCAGAGCAACAGCAGCAGAGAGTCGTAAGGCGCAGCAGCGGTGTAAGGTAGGGTAGGGGGAGGGTGAGAGAACAGTGCGCTGCTGTTGCTGCCCGCTGGCCATTTGCTACGATATCGTCACTTGGGCGCATTCCTCAGCATAATGTGAGCTTGATTTGCTGGATTCTTTTTGCTCTTGGTCACCCCTCCCCCTCTTCCAACACCTCTCACTCGCACTCCCGCTGCCAGCGCCAGCCATCTATTCCAGATTCTCGTCTCGTCTCGCTCGCACACACACGCATGCACGCTCGAAATTATTTTGTTGCCGTTTTTTTTAAGATTTTCTGCCTGCCGACGTTTCTTGTACCCTACGCCCATTGGATGGAAAAGGGTGTAATAAGGTGGCAAAAAGTTTATAACAGGCGTATATATAACAATAACAGAGTATATATATTCGAGATCAACACCAAAAGTGTAATTTTTTTATTTTTATTTATTTGGCAATTGAAATGTGTAAGCTTGTGTTTTTGAATCAATTTAATATTTTTATTTTAACCCTGAGTATCTTCAAGTCGTGCACACTCGACTAGAGCATTCTTACATGGTTTTTTTTGGAGTAAAGTTTTCTCAAATATGCCGCACATTCACACACACACACACATACAGACACAGAGAAGAATCGGGAGCCAAGTTTTTGAGGAGGGGACGGGGCTCACCATGGGAACCTGGCGCAAGCTGTTCGATTTCTTCCAGTGTATTTGCTATGCGCGTCGCTGCTGCTGCTGCCGCAGTTGTTGTTGCTGGTTCTTTTCGTTCTAAGACCGGTTGTTGTTTTTGTTGTTGTTCTTGGTCAAAATTGCGTGTGTGTGTGTGGATGCTGGAGCCTGTGCCTGTCGAGGCCGAGTCTTCAAAACAACAAATATTTTATGCAATTCCTTGAAGGCGATTTTTCGTTGTCGTTGGAACTTTTTTCTTTCGTTTTTTCCTCATACCGCGTACCCAATAAAAATGGTTAAAAAACGGGTATGGCATGCTGGAATGTTTGGATTCCAGTGCAGCTTCCAATGTGCAATCATATTGGATTTATTCATTTATTTATTATTATAAATTATAATTTAAAATATTATAAAAAAATACTATTAATATTAAAGTCTAAAGTCTTTGTTTTAACGTCTTTTATATTTAAAAGTGTTTTGGAAACGGAATATAGCAATCAAATTATCTACAGGGTATCTATCAGTCGGGTGTTATTGACTTGGCCACTCTTGTTTTTGGCTTGTGTTTTTTTTTCTTGATAGCCAAAGCTGAATCTTGACCGAATCTCTGGTAGAATTGGCGCGCAATTTGACAGGGTCTCAGCTCAGCTCAGCACAGCTTAGCTTTTTTTTCTTGGCCATTTTTTCAGCTGCCGGACGTCAGATTCTTGCTTCAGTCTGGGCCAGCATTTCTATTGGAAATTCCCAGCTGGAATTCGCTGACGGGCAATTCGGCGCTGACTGCACAATTTTGGGGATTAAAACTCTTAAAACAAAGCATAGCATATAAAAACGTTTTCTGTCAGCTCTCTTCTTTATTATTATTATTATTTTATTTTTTTGCCTGGAATTTATGCGATACGCTTCATTTGGCATCGATGTTGTCGTATATTTTGTTTTTATTCTGACTGAATATTGTTGAACGCTCCAACCCCACTCCAAGCTGAAATGTTAATGGTCATAACGTTAATGGACATGGACACTCCTCTCTCCCCCCTCGCTCCCCTCTCTCTTGCGCTGTTTTTTGCCTCTCTTTCAAGGTAGTTTTATTACTCTTGTTACACTAACTTACTTCCTATTCAGGGATTTTTGTTGTTGTGGTTGCTTCTTTTATTGCCGAGTCGAGCAGCGAATGGAATGTAAATAAGAGATCGCCTCCCCCCTCCCCCCACAGTGAGCACTTCTTTGCATAAATAAGCGAGATAGTAGATTATTGGCTGTATGAATTGATTGATTCTTTGGAAGCCCGCAACCCTGACCGAAAATGTTCACAAAATAGTATTCAACGATTTTACATATCGAATAACAACAAATTGTTGATTGCCAAAAAAAAAAGAGTTGAGCGAAAGTTACAAAATGTTGAGAGAATTTCAAGAATGAGCGATTGATAATTGACAAACAATATATTCCAATATTCCAGCTTGGAAGCGGAGTGAGTGTAGGCAACTGGAAGCGTATATAATTTGGAAACATTGGCGTTTTATATTCTTGAACTTTTTGGCAGTTACATTGGAATCGCGATGCTTTCGTCGTGGAATGTGGAGTGTATGGAGCGTATTTGTGTGTGTGTGTGTGTATGTGTCAGTGTCCGTCCAGTTGCAGAGAGTCGGTGTCTAATCTGCCTACCCTACTTTCACTCCAATTCCAGTCAGCGGCATCGGCATCTCGCTCAATTCAATTTATTCGAGCCGAACTTTTCTCTAGTCGCTTGCCAGTAGCAACAGCAACGACAGCAACAACAATGATCGCTGCAAGCTGGCGCCGTTGTAGTTGTAGTTTCCAGTGGGTGGACCACGGGGTTGGTGCGAGGGGGGAGGGGGGGAGGGAGAGGCGCTGCTACTGCTGCTAACTAAACTGCAATGAAATTTCGACTGTTGTTGTTGCTGCTGCTGCTGTGTGTTTGTGGGATTTGTCTTTTTCGGCATTGGAATGCAGCGTATCTGTTGCTGCTGCTGCTTCTGCTGCTGTTAAACCCATAACAGCAACAACAACAACAGTCCAACGAAGTTGCCTTTGAAATGTGTTCTAAATAAATTCCAATGAAATGCAAGAAAGGAACCAGCAACAAGAGATGAGGACGTGACTAATTTGTACAAATAGGAAAAAATACTTAATTGTTTTTGTATCTATTATTTATCTGTATATATTTATTTATAACAATTTAAACATAGAAGATTTAATTGTTAGCTAATACTAAGCTTCATATCTTATTAACTAGGTCTTCGACTGCGGATAATAATTAATTTTATTAAATTTGAAAATTGAAGCTAATATTAATATTTTTAACAGAGCTCTCATAAAGGTGGAGAGGATTGTTGTTTTAAACATTTTCATTTTATAGATTGACAATTATTTAAATGTGCAATGTTGATTATAAAATATAGAGAAAAAACACTTAATTGCTAGTTAATGGCGTGTTTCTCTTTTTATTATCTATTTATTGCAATATATGATTTATTAGAGATGAGCGCTTTTTCTTTTCATTATTTATATATATTTAATATAATGCACATAAATGAAAGGTTCTTTCGAAATTCAACATAAATTTGTTGCCTTGATTTTAATTGTCTACAATTTGCAAATGGAAATCTCGTGCTCTGCTTGGCTTGGCTTGGATTGGCTTTTGCGTGTTTCGTGCTCACGTTGTGTCATCTCTAGTTGTGGGATGGGGGCGCGCAGATGTACAAGTAACTCACTCGCCGATACAAATTCTGTGCTGCGCAACGCGATTGCAATCTTTAGCATCGTCATCAGCTGCAACAACAACAACAACAATAACGCGGGCACGGGACCCGAGAGTCGCAGACGCAGCAGTCGCAGCAGCCCCCAAAGGCCCAAAAGCATTCGCAGCGGCAGCGCAGTCAGCGCCAACGTTCACGTCGACGTCAGCGTCGCGCGTGCGCAGTCTCAACGGATGTCTGGGTTCAAGTGTTGTTGCTGTTGCTGTTGTTGTTGTTGATTTTGCAATTTCTTGCTTACCTGTTTGCAGGCTGCAGGCTGTAAACCTCAGTTTGCAGCTTTCTTGCGCATTTTTCTTGCTCTCCACCAACAGCTTACTCTCTCTCTCTTTCTCTCTCTCTCTCTCTCTATCTCTCTCTACGTCTCCCTCTCGCTGGCGAAAATAAAAATCGAGAAAATCAACCAATTCCCGTACAGTAGCTGCTCGTTTTTTTTTTTATGGTTTTAATGAGCGTTTATATTGCCACATGGCCGAAAGGATTGTGGATTGAAATTCCAGCATTTTGGTATGTTTTTTTTTCTCTTTCGCCTTTCTGCTACTTGCTGCTGTTGTTGTGGTTGCGGCTTGAATTTAGTGCCCCTGCACACTCCATCACTCCGTTTTTGACACTTAGCCCCTCTATCATTTCCATTTCCCATATTTCATCAACAACAACTCGAAATGTATCCATCTGTACTCCAGACTTTCTCATCAAAACACTATTAGATAGTTTTTGTAAACCACAAACAGTTGTGCAAATAATCCAATGTGTTAAATATAGTTACGATTCTCATGATACCGATAATACCGATCATGATCATACTGATGATCATCATGTTGATGATGCTGAGGAAAAGGTGTTGTTAACAAATTATCGAATAACCACAACAATAAAAATACAATCACAAGTTCAAGTACCAAACAAAAAAAAATGTGTGAAACTTGTGTCGAGAGAAATTCTTAGGATATGAGCAGGAAATTAAGAGACGGATAGAGTTCTTTTTCGAAATAGTTCAAAATCTTCATTAAAAACTTGATTATAACTTAAAAATTAATTTTATTGGTTCAGAATTTTGAAGTGAAAACAAGAGAGAGATGTTCTAATTAAGATCAAATCGGTTTAAGCCAATTTTGATAGCAACTGATTTATTTATATTTAAAATATTTTTGATATAAACAAAGAATTGATAGAATAGTCTAGCAATATCCACACAACTGCATATATGATTTGTTATACCTATTTTCTCATTAGTATGTAGAACATTTGGCAATAAGTTTTCCCCCAACAACTGTAGAGAGGGGGGAGGGACCCCCTCCTTCGGCGACAACATGCAATTAGCAACGATGGCAAAAAATAATAAAAGCAAAGTAAAAAAAAGTTCGACGTTATGCAAAATTTGACACAGAATCAAAGCTGAGGTCTCAACCCAAAGGGGGTATTGGTGGAGGGGTCGTGGAGGGGAAGTTGAAGAGTCAGGTGTTCATTGCAAATCTGCTGATGATCAACAAGAACAAGAACAATAACAACAACAGCAGCATCTGACAAACTAATGAGAGTGAGGAGTGAGGAGTGGTTAGAGGGGCATTTATGGAGGCAAGTTGCTCCGATGCCGTTTCGACCGCTGCTGTTTGACTCGAGCAAATGATAAGCGCCAAATATTTGTTGATAAATGTTTGGAAATTAAATGAGCGGCAACAACAACAACAGGCACACAACAACGTTGAACTCATCGCGCTGGCATGCAAAAGCCAAATATTTATCAGCCTAGGAGGCACATATGTATGCACATAAATACACACACACACACACACACACACATGCACACACGTACACACAGACATACAAAAGCACATCTATCTTTCTATTTATCTATCTATCTATTTATCTGTATCTGTTAACTACATATTACTTTGGCTCCCACGGCTCAAAAGCGGTTCATGCTAATTAAAATTTGAATAATTTTCAATAGACATTTGGCGCTTTGGGTTTTTCGCATGATATACCCGTGCATATATACATAGATATACATATATATATACATATGTGTATATAGGAAAGATATGTATGCGATATGCATACAAATGTGTAGATTTGGCAAAAGTTATAGCGCATTATCTCCCGGCAAGATACACATGTACAACTCGTATCTGATATCTGGTATCTTGTCGCCGGTTGCCTCTATCTTGGCTTTGTTCTTTGCCTTGTTGACCGGTTTCATTTGGAACGTTCTCATTCTAGTACTCGACTTGTGAATATCCTGTAGACTATGCACCGAACCGTTTACAAAACACACTCTTCTTCTTCGCACAAAAACAGTTTCAATACAGTTTCTTAAATAACTTTTATATTTATTAGACAATTTGTACAACGTTTGCAGATATCATAAATAGATATTAATATATAAGAAGATGAAAATAATATCAAGGAGTAATATTTTAAATATTTCAATACTTTATTTTAATCTTTAGTAGTAGCGATTCTATTTTCTTTCTATATTTTTCAATACTTCAAATTACATTCCACAACCTGTTACATATATTTCATATTATTTTAAAAGCCCCATTTTGGTTGTGGCGGTTACAGGGTATTGCAATTTTGATACTGCATTTACTTAGCTTATCAGTTGGCTAAATGCGTCAGCATTGCCAACTTGGCTTTTATCACAGAATTATGCACACACACTCACACAGACACACACATAGTAAGAATATTTGTATATTTACTCAAATTTGACAGTGTATTAATCATACGCCGCGTAGACGACGTAATAGCGCACAATTCCCCAACTGCGTCATACGTAATACGTAACACTTAAAACGTAATCTGCAATTTCCCTTCAGCTGACAGCTGCAGATTCGATTTCAGTTGAAAATAGTTTAACAATAACAAGACAGACTGAGCAAGTCGAGGGAGCTTGACTAGCAGATACCCTGAATTAAATTAAAAGCCAATTTTGAACAGAGGCCGATTGGAAAATAAGTGCAGCCCTAATGAGTGTTTTTCATGGATAGAATGTTGACATGGCTTTCATGTGAATATCAAATTTTCAAATTTAAGTGTAGAATTTCTCTGCATTTTGTGAAAATAGGCCCAGTTTTGACAAAGTTATGGCTGTGGAATGTTTGGAACCGTCCCAAAATGCGATTTTAATTATTTGTATTTTTCACTTAATTTGAATTTAATTTGAGGTTCGATTTTCCTCGAACGGCTGAGTCACACGAGCACAGCCTGGAGTACAATATTAATTTGTTGTGGGTTATTAAGTGGCTGTCATGGCAACCGCATTTCCAAGTAGTAGCCACAGACCACAGAGCGACCGGAAGGGCGACGACGCATTACCTAAAATATAAATCTAGCCACAACAAAAAAAACAAAACAGAATCGAAAGGATTTCATAAATTAAACCTCATCAAGCGAAGTAAGAACAAATCAAGGTAGGTACAAATTATGGGCAGGCATAGAAAAATTAGAAGAGATGCAGACAAAATCAAAAACAGCAACAAAAAAAAAGGCCAACATGAACATAAGCAGCGGCAAAAGGGAACGCAGGAAGCGAATAAAAATTCTTTGCCTCAAGGGGGGCGGGACGGTGAAGGGCGTTACTGGCAAAGAATGACACGCATCCGGTTTTAAAATTCCAAAGCAAGATACTACAAATACACTTAAAAAAAAAACAAATTAAAAGTGCATTTTTGATCAAGCAAGTTTATCATAGCGAAAGTGTTTGTTAAAATTAAAATAAAAAAGTATGGAATTTCACTAATTAAAAGTAGAAAATATATTATAAAAGAATGAAAACTAAATAACAAAATTATCAAGGAAAAAAGTAGTTTGCAATAGGTTTTCAGTCGATCCTTTTCTGGCCGGAATTATCCTGCTGAGCACCAAACTGTGAACCACATTTGTATTAGTAGAAAGTAAACAATATATTCTAAAAGAATCAGAAATAATATTCAAAAATACCAGGCAAAAAGTCAGGTTGCGATAGGTTTTGAGTCGAACATATTCTTATTAAAAATCCAATTCACTTTTTTTTTTTGAGTGCAGAAAAGAGTTCATAGCCTGAACCGAGCAGAGCAGCAGACCCAGGCTCAAACCCATAACAGGCTGAGGAATTCAAACACTTGAAAATTAACAACAACAACAAGAACAACAAGTTGAAGAAGAACAGCTTCAGCTTCTTCATCTCAGTTGCCGCCTCGCAAGGGTGTCCCAAAATGATGGCGACGCCAGCTGAGACGCCGACTGCGCCGCTGGCGACACTGGAACTGCAATATTTTCGAGCCATCTCGCTCTACCGCCGCCGCAGCTACGAGCGTTGCGCCGAGTTGTGCAACGCACTGCTCCAGGCTGGCCACGAGAACAATGTCCAAATATTTGCCACACCATCGGGCAGGGAGGAGGAAATGGACGGTGGACAGCAGCAACAGCAGCAGCAGCACTCGTCGCAGTCGCTGGCGGATCATGAGAGTCGAGAGCACAGATTCGGTAGCAATTTGCAACGCATTGGCCCCCGGCGACGACGTGGCGGCGACACCGATGCTGGGGCAGCATCAACACTGGCAACTTCATCCCATATAATGCCCACCTGGCTAATGGAGGGTGTCTGGCAATTAAAGATGCGTGCCCTGACGCAGCGCGTCTATCTCGACGATCTCGAGGTGGACGATGCCGGCGATGCCGGTGAGTTGGCCACAATTCTAAATCACTTAACAGTAGCAAGACCTTCACATACCCTATATTCAGGCAAAAGTCATTCATACAATGTACACTTTGTACAATGTCGTAACTTCCAACTTCTATAAACATTGAATATATTTAGTGTCGTTGAGATTTTTTTAAAAATATTAATTAGAGTATTTCTTAAATTTTTGGGAAATGGTGCTTACTTTATCAAAAACCTTCCTAACTCCGTTAGATCAATCTAATGAAATAAGAAATCTGTCAATAACTGAACATAAAACATTAATTTATGTATTCTAGGAAATTTCTTTCTAAAATTCTTATATTTACGAGTGATCACTGTACCCATTTCTATTGTCATATAGAGTACAATGAGGAGGTGGAATTCGAGCGCATTGCGACAGCTGCTCGTCCAGGCAGCAGCATCAAGACCGCTTTTCAGCCGCGTCCGAGCACCAGTCAGAGACGTGCCACGGGTCAGGCGTCCCATTCGAGCGATGGACGGATTAACAGCGCCCGGCCCAATTCGGCCGTGACGCGACCCGGCACCGCTCTCAGTCGTCCGGGTTCGTCGCTGGGCGCACGCCCCGCCTCCCGCTGCGGCACTGCATCCCGGGTGCGTGCCACATCAGCGGCTGCCTTCAATGTGGGCGATACGATGGCAACACTCTATCAGGCCTCCCGTCTCAATCCCACCATCTATGCGGAACGTGAGGCGATTGTCAAAGCACTGTTTCAGTTCCTTTACTACCACGAGGCAGATGTGCAGAAGGCGCACTCGCTGTGCCAGGCGGTGCAGCAGCGACCTGGCCAGGATCAGTCCGACTGGTGGTGGCAACAGCAGCTGGGCAGATGCCTGCTCGCCTTGCACTATCCACGGCGTGCCGAGCCGCATCTACAACAATCGCTGGCTGCATTTCCCCATCCGGATACGTATCTGCTGCTCTCTAGACTCTATCAGCGACTCAAGCAGCCGGAACGAGCACTGCTGCTCATCGGACAGGCGGTGGAGAGACAACCATTCGATGTAACCTTTCGCCTGGAACAGGCGCGCATTCATCAGGCCTTGCTGCAGCAGGAGGATGCACTGCAGCTGTATCGTCTGGCGGCCAAATTGCAACCGATAAATATCGAGGCGTTGGCCAGCATTGCTGTGGGCTACTTCTATGATAATAATCCGGAGATGGCGCTGATGTACTATCGCCGTATTCTCTCGCTTGGCGTTCACACAGCGGAGCTCTACTGTAACATTGCTCTCTGCTGTCTCTATGGCGGTCAGATCGATCTTGTCCTGCCGTGCTTTCAACGTGCCCTTAACATGGCCCAGCAGCCGGAGCAGAAGGCCGATGTCTGGTATAATCTCAGCTTTGTGGCAGTGGTTAGTATGGACTACAGATAAATCAGATAAAATATCGTTCGGTATTTAACCCATAACAGTTTATTCCTCACATTACTCAACAAATCTCAATCTTCTTCACTCATTTCTTTCTCAGACATCGGGTGACTTCAATCTGGCCAAACGCTGCCTGCAACTGTGCCTCACCGCCGATTCTCGGGATGGAGCTGCTCTCAATAATTTGGCTGTGCTAGCGGCACACAGTGGCGATATTATGGGCGCCAAGTCATATCTAAATGCGGCCAAGGATGTGCTGCCCGATGCCGGCGAGGTGAACGCCAATCTTCAATACATGGATCTCAATTACAAACTATAGTTTTTATGCCCTATTAATATTTATTTAATAATATATAATATATGTACCCTCTGCAAGAGCAATATATCAAACGTCATCTTCAATTTATTCATCGCAATTTAGGGTCTCTGGAGCCAATCGTAGATGGTGTTTAGACCCACTTTGGTGACGGCGCTGGCCTCCACAATGGTCACCTGCTGGCGTATCTGTTTCTGCAGCTTGGACATTTGCAGCATGAGGAGCGCCTCGTTGCGCATCTGTCGATAGGAGTAGTCCATTTTGGTCAGCACCAATAGAATCCTTACCTTCTGCAGACGTGGCTCCGTCAGAATCGAATAAAAGAGCACCCCTAACAAAATGTGATTGAAATGGTAGCGTATGGTGACGTATTAAATTTGTTGGCTTACCTGCTGCTGATATCTGGCACAGATTGGAGGCATCCACCACATAGATGAGCTTTTTGACATCCTCAAAGTATTGACTCTGACGCCACAGAGGCGCCATGCTGCCACCGATTTCGAGCACCTGAATGAATTTGGCCAGGTGCTTGCCAGAGTGCGGCGTTGCAGTGGCTGCATCCGTTGACGGTGGCGGCGGTTTGGGTCTGTCGCCATTGGTTGCTTTTTCGGGGAAATAAATGCGAAAGATGCCGGTGCCGATGGTGGGCATTGAATAGCTGGTCTCATCTATGGACTCCGGCTCCTGCAAAGCCTTGAGCAGGTGCGTTTTACCCGCCCGCTTGGGACCCAAGCAGATGCAGGACATCACAAGTTTTAATTCTATATAAAAACATGTATTGATTCAACAAGCTAAATTGCCTTGGTAACCAAATTTTGAAAAGGCGTTACGGTAGCTGTGGCGCCATCTATCGGCATCGATATGGTAATGTTATCGTGTCATCAAAAGTGTTGAGAAGCTCGCTACACTCGCAAATAAGCGCCGACTCATCCGCTGTTAACATATGTTTATTTTTTCGAAAAAGCAAGTCGCACAATTACACCGACATAATTTGAATTGCCGCAGCAAAAATGTGCGAGTTTCGTAGAGCAGCTGATCCTGATCAAAAAGGATTTAAAAAGCAATTCGCGATCGTTGTAAATGACATCAACACAGAATTCGTGTTCCACAACTTCGACAACAAATGGCTGCTGCTAATCACACAGCTGGGCAAAATTCCGGCGCTTTACAATGTGGCCTTCGATGTGAAGCGTGACAATCGAGTTATTCCCTATCTGCATGGCCCCGTGGACCATCCGGAGTATCATGTCTCGGTGCCGGTGACAATGACCTGCTGCATGGGTGCCGACACCGACGAGATACGCGGTGGCATTCAATTTCTCATTAACAAGACGCCGCTGCACAAATGTCCATGCGAATTGGTGATTGGATTGGGATTGAAACAGCTGCAGACAGCTGATCTGAAAAGTATTGCCAAGGTGTTGGAGGTAGGCGTATTTTGAGTGTGAAAATAAAATATTGTGAAATATTAAATACCATTTAAAATAAACATTGCAGATTTACAATGCAGTCACAGAATATTTTTTTAATGTAAAACCGATTTGTTTTTAGCAGAATGCTGAATGTATCCAATTGATACACTGATTAACCACAAGTATATCTAGTTTATAGAGCTGCTCACTTCGACAACAACACCAAAATACCCTGTATGCATAAAAACGAATTCCAGTGTTTAGTAAATCTTTTTTATATTTCCAAGCAGTTGTACATTAAAACGTGTACGAAAAGTGGGAAAAGTAAAAACTTCACTTTTCAAATTACACATAACAGCGAATGACGTTTGTTGATGTTGCAAGGATTGCTGCTGCTGCTTAATCGAAGAGACCGAAACCCATGTCATCGTCGGAGACATCGGATTCCTCTTCCTTCTTCTTCTCCTCCTTCTTGGATTCGGCGGCGGGCGCATCAGAAGCAGCAGGGGCAGCAGCACCGCCAGCGGGGGCAGCACCGACACCGGAGCCAATGTTGGTGATCAGATCCTTGACGTTGATGCCTTCCAATGCCTTGGCGAACAGACCGGGCCAATAGGGCTCAACCTCAACGTTGGCGGCCTTCAGAATGGTCGAGATTTTCTCACCCTGTAACCAAATACAATTAGTGTGCATTCACCACATAAAACCATTTAAAATGACAGCTGATTGCAGTAATTTTAGCAGATTTATTTATGTCTTTTTGTTGGAAAACTTACGGTGACGGCAACATCATCATCAACCAGAATGAGGGAAGCGTATACGCAGGCGAGCTCAGCTTTTGTCGACATGGTTAAACTGTATGTTTATTAATTAATAATTGGTGCAAGTTGCCAAAAATTAATGTTTTATAATAATCGGCCTTAGCTCGAAAGAGAACAAGCACACGGAACAAAATCCTAAACCGGAAAGAGAGATGTACGTCAAGTTGGCTGCGGCTACCGTTGTTTTATTTTTGCATCGCTGTGAATGGCATAGCATAGCATGAGCATTTACCAGCACTGTTCTGAAACATAAACAAAGTTCGATAAGTTGTTATGCTTATCGATTATATTATACACATATTGTAAATAATAAAAACGCGCGTAAAATGGAAGACATGGAAATTAAAGAAGAAAATGAATCTGTTATTGATGAAAAGCCGGTGGACATAAATAAAATAGGCTCGCTTAAGTCGCTGGGGCCGTTCATAGCGGCACACGAAAACAGTCAAAATACGGTCTATTTGAGTGATGTGCCGGCAATCTGTAAGGAACAGCCCTGCATGCTGGGTGTCGATGAGGCTGGACGCGGTCCTGTCCTGGGTCCAATGGTTTATGGCATCTCCTACTGCCCCCTGGAGAGCAAGAGTGTTTTGGTGGAGTTGGGCTGCGCGGACTCGAAACAGTTAACCGAGGAGAAGCGTGATATCATCTTCAATGATTTGAATACGCTGGAATATGCCAACAGTTGCATTGGCTGGGCAGTGGAAATCATTTCGCCCAATGTCATCAGCAGCAGCATGTATCGACGCACCAAGTGCTCGCTAAACGAGATCTCGATGGACTCGGCCATGGGTCTGATACAGCACGCCATCGATGCGGGCGTTAATATTGCGGAGGTCTATGTGGATACAGTGGGTCCGCCGGAGAAGTATCAGGAGAAGCTGCTGAAGCGGTTTCCCAATTTCAAAATAACGGTGGCCAAAAAGGCTGACTCCACCTATCCGATCGTCTCGGCGGCGAGTATATGCGCCAAAGTGACCCGAGATCATGCCCTGAAGGTTTGGCAGTTTCCCGAAGGATTGCTCATCAAGGACAATGCATTTGGCAGTGGTTATCCCGGTGATCCGGTGACCAAACGTTTTCTCACCGAGCACATTGATCTGGTCTTCGGTTTCCCACGGCTGGTGCGCTTCAGCTGGTCAACGGCCGAAAATGCTCTGGCCGACAAGGCGTTCGAAATGGAGTTTGATGAGCCCGATTCCGAGAAGCCCAAATATGCGGGCACGAAGCTAACCAAGTTCTTCAAAGGCACCACCAAAACGGGCGAGGTGAAGCGCGAAGAATGCCGTTTCTTCAAGCAGTGCCATTTAGATAATGTTACCGACTTTTAACAATTAATATCCTAGACTTAATTCCAGATACACTATAAATAAGCAAATATAAAATAGAATACTTTTAAATTATTGACATCTCTGCGAGTGGAATCGGGACAGAAATTTCACCTGTTCCGAATATTTCTTCGGGTTCGAAACAAATACAAAAAGAGCATAATTTCTCTGACTGGAATCGGAAAAGAACTAATCTCCAACACATCACCAGACTAAGGAAAATTGGTGGCAGTTGTTTCTAATAAAATCTACCAATTTAATTTTGAAAAGCGCACGACATTTTCCAATGAATTTTCCTTATCCAACTCAGTGTTTATTTAAAAATGTATACAAGGGAACTTAAAAATATATGCCAAGCGTTAAATTGTCATCTTCATCAGATGTAAATCTCTTTTTAGCTCCCACAAAACAAGCGCTTTAAGGAAAATTAATGTAATGTCAAATTGTACAATTTATTCTGTAAGTTTCTCTGTTCTGTTCATTATTAAAAGCTTTGCTCTAACACTGGAGAAACATTTGTACCCAGAAACACTCCCAGAAAGTAAAAAGAACTAGAATTGCTTGCTAAATTTGTGTGTTTTGAGCTTTAATTAATTGTAGTCGCTCTTGAACGCCATTCTTTATAATTAGTATCGTCTTCACACTAAACTACGTGGGGATTGTTGCAGTTACACTGTTCGAATGTATGCGTGTTCCATCCATATTGATTTGGATGCATAACCGGCGACTAACTACACTTGCATGCATATATGTATATCTATGTATATGTACGCATATACTATATATGCCATTATGTACGCTTAGAAACTAACATTAAAAGGTTGCTCGATTACGATTACGATTACGAAATGGGGGTCGTCTCTGCGCTCTCTATATATAAATACATATATATATATTTATGTATAGAAATTAACAAAATGCATTGTGGTTATATGCTACAAGAAATTAGATATCTGACGTGCGTGTAAAAAAATACAAAACTTAGAATCATTTGGGAGCTTACGGACTAAGGTTGGAAAGCGCAGGTGAAGAGATCGGGGAGCGGGTGTCGGCTTTGGCCATGCCACCGCACCGCATACATCGGCGATAACTCTTCCCACTTGACTCGATCGATGTGTTAGGCAGAAGGGAGAATAGAACATTGATATAAACATGTTTGTGTGTGTATGCAAATAAAGAAAGTCGGGTTTAGTGTGTGTGTGTGTGTTTAGAAATCAAGTACTTCAATAAACATAACCTAAGAGCTGCTGCTGCCGGGAGCAGCTGGGAGATGATGATATATCGATTGCCGTTGCGGATCAGAACTTTCGCAGATCGAGTACAAATACGCTGCCATCGGAGGCACTGGCGCCGACTTTGGTGCCCTTGGAGTTCCAGCAGACCTCGAATATGCCACCGGTACCCTTATAGCTATGCACCAGATGTCCCGTCTGTGTGCTCCAGATGTGCACACACTTGTCAAAGCTACCCGACGCCAGGTGTTTGCCATCCGGACTGAAGGCCACGGAATAGACGGGCTCTGTGTGTTTTGTCAGCGTATGAATGCAGCTGCCACGTTCCACATCCCATAGACGGACCGTCGAATCGAACGATGCGGAGGCGAGTATCAGATTCGTGTTGGGATTGTTGGTACCGGGTCCGGTGGGTGACCATTTTATCGTATAGATCTCCTTGGAATGCGCCTGCAGATCGTGACAACAACGATCGCGTGTCATACTCCAAATCTTGAGGGTCATATCATCCGAACAGGAGGCCAACAGTTGACCCTGCGGACACCATTTGATAGCGTTCACCTCATTGGTGTGGCCGCGGAACGTCTTTATCGGCTCGTTCATGCCCAGTTTACACACATGTATCCGCTGATCTGTGCTGCACGATGCAAACGATTGATTCGATTGCCAATCCACGTCTAAGGCGGGTGCACTGTGGAACGCAAACTGCTGGGTACACTGACCGGTCGAGGCATCCCAGATGATTGTCGTCTTGTCAACGCCCGCTGAGAGTATATAATTGCCGCACTTGTTCCACTTGAGCGCAAAGATGGGGCCCTTGTGCTGGCCCAGCGTCGATGCCAAGCGACCGTCTGTCTTCCAGATGCGTGCATAGCCATCGTAGCTGCCAGTGGCCAAAAGTGAACCGTCGCACTATGCAGAAAGATTAATTTGATTAATATGTATATAGAAATGTAGATATAGATGATCTCTGCTTACATTCCAGTCGAGCGATGTGACATCCTTGTTGCTGGGCACCTCGGCGCCGCCCTTCTGGATGCAGTGGCGTAACACCAGCTGACTCGAGTTGGCATTCGCATCGGACATGTCCCAGATGCGTGCGGTGCTATCGCCGGAGCCACTGGCAAGCAGATCCCGACTGGGATTCCAGGCGCAGATGAACACTTCGCTTTCGTGGCCCCGCAAGACGCGTGCCTTCGAATCAGGTATCTCGATGCTCTGATCAATGTCCATTGCCTCGATGACAGCGCTGCCGGGTGTTCCAGTGCCGCTGCTGCTCCCACCACTACCGCCACCAGCACCTCCGCCGCCTACTCCACCACCGCTACTAACGTTGCCACCGCTGCCGGATGTGGTGCTGCTGGGCACAGCGCTCTGAGCGCTCGTTGCACACATCGGCGCCACAGTGGCAACAACTCGTGTGGCCGCCGCTCCACCAACCGCACCACTGGGCGTCTTAGTGCCCGCTGCAGCTGCCGCCGCCGCCGCAGCTGCTGCTCCTGGACCAGCTGCAGCTGCATCTGCGCTGCCAGCAGTTGGTACCGCAGTCGCTACACCGCCCGTCGTTGGCTGTTCGACACTGCTGGAGTTGCTGCTATTGCCATTGGTGGACGTTGATGAGGTGGCATCATCCGCTGTACTCGTTGTATTTGGATATGCCGCACCACTTGCAGCATTCGCATCATTTGCGCCCGGTTTTTTACTGGCTCCACCGGTTGCTGCTGCTGCTGCCGCCGCAGCTGCTGCATCCGCTGCATTGCTGCCACTGCCAGCTGCAGCTGTGGCCGAGTTGGAATTCGCTCCGGCATTGGCAGCTGTACCAGCTGTGCCATTGTTGTTATTACTGTTGGCTAGGGCATTGTTATTTGTTGCAATTGGGCCACTGGAATCCACTTCGCTTGTGTCGGCGCCACTGCCACCACTGCCGGTGGGTGTGCTGGTGCCGGTGCCGCCAGTGTTGTTCGAATTGTTGCCCTTATTGGCAGCGGCACCACCACCACCAGCCGTGCTCGTTGCCGTACCCGTGCCCGGTTCAATTTTAATCTCCGTTTTTGCATTGTTATTTGCATTGGCATTGGCATTATTGGTGGCATCAACGCCGCTACCGCCGCCACCACTGCCACCCAATTTGCCCGGCTCTGTTTTAACTGTCGGCTTGAGAGGCTTCACCTCCGGCATGACAGCATCTATGAGACTCAATCCCTCGATGGGCCGTGCCACTTCACCATCTTCGCCAACACTCCACTCGACCTCTGTGTAGAGCAGACCCTTCTGCAGTATGGTGAGCAGGGCAGCGGGCGGCACCAGAGCGCCATTGATGTTGCTCTGCGAGATGTGGGACTCGATGCCAAACACATACGCGGAGTGCAGAAAGCCTGCAAGAGCAGAAGAAAAATTGATGAGATGATGGTGATGATGAGGGGTGAGTGCGGTGAGCAAACAACGCGTCTGACAACTCACCAGACTCCTGTAGATATCGGAAAACTAAAAAGTTGACCTCGTCGCTGGAGAAACTCATGTTTGGGCACAAGGACCACTTTTACTTTGGCATACACGCCCAATGCTTCCTTTGCTAACGTTCCTATTGATTCACGGACAACAAAAAAAAACCGCAATTCTAATTTAGTTTTATGGCGGCTGCGCTGATTATGCTGATAACACGCCGCTGGCAGTACGTAACACATGCGTAAATATTTCACAACTGTTCGATGCTATTTGTTATTGCCAATTTCCACCGCTTGGTTCTTAGTTCACTTTAAAATGCGATAGCATTTTATAAATGTATGCTGGTCGAGAAATGGTTGGAGAACTACAAAAAAAATAGTCAACGACCGCTCGGCAATTGCAACGCTGTTTCTCGAAAAATGGCGGAGTCATGTGAAACAGTGTTGGAAACACTTGGTGTGCAGTTACGGTGAGGAGGGCTCCGAGCGTTTTGCAGCACTCGCGTCTGGTTGCCCAAGCATTTTGCAGCACTGTGTCCGCTAGATTGGCTGTTGCACGGAGAGGAGAGTGGAGGAAAAATCAATAGAAATTTTCATTGCGTGAAATGCCTGGATGCTCTGGTTGTTTTGCGTTAGTTCTACACTTTAATAACAGCAATCGAACGTAATTCAATACCAAATTCGGTTTACATAAACTAGTGAATTAACGAAACACACACACACTCACATTCCGCGGCCAACACCCCATAGAAAACCTAAGAAAAAAAATTAAATAAAGTAAAACAAGCAACCGCAACCGTGCGAAGAAACGACACAAATTCCAGCAAACTGCCAAACTATTTTTGCAGCGTTTCAAAAGTAAGCAAAAGCGGCTACGTATTCCAAGCAGTTGTGTGTTACGCCTTCAAAAAAATAACAATTTGGACATATTTTTCGTGGGTCTCTGTTTCTGCGGTCTGTGCAAATAAAACGACTTCGTCATCTTGCTGCTGCCTGTGGTTAAAATGTGAAGAAGAAAATAATGAAAAAAAAAAGAAAAAAGTGACGTCGACTGCGACTGCAAGACGTGACATGAAAGCAAAATGAGCAACAACAACAAAGGGCTCAAGCCGGCGGCGGTGGCTGCAGCACTGATCGTGTTCTTACATTCAGTTATTTATTTAAACAAGTGCAAATTGTGATAAAAACGTTGCGTTAAGGTCAAACGTTATCAGGCATGCAGTCTGTTGTTATATTTGCTATTTAAAAAAATATAAGTGCAATATATATATAAATATATATATTGCAAGCGCTGCCAACGCGCTTTGCCAAATAAAATCGAGTAGGTGGGTTGGCTCTTCAGGATGGTTGGAGCAGGGGGGCGTATGCTTGCCAAATGTCAAAAGTTCAAATTGCGCCAAATATGTACTGTGTGTGCACGAAGCAATTACAAAAGAGAGAGAGAGAGAGCAGGCAGTAAACTCTTATTTGTTATCGATATCAATTGATTGTTAAACAAATATATATTATTCCCCCCCAACAGGTCTTCTTCGGCTGAAAGAAAGAGAGACAAAGACAGAGAGAGAGAGAGAACGTACGAACGTGAGAGAATAACAGAACAGAACATATAATTGAATTTGTTTTGCAAGCAAATCACAATTTTTGGTCTCAGTCTCAGTCGCAGCCTCTGCCTGCAGCAAGTGGCAACGTCGTCGATCAGTTCTCGTAGCCGTTGTTCTCGTCGTTGTCGTTGAGCTTAAAGCGATAAGAGCGCCGCATCGTTTCGAGCGCGCTCGCACAGATTTTTCTTCACCCCGAGTTTGCATAAAACCAGCGAAAATTAACAAGCTAACTACAATGGCGCCGGTGAGGGGGGATGGCATGAGAGGCCTGGCCGTGTTTATATCGGATATAAGAAATTGTAAGTAAAAAAATAAAAAAAAAAAAACTCAATAACTAACACATTTGTACAGTGATCACTCGCTAAATGGGAATGAGTTAATTCTAAATAACTTTTAAATATAATTCGTAAAAGTCGTAAAATATCGATAAAACTATTTACAATTCAAGCTGTCTCAACTTGTGAGCGATCACTGTACTGTAAATGTAGGCTATGTATAAGTAACATTGTAATAGGCTGCCAGTTTTTATTTATGCTATTTATTTTTTAAATTCAATTTATCAGCGCTTTTCTTATCCAAATTATGCACATAACTCTCATAGGGGCGTCATTTCTTGTTCAATTACGAGAAGAGGCGGCTTCCATATCTGTTTCTGTTTCTGCACATTATTGTGTGTGTGCGTGTGTGTGTGTGTCTGTGCGTGTGTGTGTTCTCTGTAGCTTTAACTTGTCACTTCACTGGTCGCTCATTGACGGCGCTCTTGCATTCGATTATCGTACAAATTCAGAACGTCCCATTTCCATTGCTTGTTAACTTGCCCAGCATATCTTCTATGGCATAGCAATTCGCTCTCCCATTGCGAACGCTGCTCAAATTGGTCACTGGTGACTGGTACTAATTGCCCTTCAAGCGGGAGTGAGATGGGGAGAGAGAGAGAGAAAGAGAGAGTACACACAGGGCAAGAGAGAGTTTTAGTTTCCGGTTGATCGCTTGGTTTCCATACAGAAACCCAAGTTCCGAATTATCATTCAGAAATTAACAATATAATAAAGTGAGCCGATTCACTTGTACCAAGTTTCATTGTGCTAACTTTCTTAACAGCTGAGTTACAATAGTTATATGTGCTTGAACATGGTTATATAAACTGGCTACATAAACCCAAATTCGGCAGATAATTCGTAAAATAACTATATGCTACAGTGATCTTATTCATTGATACAAAGTTTCAATAGGATAGCTTCTTTCAGGGCTGAGTTCAAATAGGTATATTCTAAATTTTCACACACCATCTAAAAATATTTTTAAATTTGACAGGTAAAAGTAAAGAAGCGGAAGTGAAGCGCATAAACAAAGAATTGGCCAACATACGAAGCAAATTTAAAGGTGATAAAACGCTCGATGGGTATCAGAAGAAGAAATATGTGTGCAAGCTGCTGTTCATATTCCTGTTGGGCCATGACATTGACTTTGGCCACATGGAGGCGGTCAATCTGCTGTCCTCCAACAAATACTCAGAGAAGCAGATCGTAAGCAATTTATATACAATCTATATATACATATATATATCTATAATTTAAATTGTATATCATTTTGCAGGGCTATCTATTCATTTCGGTGCTGGTGAATACGAACAGTGATCTGATCCGTTTGATCATTCAGTCGATTAAGAATGATCTGCAATCGAGGAATCCGGTGCATGTGAATCTGGCGCTGCAGTGCATCGCCAATATTGGCAGTCACGATATGGCCGAGTCCTTCTCGAATGAGATACCCAAGCTGCTCGTCTCGGGCGATACTATGGATGTGGTTAAGCAGTCGGCGGCATTGTGCCTGCTGCGACTGTTTCGTTCATCGCCAGACATAATACCGTTTGGCGAGTGGACATCGCGAATTATTCACTTGCTCAACGATCAACATATGGGCGTTGTGACGGCCGCCACATCGCTGATCGATGCGCTCGTCAAGCGCAATCCGGACGAGTACAAGGGCTGCGTCAATCTGGCCGTGTCGCGGCTGTCGCGCATCGTCACCGCCAACTATACGGATCTGCAGGATTATACGTATTACTTTGTGCCGGCACCGTGGCTATCCGTGAAGCTGTTGCGTCTGCTGCAGAACTACAATCCGGTCACAGATGAGGCTGGAGTGCGTGCCCGACTAAATGAAACGCTGGAGACTATATTGAACAAGGCGCAGGAACCGCCGAAGAGCAAGAAGGTGCAGCATTCGAATGCCAAAAATGCTGTCCTCTTCGAGGCCATCAATCTGATCATACACAGCGATAGTGAGCCCAATTTACTTGTGCGCGCCTGCAATCAGCTGGGCCAATTCCTCAGCAATCGTGAGACGAATTTGCGCTATTTGGCGCTGGAGTCCATGTGCCATCTGGCGACGTCGGAGTTCTCGCACGAGGAGGTCAAGAAGCATCAGGAGGTCGTCATTCTATCGATGAAAATGGAGAAGGATGTGTCGGTGCGTCAAATGGCCGTCGATTTGCTTTATGCCATGTGCGATCGTGGCAATGCCGAGGAGATTGTCCAGGAGATGCTCAACTATCTTGAGACGGCTGACTACTCCATACGCGAGGAGATGGTTCTTAAAGTGGCCATTCTGGCCGAGAAATATGCCACGGATTATACTTGGTAAGGTTTTTGGGATTTGCCTCTATTTGTTCGCTAAGGAAACCCTTTTTTGCCTTAGGTACGTGGATGTTATTCTCAATTTAATACGCATCGCTGGCGATTATGTGTCGGAGGAGGTCTGGTATCGTGTCATCCAGATTGTCATCAATCGCGAGGAAGTTCAGGGCTATGCAGCCAAAACAGTGTTCGAGGCGCTCCAAGCGCCCGCCTGCCACGAGAACATGGTCAAGGTTGGCGCCTATATATTAGGCGAATTTGGTAATTTGATTGCTGGAGATTCGCGATCGGCGCCGCTGGTGCAGTTCAAGCTGCTGCATTCCAAGTATCATCTCTGCTCGTCGATGACGCGTGCTCTCTTGCTCTCCACGTACATTAAGTTCATCAATCTGTTTCCCGAGATACGCACCAACATTCAGGAGGTGTTCAGGCAGCACAGTAATCTTCGTTCAGCCGATGCGGAACTGCAGCAACGGGCCAGCGAATATCTGCAGCTGAGCATTGTGGCGTCCACAGATGTGCTGGCCACGGTGCTGGAGGAGATGCCCTCGTTTCCGGAACGCGAAAGCTCCATACTCGCTGTGCTCAAGAAGAAGAAGCCAGGCCGTGTGCCCGAGAACGAGATCAGGGAATCGAAGAGTCCGGCGCCGACATCTATTACACAGAACAATGCGCATGTGAATCACAACAACAAGTTGAATAGCAATGCCAATGCCAATGCCGATCTGCTGGGCCTCAGCACACCGCCCGCCAACAACATCAACAACTTGAACAACAGCAACAATTCCACACTGCTCGATGTTCTAGGCGACATCTATGGGAACAACAATGCTGCCGTCTACAACACCAAGAAGTTTCTGTTCAAGAACAATGGTGTACTCTTTGAGAACGAGATGCTACAGATTGGCGTCAAGTCCGAATTTAGACAGAATCTGGGACGTTTGGGTCTCTTCTATGGCAACAAGACGCAAGTGCCGCTAACGGTGAGTGATCCATTTAAATATATATAAAATACAAAACTGAAAACTGATCAATCTTTGTCGTGTAGAACTTTAATCCCGTGCTGCAATGGTCCGCTGAGGAGACGCTCAAGTTGAATGTGCAAATGAAGGCCGTAGAGCCGACGCTTGAGGCGGGCGCACAAATCCAACAGCTGCTGACCGCCGAATGCATTGAGGACTATGCCGACGCACCCACCATTGAGATCAGTTTCCGCTACAATGGCACACAGCAAAAGTTTAGCATCAAGTTGCCGCTGAGTGTGAATAAGTTCTTTGAGCCGACCGAAATGAATGCCGAGTCCTTCTTTGCACGATGGAAAAATCTCAGCGGGTGAGTAATTGCCTCACAACAACTATAACAAAATCTTATCCTTGTTTCTTTGGTTGTGCTCCACACACACACAGCGAACAGCAACGGTCGCAAAAGGTTTTTAAGGCGGCACAGCCGCTGGATTTGGCTGGTGCACGCAATAAGCTGTTGGGCTTTGGCATGCAGCTGCTCGATTCGGTTGATCCCAATCCAGATAATATGGTATGTGCGGGCATTATACACACGCAATCACAGCAGGTGGGTTGCCTGATGCGACTGGAGCCCAACAAGCAGGCGCAGGTGAGTGAATCATAGCTATCCCCATGTGAGATCAGTATTTGTTACTTCTTAATTTGTTTTTTTAGATGTTCCGATTAACGGTACGCGCCAGCAAGGAGACAGTGACACGCGAGATATGCGATCTGTTGGCGGATCAGTTTTAAGGCCGGACACAATACACCTACAGCACCTGGGACTTCGTCTGCAAATGTGTGTGTGTGGCTGGAGATATGTCTAAAGGGAGCCAATGCAGCAATGCAGCAATCATTTTATAATGCACAATCCTAATCACCTAGAGAATGATATCAAAACAAAAGAATATAATGACATGTTTCCTCGAACTAAATGCGACCTAAGTTTTAAGCCCGTTATTTGTGCTACAACCACGCCCACGCCTATGACACATGTTTACCTCTACTACACCTACACCTACACACACACACAGACACACTGTACTTCTTAGAGAGCACCCATTGCAGCGAATTTTCTTTTACACCCCCTTTCCCCTTACACCAACAACTCTGAATTTTTCAGCGCATGCAATTTTCCATGTTTTATATTTTTCTTATCGCTAGTTGTTAAAATGCGTCTGATTTTTTCCATTTTCAATATACTTATTATTATTATTATTTTTGGTAATTGCTAACGAGAGAGAATTCTTTGTAAATGTTAAGCTCAAAAAGTTCATTAGAAAAACATAATTAGATTATGTTGTATGACAAGCATTAGCAGTTGGATATTACTATATATATATATATATATATTTATATATATATATTTATATATAAAAAACGATTCATACAAACATACATACATATACCTAGTATATATACATATATATATATATATAAATTGTTGTAATTAAAACAGCAAGAGCAAAACAAAAAATTATAATCAATTTATAAATGGAATGATATAAATACACAATTCGTTATGTTATTAACAAACAAATTATTACGCATAAAGGCAAAACGCAAACAAAAATAAATTCAATGTTTAGTGTTTTTTGATTGATTGTGAGATACGTGGAGGCGAGTGTGGAGTTTGTTGCCAGAGGAGAGAGAAGAGGCAGAGGAATAAGGAATAAGGAGTTGCAGGAGACGAAGGAAGCCGCACTTGAAAATCTCATTAAAAGATAGACAAATAATTAGATGGTGAAAATCACATACAAATTTCTTCGATTAACACACACACACACACAATACATAGACATTTAAACATTACATTAAACATTGTTGAACTTGAACAAACTAATATAATAATAAAGTATACTAAAAAATACTACTACAAGTACATACTTATATATTAAAGGACAAAGCATTACCACAAATTATTATTATACGTATAGCGAAAATTCTCCATTGATCCTGAGCATGTACCATGTATTATTTCGAATATGTACCATGCATGCCTAGATATGTATGTATAAAAAACAAAAATAAAAGAATAGAAAGAAAGAAAAAAAAGCAAGTGCGACAACTATATAGAAATTGTTCGGAATTTAAATCGATGACATTTTGTTTGACACAATAATAATAAGTGCATACATATATCAATCAGCAAGTATTAACTATTTCCCCCGATGTGCATCTGAAGCGCCATAAAATGTTGCAGGCAAAGAAACAGAAGAACAAAATAAGAGATAAATATACTTGAATAATAAATATATTAATGAAATATACACAACATTTTTTTAAGCTATTATTTGCATGCAAAATTTGGAAATTACATTTTCCAAAGGTGCGATAGTTAAATTGTTAAATGAATTCCACAACAACAAAAGATAAAACACAAACAACTACAACAACAAACTACAGATTGTAAATGCAGGAATTTAACTGTAAACATAAAATGAAATATGTATTTAAATAAATAATAAAAATCTATCGAAATTTGAAACACAAAAATACACAGTTCCTCGTGCATTGGATTGGATTCAGCTATTTTTCTGTTATTGTAATATTCCAACCCGTAAAGTTAATTACAACTAAACCTTAAATTCTTTTAGAAGAGGTAACTTTATTCCAAATACAAGTACAGCATTAGAGTTATTAGAGTAAAATGTGTGTAGAAGTATGTCAACAATTTGGTAACTACATAGTTAAATTCTCAGATCGCATTCAATTTAAATCTCGCATTGATGTTGACCGAACTCAACTCGGTGACCAGAAATTTGAAAGAGAATGGAATTTCGATCATGGAGACGCCACTACTGTCGCCGCACAAGCGACACGTGTCCGGCATGGAGGACAAGCCGCCCGCCTCGTTACGCTTGATAATCTGCTTGAGGGGCGCCAGTATGCTGCCACACTTGTGGCACACCAGCGTGTGCGTCTTGTCTGAATTGTGAAAGAGCCGATCCTGGAGTAGGAAGGCGGCACCATGCGAGATCAAAGCATCCCGTTCCATCTCACCAAAACGGACGCCACCACCACGTTTGCGTCCCTTGATCGGTTGATTGGTGCGCGCCTCAACAGCGCCCGTTGAACGCACTTGCCACTTGTCAAAGACCATGTGTCGCAAGCGTTGATAGTGCACCACACCAAAGAATATATCTGCTGTCATTTCACGGCCATCGACGCCGGAATAGAGACGCTCCGTGCCGTAGTAATTATAGCCGCCTGCCTCGAGCATTTTGCCAAAGTAATCGATGGCCGTGTTATCCTCCGAGAAGCGAAACGGTGTCGCATCGTAGACACCGCCATGGACAGCAGCATTCTTGCCAGCCATCGTCTCGATCATCATGGCGATTGTCATACGCGATGGGAAGCCGTGGGGATTGAACACAATATCCGGTATGAGGCCCGATTCGGTGAATGGCAAATCCTCGGCGGGATACTTTTGCGAACAGATGCCCTTCTGTCCGGCACGCGATGCGAACTTATCGCCAATTGTAGCCGGACGTGCCACACGCAACGTGATGCAAACAGTCTTCCGCGGCGTCAACTCAAAGCTGCCCAACTGACGCACACTGTCTACAATGCAGTCCTCCTTCTCGTCCATTTTAACTACCTTAAATGTGGAGACCTCGCCATCAAAATAACAGTAAAAGGGACAGCCATAGCTGAGCTTGGCGCCTGGCTGCGGCAAACCATCCGTGTCCAGATACTTGATCAGTTCGGGCATGTTCGGATGTCGGGCGAAATAGCTCTGCTTCTTGGCGAGCTGCACGAATTTGGACTTGTAGATGCTGCCATAGGCAAAGCCCCGTTCATAGGCCGCCTTATTGATGATCATGGCATCCTCCATGTCATAGCCCGTGTAGGATATGACAGCGACAATGGCATTGGTGCCCATGGCGAAGTCATCCAGCTGAATATTATCATAGTGCACCGGTCGAAATAGAGGCGTTGCTGGCGTCTGCAGACGATACAGTTTATTGGCTGCCTGTTTGGGCCAGTTGAGGCAGGGTGTGCCCATTGTCTGTTTACCCATCTGGCACTGGTACATGTTACGTGGCGATTGATTATAATCCGGCATGGGTATCAAGTTGGCCAAATTGCTCATAAAGTGCGTCTTAGACAGTTCCAGATGTGTGGTGAAATCTGGATACATTTCCTTCTCATCGATAGCAATCTCCATGTACAGTTGCTCCAGTGTGCCAATGTACTCCACTTGCTTCCACTTCAGATTCCATACGGGACGCATCATACGCGCCGGTCCCGTAGACAAAAAGAGACCGGGGAATTGGCCATTTTTCTTGAATGGTATGAAACCAATTTCCATCATTTTAGGAACTTGGCCAGTGATCTTTGCATAGCGCAAATCTTCAACAATTTTGTCGGCCTCCGTCTGGAAGATGTGACCCAAATGCTTGCCATCCAGGAAGACCACATACAACTTGGCATCGGGATGATCCTGCTGCGTCAAAGGCAGCATGCCCATCTCAAAGAGCAGAGCAGGAATGCCCTGCAACAAACAAATACCAATAAATATCCATCAATTGTGGTCACATCTAATCACTGCGTGAATTACTCACCTGCACCAACTTGGGATCCGGACGCTTGGATATCTCACAGGTGAGGGTCAAGTGATTTAGTAGACCACAGGGCGTGCCATCAGGAGTGTGTACCGGACAGATGAAGCCCCAGGCGTCGGGCAGCAGCTGACGCGCTTCGGTTGTGCGCATGGTTGTGAAATAAGAGCCACGATGGATGGCCCGAAAGTGAGACATGTAACGCATGCGATTGATATTTTCGGCCATGATCACCAGACCGCTGCTCTGCATCAGGCCCAGCCCAGAGCGCGAGGCCACATTTCCCGTGGCGAGAAAAGATTCAATGGAGCGTCCAACACCACCTGCTTGCCGCATGCACTGCGTCATGATGCTGCTGCTGACCAGTGAGTCCGCTGTGCTGAGTTTCTTGAGCAGACACTTGCGCAACTGCATTAGCCACATTTCGATGCGTTCGCCAAGGTATTTCTGATAGAGATGTCCTGGCAGGAGCACCTCTTGCATCATGGCAGAATCAACGTTTTCCACTTTGAACTTGCCCTGGGCGCACTGGAACAGCTTCTGCACCATGAACACAATCAGCTGGAATTTCTCCTCATTGGTCTGCAGATGGACCATAATGCGTTCGCGCAATATGAACTCCGTGACAGCCTCATCGGGCAGCCACTCGGGCACTTCGGGAAAACGGGAACGGAACAGGGTGCCAATGAAGGAGCGACATTGTGCGGATGTGTAGACGCCCTCGTTCTGCACATCGCGCAGCATACTCTGCACACAGGTTAGATAGTATTGATCCGATTCGTAGCCCTGTACCAGACAATTGTAGATCTGCTCATCTGTGTAGTCCATCAGACACTTGAGGATTAGACAGACAGGCACATAGGACAAACGTTTCATATGGGAGAACATGAAGCGAGCGGTGCCATTGTTTAGATAGTGCAGTGTATTTGTCAGCGACAGCTCATCATCCCGCACAGTTTGCACCATAACGCCCAGTTCACTGAAATTGTGACCGCGATCCTTCCATGAGGAACGTTTCACACATATCGGATGATTGCGTCGCGTCATGATGAGCATGCGTACGATCTTCTCGTTGCCACGTATCACAAAGATGCCACCCCATTCGCTATCGTGCTCGCCATGCTTAACCATTTCTGTAGGACTGGCCTGACCTAGATTGCATGCTTGCGAGCGCAGCATAATAGGCACCTCGCCCAGATCCACATTAATCGCCGACTTATCCAGATCGTTGACGCTCCAGCCCAGCCGCAGGGAGCACTGCCCCGAGTAGGAGGCATGCAATTGACGCGCATCCGTTGGATAGATTTCCCGTGTGCGCACATCAATCACGTCCAGCGGCACCTGAGGCTTGGCTATCCAGATGCTCTCCACTTTAAGATGAATTCGCTCGCCGGCAGCCGTTTGAAATTGCTGTGGTGTCATGTACTTGGCCATATTCTCCAGGCCCACACTCAACATTTCATCAAAAGAATCCACATGCGGTGCTCCCAAATTGGCCAGATGCTGGAGGAAGTCACATTGTCAGGAAAATTGTGCGTGCAAGCAAACGTTAGCTTACCTTATTTAATTTGTTGGGTATTTGTTTGAATTCGGGCCGCGAATTTGTCAGCACAGGAAAGTCTTTCATGTCTTCCATTATTCAAGAATTCTCGCATAAAAAACGTAAACAAAATTAAATTGATCTTCCCGTTGCACGTGCTGCTGTTAAAGTAATCGATAATTGTCGGTGTTTATCGTATGAGCTGCCAACCTGTTGCAGCCTTTCAGAGTCTGTTCTTATAAGGTCACGCGCTAACATTGTGTCTATTATGTGACGTCACGTTGTCCAAATTGCAAGACGAAATACTATCTGGACTCTTATGACGTAAAGTAAGAACAAGTTTAGCATGATCTTCTAGTTGCAATCCTTGTACAGCTGGCAGCAGTTTGCGCGCCATAACGTATTAGATATTTAAATGTGAAGTTGTTTACAAGAGTGTTGTAAGTGACTTAATAAGACGGCTGCTTAGCTGCAAGGACACATAAGCACGTAGGTCCTGCCACGATTTGTATGTATAAATGCACATGCAACGGAAATGAACCACAATTCGGAAGTGTCAACGTGTTGTCCGCTTAATGAAGTTGTTTGCTCGTCTTGCTGTCTGTTTGTTGTTGTTGTTGCCGCAAGTTTGTTGCATTATTTATGGGGCCGGGCATGCGGCTTGACACAGTGTGTTGAAGACAGCCTGGTCTGCTACTTTAACACATATGTACATATGTATGTATGCTGCCAAATGTATGACAACCCGGTATAATGAAGCTAAAAAGTTCCATTAGTTATTATTAACTTTGGCGAGTCAAAGAAGAACGCGGCTGTAACTTAAGAAAACACGAGAAGCCAAGCGACAACAACAGCAGCAACAACAATAGCCGCAAACAATATAATCAACAACAACAGCAGCAACACCAGTGCTTTTGTTTATTATTCCATTATAATGAACACAATGCACATTTTCTCAAACAGACACCATCTCGCTCTGCCTCCCCTCTGCAGTGTGGCATCAACTTTTTGCTGGCACTGTGCTTGCTTCTTGCTACTTTAGCTGCAGCACATTTGCCTGGTGCAATCTCAACCAAAACTTAATGAAGACAGCAGGGCGGGGGGCGTCGAGGGCGGTGTCGATAGGGTGGGGGCGTGGTTGGTTACTAACTTTGGCAAACGCGCTTTCAAGTTTTAGTCGCATATATATTTTATAGTTTTTTTTCACTCCCTGCCCGGGCTAACAAAGAAGCAACATGGCAAATTGCATTGTTGATTTTCATTTTCATGCCTGAGCTGCTCACTCGCTCAATTCTCTCACTGTCGCACTTCACTCTCGTCCGGTCTGCAACTCTTTCCCCCTCGGCTGTGTGGGCGACACTCAGCAGCAGCAGTAGCAGGAAAACCCAACCGAATTTGAGTGTATCTGTCCCTTTTTCTCGCGACACTCTTCTCCACATTGGACTCATTCAAAGTCATTGCTGCGTGTTTCCCACTTTTTCAAACGCCGTCGTCGACAATGGCCAAGTTAGCCGGAAAAAAAAAATAATAAAATTGGCGCTGCCAGTGGAAAAATCTGTTGCAAAATGCATTTTCATTTGAAACTTTTGGCCAAAAAACTTTCTCTACGAGTGCATCTAAAAAAAATAAAATAAAACAATGCAAACACTCACAATCTGCACAAATGCGCTACGCTTTAAACATACTACTCACTAAAGATATCCCTTCTATTATTTACACACCCAAAATTGTTTGCTTTCTTAATAGGTGAGTAATGTGGCCACAGTTTGTTTGTGAATCCCATCAGAGCATCGTAGTATAGCTGAGTCTCGGAGCTCTTCGCTAGACCTCATGCGATGATATACTTATCTGTATATAAAACCCAACAGATTTATCATATTTGTAACTTTTTATTCATGGTTTGTCATTTAAATTTAATCAGCTTTTAATACTTAAGGCATGAATTTTACTCGAAATTCATTTATAATTTTTTTATTTCATAATATTTAGATGGACCCATCATTTCCACAGTCTAAACTTCATCAAAAAATCCCAGATTTTTCAAAAGGAATTCGTCTTTCATTTGATCTCTAGAACAATACTACATTATGAATGGGAAACACGGTTTTCACTTGAAATTCAAATTTATGAAAAATGTTATCCCAAAAAAGGCACTTGAGGCCAGATTTTAATTTGGTAACACAATTTGAATACCAAATCCATATTAATATTGCACGCTAAAAATAGGAAAAAAAACTGGGTCAAAATAGTTTATTACTATAACTTATGCAAGAAGATAAACATGCGTTTATATTTATATAAAGCTCACTCTAGAACAATCAAAACAACAAATCAAAGTTGTATGTATAGCGTATGTATATATATATATCTTAACTATATTGCTATATTTCCATACAGGGTATTAAATATTCGGCACACCGAAGCTAACGGTTCTCCCATGTCATCTGAATATCTATGCAAGTTTTGTCTGCTGATCTTTCAGTGCCAAGGTAATGAATGCTTTGCAATTTATTCTGTTTTGATCAAATGTGGCAACTGTTTTATTTGTCTGTTAGTCATAATCCTACTTGACGTGTCGTGGCTAAATTTAAATCGTATTGTTCATGTGACAGAATTATTTAATTAAAATGCATTTAACTAGCGGCTAGATTTAAGTGCATAAATGAAGGAATTCGGGGAAAACATAAAACAACAACAATAATAACAACAAATTCAGAGAATCCTGGCATGATTATTTCTTATGCAAAACGAAACAAAACATTCTCCGAGCAGCCATGACCGAGAGCTGGCATCGAGATCTTCTATGCGGCAAGAGATCGGTATTTAAAAATAGCTATGCCGTTAGAAGAGCTCTTTTCAGTTTTTCACGAGCTGGCCAAGTGAAAAGTGCCTCGCACCGGACAGAAAATCGAAAATTTTCCATTTTCACATACATATACATACATCGAAACATATGTATACTAGATAATTACTTTAAAACGTTTTATAAACTTAAATTTGGATAACAAAGAAGTGTCTTAGTTGCTCTTATATTTACTCATATAAATATAGGAATCCAACTTCTATAACTTCTTTGCCACGAGAAAATTTTGAATACCTTAAAACGTGAAAGTCAATAAAAAATTGCGAAATCGGGCGTGTGTTCCGAACTATCTATCTAAATATATATGCATACATATACACTTATGCATATGTGTGTGCCAAGTTTCGTGTTGGTTTTTTGTTCAACTTGAAACGGTCCAACTGATCAGCACGCAGCTGACTGCCACACTCAGTAGATTCTTTGTGTTATTTTATTTTGTTGTTGCTGCTTTTGCTGTTTTTGATGCTGCTACTCTTTGGCGTTCTACGACGAAGAAAAGCTGAAAAGTCGCATTAACGTAAATTTCAACGACTGCCACAAAAAGTAAACAGACGCAATAGCTGGCAATAACAAGAAAAAGGAACATACTGCAATAAATTGAGCGCATCTCGCATACCAGAAGCACCAGATCGTTTCTTTGTTCAACTACAAGGGAAAAAAACATAAAAATCAGATAAAAATTTACAGCAAGAATGGGCAACGCGGAGTCGTCGCAGCCAGCACATGAATCAGCCGAAGAGCAGCCAGCGTTGAGTGTGGGTGGCGCCACGTCTTCAACGACAACGACTGAGCCTGAGGATGAGCCCTGGTGGCACAAGATAGAACACGAGAATCTTATACTGCAGCAAGTGCCAGTGGATAACTCTATCAAAATGGAACCAGAACAACACGATAAAAAGGAGTCACAAAAAGCGGAGCAAGCTGCAACAGCAACTACAACACCCGAGGATGATCTCTCAATGGAGCAATTCAAGGAGCAGCTGGCCACTAAGCGTTTGTCGCGACAAACTGCGGTACAGGATTTGCGTGATGAGCTGACGAATCTCCGCCAGCAACTGGCCTCCGAGCAGGCAGAAAATCGAAAACTACGCCAGCGACAGCAACGGGAAGATAAAAAAGAGGAAGAATTAGACGAGAGTCCAACATCAACAACAAATCCCGAAGAGGCGGAGGTGGACACAGATGATGAGAATCCGAGCAGTCGCAGTCGTCATGCCAACATTGAGCTGGCGAATGCCCAACTAGCCCTGCAGTTGGCCAATGCCGAAAATCTATCGCTGCGAGGTGAATTGGATGTGGTGCAGCGTCAAGTGGGTACCCTCAAGGAGGTCATCTGTTGCTGCAAACAGATGCTCAGTGTCAAAGAGGAGCAATGTGCACAGGTACGAAAAAAAGCAATCCAAGCGCTTATTTAGCTTACTCAACCATTTATCCTTAGCTCAAGATGAAGCTGGAGCAGATCGAGAACTCGTTCAGTGAGCGCGAAATGAAGATCATGTCCAACAATCTGCGACAGGAGTACGAGCGTCAATTGGTCAACATACGCCAGCTGCGGCAATTGTACGAGGAGCGACAACGTGTTGCAGCTGCAGAATATGAGAATTTACAAAGGTTAATCTCGATTAAGAGGGATGAACTCACCGCCGAGCAGGAGAAGTATGTTGCCAGTTGCCAATATGTTGCATTCAGTGTGTCACTTCAAATTTCCCCCTTTCTACTTTTTACGCAGAACGAAAAGCTTTGAGGAGCGCAATCAAATGCTGCTCAAGGAGCTGGAAACAGCCAACGATGAGCTGGCCAAGTTGCGTGAGGAGTGCAACGAGCACAAGTACGAGAAGCGTGCGCTCAAGGAGCAAGTGAGCGCAGTCAATTTGGTAGGCACACACATATACCCTGCTCACATACCCTACAAAAAGTACAATTTCTCACCATTAACAGTAATTACTTTACGATAGAAAATGTTTGCAGGCTAAGCTTATAACACACACAACAAACACATCCTCACAAACTAATTCCCTGGTTATCCGATAGGTCTTTAGTCAGCTGGTGATGGGTTTCAATGGCAAGAATAATCTGGATATTGATCGCCTGACAGAAATGTTAGAGGAGAATCGCGACCTGTTGAATGAGATGACACAAGCGGAAGGCAGCTGCAGCGATGGTGCCTCACTGCCCAAGTTGCTCTTTGAGCTGGTTGAGCAGGCGGCCAAGTCGGAAAAAGAGGAGGAGAAAGACAAGGAGATGGATGAGGATGAGAACGAGGAGAGTGACAAAAGTCGAAGTGCAACACCGACACCAGACCACACCAACTCAGATGTGGGCGAGGACAGCACAGATTGTGCTCGGCACGAGCCCAGTGGCAGGAAGCACCGGCGACGGAGCGGAGGAGCAACCGCTGGTGTGGCTTCGTTAAAAAGCCATGAGCCCGAAATTATGGGAAAAGTTGCCATGGCTCAAGAAATCATTGGCAACTTGCCAAAAGTTTGGAAAGTGTTGATGGAACTCTTGAGTCACCACAAAATCGAGCGTGTGCAGTTTGAAGAGCAGCCAGCAGTAGCAGCAGCAGCAAGCGAGCCAAGCCACAACATGGCAACGGGAGCAACAACAGCAACACCAACAACAACAACAGCAGCAACAGCAGCAGCTGGAACAAGAGCAACATCAACAACAACAACAACATCTGCTGCTGGCAAAACCCCGGAGCTAAGCGTCAGCAAGACCTACATCAAGTTGAAGGTAAGTGCAGTGGATCCCCCAACTGAGATACAGCCTCAAAGCGGTGGACAGACTGTGCCCAAGTGCTGCGGACAATCGGGCTTGTTAGTTGTCGTTTCCGGGTTAGCTGATGAAGTGCAGCACCATTTTTCTACACTTCGAGAAAAATATGCAATCGAATTTATGAAATAGGCAATAGTCAATATTTCTTAAAAATTATATGGATATCAACGAAAACCAGTTGCTTTGTAGAAAACCGCAAAACTTTAGAAATAATGTTTCACCTTTCAGAAAGGCAAATTTATAAAAATAACAAAGGGGTATTAATTTTATCATTAACTTTTTCGAAATTAAGAAAAATTGTTCGTTGTTTGGTTTTCAACTTAAATCTAATCTGCCGATAATTTTTTAGTTTTTGTGTACATTTTTTTGTTGGTTGTAGCCACTTTCCTTTCCCTCTCTGATTTGTTAAGCAGAAGTGTGCCCCGTTCTCGGCCTTGTTTTTAGCCCGGCGCTCGGTCTAGTTCTGATTCCTCTTCCTGGGTTTCAGCAAAGTTTTGCATTATTCACTTAAGCGCTTTATTTAGTAAAGTGCAGGCCAAGCAGGCGGCAGCTTCATTATTGCTGACGTCCTGCCCGACAGTTGTAGGGTGGTGCAGAGGATGCGGGGTGGGTGTAAGGTACACTCCGCAGAAAGGACGTTGTGTCAGCAAAGTGGGCGCTCAGTTGTTGTGCACATAATTGAATTTATCGGTCAGGCACAAAACATGTTGCACACTTTTTGGGGGTGCCAGTGGATAGGCAAAATGAAAGGCAACAATAAATCGAAGGCATTGAGAGCAAGGATTTGGGCTCTCCATTTAGGACTTGCCGACACTTTCAAAGGGATGCACCAAATGAAGTTAAAAACTAAGTTCACCTTTATCTAGGTTCTCTGGTTAAGTTCAATACAGATAGAAGCCGGTGAGGTGGACGAAATGTCCAAGTTATAATTTAATATGATGGTAGGTCCTCAAACAGAAATCTGTGAGGATTTGAGGATTATAGATTTGTGGCTATTTTAGGCTGAAAATGGATATTAGGTTTCCTCTTACCAAAATACAAATTGAAAATTTCTGACAATTGATTTGACAAGGAAAATTTAGGTGATAAGCAACTCTGAATTTAATTTTGAAATTAAAGGACTTTTATCTATTTTAAGGCTCTCTAAAAGTAGTTATCGAATTCTCAGCATTAGTAGCCCAGCTAACTTACCGATAAATAATCGCATACTTAAGCTGTATTTATAACTCGCCTTCAATTAGGATTTAATAATGGAGAAAAAATCGCTGGTGAAGGAAACGACTCGTCTGAAGACGCTCAACTGTCATTTGGATTACAGGCTCAATGAGCAGGAGAAGCGCCTGAGTGCGGTCAGCTTGGAGCTGACGAAAACTTGGCATCTGGTTGGCAAAATGCAGCGTCAGCATCGACAACTGCATACCCAGGAGCAGATCTTACGTTATCAGCTGCAACAGAAGCGACGCCTGCTCACCGAACTGAAGGACGAGTTGGAGTACTGTCGACGCAAATGGGCTGCAGCCAGGGCCAAGAACGATGAGAGTCAGGAGCAGTGCAACGATTGGCGACGTGAATTTGCTCGCAGGAAACTTGAGGATGCACATCATTCGGCGGAAAGTGGATACAGTGACTCTGGACCGCAGTCGGATGAGGATACGTCAGCGGCGGCAGACGGAGGAACAACAGCAATTGTTTCAGATCAACTGGAGGTGGCCTCCTCTTCAGTGCATTGTCGACGCAAATACTTGAGGGATCAATTTGAGCACACACGCAAAATCAAACGCATGCAGAGCACATCGCCGGGTCGCCAAGCGGCTGCAGCAGCAGCAGCAACGGGAACAGCTGCCGCAGACGAGGAGGACTACACAGAGGAGATTACGCTGCGCTGGAATAGTGCGCCTCCCACTTGTGGCTGGCGTCAAGTCAACGAGGAGTTCGAGTTGGATGCTGATGTCTTGGCTGCCACAACACGCGGCGCTGTGCCCAAAACGATGCACAGTTCACGCAGCCGGCAGCGTGGCAAGGTTGTGCCTACAGCTACCACCTCGCCATCGCCAACAACAGCGGATGCTGGCACCGCTAGTCGCATACAGAAACTGGAGGCACAATGCCAATCACTTATCCAGCAAGTGCTCGAGACTTCCGATAATCGGGAACGTCTTGAAATACAGCTGTGTCGGTTTCAGGATGACATGGCACCCGTGCAACATGCCGTGCCACTGGATGAGTATATCAATCGCAAGCGATTGGAGCGCATGACGCGTGCCAGTTCCGCACCAGCGGCGGGCTGTTTGACGCCACGTGAGGAGGAGTACACACGCAAGCGTTCCGAGCGTTTGGGTCGCCTCGAGGAGGAATCGCGACAGTTACTGCAACGCATCAAGCGCACCACAGATCGTGGTCACTATCTAAAGAAATCGCTGGATCGCATACGACGAGCCCCAAGTCCCGAGGCCAGCTCCGAGGAGGAGCCGACCAAGACAAGCTCACCGTTAACGGAGCAGGAGGAATCCTATACGTCACGCCGTGCGGCACGTCTGCAGCGCATGGAGCAGGAGAGTCAACAGCTGCTTCAACAGCTCGCCCGTAATACGGAGCGAGGTGATACCTTAACCCACAAGCTGGACACACTCCACGAACGTCATGGTAGCCCCAGCGAGCAGACTCCAATGGAAACTCCAACCGTAGCCAGCATATCGCAGACTGTTGAACAGCGTCTGGAGGACATTGAGAGAGTGTCGGCAAATCGCGCCGAGCGTTTGCGTCGCATGGAACTGGAGGGCAATGAGTTGATAGCGCGTCTGAGTCACACATCCGAGCGGGGAACGGCGATGATTAATCGCATTGCCGAGCGTGAGGCGACCAAGCGACAGGAGGCGGAAGTCCTCGAGTCTGTCCTGGAGCAGCAGACGAGCAGCAATAACATTGCCAGCACCGTGGAGCCAGCAAGTGAAGCTGCTTGCAGTGCCACAATCACAACGACAGCCAGTCAATTGGCTCTACAGCTACAATCCACGGGTGCCATACCAAAAACAGTGACATCTAACAGACCGCAGGCCAGAACACAACCAGCCTTGATGCAGCTGTGCGCAACTGTCAGACACGAGGATGCCAATAAGAAGAAGCTCAGGGACACAACGGAATCAGAGAAGGTCAAAGATGTGCCACGGATGCAGGTGGAGTCACTGGAGGATATGGTGCAACGATTGCGTGCGTTGCCCTTCCCCGCAGAAGCACAAAACGGAATGGAGCAGCAGACAGTAGAGGAACAGGAGAAGGTGAAAGAGGTGAAGGAGATGGAGCAGCATGCAGTAGAGGAACAGGAGAAGGTGGAAGAAAGCAAGGAGCAGGAGATGGACCCCCAAGCAGTAGACGAGCAGCAGAAGCTGGAAAACCTAAAGGAGCAGCTGAAGGAGGAGCAGGAAGGCAACTAAAGCAATTTGCTTACCACTCAAGACTTTCTATTAGCACTGTTTCAGATTTCGAGTGCGCTTTCATTTCAAATAGTTCGATAATTTCCAACTTTTACAATTGCAAAAAGTAATTTTCAACTCATGTTTTTATTGTACTTATTGATTAGCCAGTTGCAACTTTTGAACAAAGAAACGGAAACGTTAATGACTTTAAAAACTATATAGCAATTCAAAATAAAGGATATACGAAAATTTTTAATTAAATTGTTGATATTGCAATTGAAATCTGAAGCAGTTATTTGTGTAATCAAAACCAATAAATGCGAAACGATGTTCATTAGAATTTACTCATAACTACGAATACTCGCTGAGAAGCTGTTCAGCCCGATTCCTATAACTACTAAACATATATACCTTTTATCATGTATACTTCGGGCCTTATGATAAACACACAGAATAAAATATTTAATACAAAAATGGATTGTATTTATTTTAATTAATATTTGGGCGGATAAAAGTACGTCAAGGCAGAATATTTTGATACTGAGCGTGAGCAGTTTTTACATGTTGTGTATCCAAACTTATATATATATTGCTGTTAAAAATCGGTTAATTTGTAATAAAATTATGGGAGTGAAAAGTTCATACTATTTGATATAGTGTTCTGATTCGTCTAAGACAAGAATTTTTTAAGTAAAAGACAGACTCATCACTTCATACTATATATATATATATATATATACGAGTATACATATAATAAGCTGGAGCTCAGACTGAAATGACTAAACCTGATGCGAGAGCAGCTAATCGCATATATAATAAATAAAGATATCAGCGAAAAGAAGCTGATAAGATTTTGACTTGGCTGTGCAACAAAATCAAGTAGATGTCAAGCAATGTGGGACAAACATTCCACTTATTAGATTCGCATGCATGACAAGAATTCGCATAGATTTCAAAAGGGACTTATGTGCTCACTTAGACACGCAGCCAGCCCCGATAGCCTGCAGGATGTGTGTGGGTGACAAATCCCAAGGAGGCGTCGCATTGCCGTCTGCCTGCATATGCAACTGAAAAATCATATGAAAAATAGAAAAATTCCAGAAGTCCGCTCAGTAGTTAGGGAAGTCTTCTTCTACGCTTTGATGCAAATGCCAAACTAACCCCCACCCCCTGCCCCCCCACCACTCCTCTAGCCACTCTCCCTTAAAATGTGTATGCAAATTGCGTGGGAGGATTGTGGGCGGTTGCCGGTGGTTTGTGTTTAGTTTTCGGTTGCCAGGCAAAGTAGTCAGGCATAAAGACTACACAGCTTCATACGCTTTTAAGAGCGAACAGAGTTTCTACATTAACTTATCCGTTGACATTTTTAACATACGCTGTCAACAGCATAAGACACCCCTTCTCCATTCCCTTACGACAATAATTTCGTACGTGCAAAATTAATAACAGCAGTCGATAACAGCGCTCTTTTGCAGCATTCATTCTGTACAAGCACTGTTAGCATTACCCCACACAAAATGAACGCTTCCAGTGTGAGCACGCAACAAGCTGAAAGCCAACATGTTGCCTGCCTTAACAGTGATACTTGTGGGCGCAGGCAGCGTGGGAGTAACCTAACTGGGGAACAGGACTTGTAACTCGAGCTTGTTGGTACTTCCAAGCGTTGCATACTTTACAGCGTATAAGAGTGAAGCAGCTAAAGCGACATCTGTTGACAATGCACAGAGCTGCAGAGCTTTGCGCTAAAAAGCTTAATGCAATCCGGGCAGCTTTTTGCTTTGCATTATTATTTTCTTCAGTCTTATTTTGTCGGCTGTTTACGAGGCGGCCGGCGTTAATTAGATGAAACCCAAGCGGATTTTAAATTAAGCATCGAACTGCGGAGTCGCTTAAATTGGATAGCGCCGGCCGGTCTAATTGCTGTGGGAGTTGTGACCACGCCCCAACCACCAGCAATGGCCAGCAAAAAGTCTGGTAAAAATGTATACAATTTGTTGCGACGCCGACCTGCAACTGGAAACGTCAAATTAATAAACAAAGCCGGACGTACCACAAGCTGTGAAAAAGCAATCTTTAGACGGCTGCGCGTGTTTTTCCAGTTGCTGCTGCTGCCCAGCTTTTGGAAGTTGGAGTCCCTCAACTGAAGCCTACCACGATTTATGCAGTTCGCGCGTTGCAAGCGCCGCTGCTGCAGAGTAATCTAATTTATTAAAAGTACAGCCTCTGGCAGTGATTAGGGATGGGCGCGTGTCTCGATACATTCAGCACAATTTCAGAACGTTTCAAAAATGCATACTATATATTGATATGTCACTGATACTATTTTTTTTCTTCTTAAAATTATAATAAATAGTTTTTCTAAAATTATACTCAGCTTGTCTATGAACTTTGCGCTTATTTTGTTTCTTTTTCGTACAGTCCAAAATGTAGTCTTGTCGTGCGTGTCACGTGAGGCAAACTCACGGCACGTTCGCTACTTTAGCGTCGGGAGTGTTCTCTCTCTCTGGGGGTATCGACTGTGGAGCGCAGCTCGTTTTGGTTTTGATTTACGCTGAAATAAATTAAAATATCATAAAAAGGAAATTAAAATTCACTCACACAACAAAAGCACAAGTTTCAGTTTGGCGTTGTTTGTTTCTTCTTTTTTGTTTTTGTGTTTTTTTTTTTCGGACGCGGCTGCGATCGGTTTTCCTATCTCCGTCTCTGTCTCTTTCTCTCTCTCTCTCTCTCTTTGAGTATGCGTCCCGCCGGGGGCTTTTAACTAATTTTTAAACAAGTAAAAATACAAATAAATATTTTAATGTGTGATTTACGACAATGAGACGCACAGGGGGTCGCTCACGGCTCAGTTCGGTTCGGTTCGGCTTGGATCTTCGATCATGTATCTGGGATGTGGTTGTGGATCTGGTCTTGCGGCTGGCGTTCGATCTGCGTCTTTCGCTGCATTTAAATTGGATTTGTGCGCTTCTGGCGCTCGGTCAGCTCAACGGGCAACGCCTGCTGCCCACAATGAAATACAATTTAAGCGCCTTTAATGAACTACGTGCAACGCAAACTCCACTAACAATAACTCCTTGCTTTGGTAAAAGAAATACTCAAACAGCAAAAAAAAAAAAAAAAAAAAACCGAAAAATAATCAAAATAAAAATTTTAATTCGATATTCGATTTGAAATTATTTGAATACCGCACATAGAATTTATTGGCACATAAAAGCCGTTAAGACTTTAACGAGCGCTTCGCATTTTTATTAATTGACTGTAATTAATTGGAGATTTGTGTTCAAAAAACCATCTACTTATGCAAAGTCATAAAATGCACATTAAACCAAATGATCAAGAATATAAAATGACCAACTAAAGTAGCTAAAGTTGAGAGAGCTTTGCCGTTATTTGATAAGCTAAACCAAAAAAAAACATGATCGACGAAATGCACTAGCATGAAATTATAAATGACTGTTAGCTTCAAAGAAATACTTTGTTAACTTGATTTTGAAATACAAATTAAAACTGAAACAGACTTCTGCCCAATGCAATTCATTCTCATCTACATTAGGGTCTCCTTCCACATGCATGCTTAAAGGACGTAAACAAAAAAATAAGCATTACATCGATTATAGTCAATTAATTAAAAAACCATTGACATTCATAAAAAGTAAATTGTGGCAACAGCAGCGTCAAACTTAGCCAAAGGGGCCAACTGCATGCAGCGGACGCCGAACTTGGAACGGAAGTCATTGCGTTCAATATAATAATTGCATGTATATTATCCGATGCAGCAACAATTTTCAGACACCTCGCAGCAAGTGAAAATCGAATACAAGTATTTATTAACAGCCTGCAACGATCGACAAAAAAAAAGAACACACCTGCCAAGCTAGTAATGCATCTTGAGATGAGTTTGCCGGCCAGCCTCTTATTCTCTCTGCCTCTCTCTCTTTCTCTCTTTCTCTGTTTCTCTCGCTTCATTCCGCTTGCCTTTTAACGAGCGCGAAAATAATGCGCGAAATGTGGAGCAAAAGCTTTCAGTCATGGACATGGACTCGAGCCAGAGCTATAGCTTCTTTAACATCAGCATCCCAGATCGCAGCCCCATCAACGGGACGGTGGCGACTGACAGAATTATAATCAATTAGCGTAGCGGCCGGCGTGAGCGCATAAAATTATATACGAAGCGGCGGCTCGGTCAGCATGCTGTGCAATTTGGTTTAAATTAAAATAAATTCAATTACGAAAACATGAAAATCCATTACACAAATTGTTGTCATTAAATGCACAATTTTCATGCTGCATTTACGAACATTTTTCCTTCCTTTTGTTTTGATCTTTTTTATTTTGTGTTTTTTTGATTAAATTTTTGCCGTTTTGCCAGCTGCAAAAACAAAAGACTTAGGCCACGAACTTGCCAATGCGAGTACATTTTACATGCAGTTCAAGTTAACTCAGCGTCGCTCTCACGTGCCGCAAACAACCCATCCGACTAACTAATTAATTAATTATAAGTCAAACGATTAGCATAGCCCAAAGATTGGCCAAAAGCAGTCAAGCAGCTGCCTCCGCTTTCATCGTCTGTCTGCTCAATCAGCCCCTGGGATAAGCTTGCTGATTACGTCGAGGGAGAGAAAAAAAACCGCTTTCATTCATAGAAAGACGCGGCCGACGACGACGAGTCACAGCAAACGGGTTATAAATGTTAAACGATTTGATAGATAAGATATATGCGCTATATACGCTGTATATATATATATATATATATGTGTGTGTGTGTGTGTGTATGATATGTTGTTTTAGCCGTTTGGGAACACGCTGCCGAGTGTCGCTTTTAATTTGTTTAATTTCCTTGACATTCACTGCTCTCTTATAACACACTAATCAACAAGTTTTGAATTGACTTTATATATATCGAAATAGATTGATTAAGTTCAGTTGCGCGTGGCAACTAGGCACTCGTTGAGCTTTAAGTGAGCTTTATTGTTTTACTGCTCGTAGAGTTTATCGAGCTTGAAGCATTTCAGTTTCTTATGAAGTTTGAGTGAGTTTGAGCTGTGGTGGGTCGTTTTCCTATTGCTCTAGTGGACTTTTACAGTGATTGAGCTTTTGTTTGTTCTCAATATCATTTCAGTTTTGAAAAAGTTTGCTTGCCCAAGGATTAGTCTCAACTTATGCTTTGTATTCCACACATTTTAGTTCAAGTAGCCCCATTGTGAGCTTGTCAAGCTAATAGTTTGGGATGTAAATAATTTATTTGTGTTAAGTTTATACAATTTAAAGCCATTAAAGCTTTGATATTCGTCCTTAAATAAGCATTATTCATTTAGAGAGTAATCCTTAAATAAATCTAAGCTAAGTTCAGTCTAGATTGCAAAGAATTCTATTCACACCAGTTCTTTCAGTGTTAGATTAAGTGTGTATATCTTTTAAAGTCTACGGATTACGGATCGTTGTTGCCTGGTGTCTTCTTACTAAATAGTTTTTGATATA